GTAAGTAAAAACGCGTTAGCTCTCAATAAAAAAACGACGCATTATGCCAAACTGACGGTACTAACAAAAATGCATAGTGTGACGTCATAGTAAGTGTAAGTTCCCTGGCGCTCTCAACCCTTTAAAAAAAGCCCAACTTGGCAACCCCGTCGCGGTGCATTTCAATTTTTCATCGACCTGTCCCTGCGCGAGGGCCCACTGAAGCGCTGAAGAGGCCCAAAGCCGGGATGAGGGCCCGCGGATCCGACTTTCTACCCTCCCATTGTTGTTTTATTTGGATGTCACTGCCGAGTGTCTTATCTCCCGACGCGGCCCCGATTTCCGGCTCCGGCCCTTTGTTTCGCGACCACTTTAATGTGATTGTAAATGCAGTTGCAGTCCACTCAATTGAAGGGGCAGCGGCCCGCGCTCATGCGGATTAGCCCCGCTTGAGATGACCCGTCCACGTCGCGCTGCACCTGTGCGGCTAATGAGCGTTGAACTTTATTCGGGAAAAAAATGAAAGAGGTTCTTTTTTTAAATCGTCCAAATCGAGAGGAAATGACTAATGAACAGCTGGGAAAGGTGAAAAATAAGGTTCAATTCAATTTTTCCTGTCAAAAATGCAATGAGAACATCAAGAATCACAGGCGTAGTTGAGAAGGTGAGAGTGCCATGGGTATGACCAGAGTGGCATGAAACGTAAAAAAGAAATGAAAGCCTGGAAATTTTAGTGAAATATTTTATGAAATTCCACGAGGCTGTGAAATATTTCATATTTTTCAGGGGCTAGAGTGTGCAACCCAAACTCAAACGCACAAAAAATAGAAGAAATTCACAGTTTTCAAATTTTGGGAAACATGAAAAGGAATCGGTATTTTTCAATGTCTTTCAAAATTTCTGAAATTTCAAGATTTTATTATTCATGAATATGGCCACCCTGGGTATGACTGCCTCTCTCCGTACCTAATAATAAAATAATTGTCTAAGAAGAGAACCAATAAGTAAAAAGGAAAAAAAAACATTTTTTTACAATTTTCGGGAATGATCATTTTTAGAGCACACAACTGATATCAAATCTGGGTCTAAAATCTAAAAATGCATGTTTACCTTACAGTACTTCAGAATTTCCGATCATATCCGAATCAGAGTAACAATACATATTCTAGATTTTTTGGGAAATGTTTGAGATAGTACTTCTCACTCCTCCGGAGTAAGAACGTAACTTTATTTTCACCTGAGCCCCGGAGAGCATGGATTTATATGGACAATAGGGTTCATGTGAGCATTGAGATACGCTCATTTGTCAGAGGAACGTCGAAAAGACGAACTGTTGTTTTTTTTGTTTTTTTTTTTTGCTGCATTTCCCTGTGTGTGGGATGAAGTTAGGCAAAAGGACACTTAAGATCGAGACTATACTTGCGTAATGCTCCCAATTTATGGTTATACATGTAGATAATTCGATTTTCGGTTTTTGAGATACAAAACGCTTTCTGGTAATTTGAAGAAGATTCGGCCAATATATTAAGCTAAAATTAAAATTATTAAAAATGGCGCGAGTTTTTGAAGAAAATCATCTACATGGCAGGCAACGGCATCAGCAAACTTCGACAGCGCATTTTGAGCGAATTCCACATTTTTCGCTCTCAAACTTTGGATTGCTACATTTCAATACTTAGAATTTTTTGAGGTTCTTTGTGCATCGTGATGCAGAATAATTGATCTCTTTATCATATGGTATCATGACCTATTTCTTATCTACCTTTAGGACCCTTTGGTCAGGCTCTTTCACTTTTCTTACTGACTTGTCAATCCCTCATTCCTCCCTCACCAAGGTTTTGGAAATTTTGTGAGTTTTGAAGGGGGTCTCACATCAAAAACGTATTTTCGTTGATGATCGGTCGAACCAAAATGGGTGGATCGTGCGGTTTCGTATTTTGTTTTGACGCGATCATAATTGTTCGGAACAACGTCGGGACTCACCAGATGGATAGAGGGTGGAATTCTTGCAAACGTTGGAGCCAAAATATAATCCTACAAAAAGTAGGGTTTAGAAATGACCTGATAAAGATGATGGCATCCGACCAGCATCAATTTCGAAAGTCTAACCTCTAGGATCGGACTGGTTCGCATCTGAGGGCGTAGACCCTTGGCTGGTTAAAGGAGCGTAATGTGATATTTCTTGGTAGGGCATCCCCTACGTGGAGAGGCATTCAGAAAATTTTGGCAAAGCAGCACTAGTTTACGCTATTTTCAAGTTCAAAGTTCATTAATAATACAGAGTAAAACTTGCAAAATTGAACGTATTGAAATAACCGGCAGACTTCTGAAATTAAATATAACATAAAGAATGAAAGCCACTAGACACATCCAAGCCCCATTATCTCAAAAATAACCGAACCAGTGCTGCGATTTATATGAGCATAAGACGTGGGTCTGCAAATCCATCCTAAAAAAGAATCAGATAAGAACCTGAAAAACAGGAAAGACAAATTCGGGCCTCTTTTCAAACTTTTCTCCCGAATCTGAGCGACACCTCATTGACAGCATATAACAGAGCATTGAGAGCTCTCGTTTCGTGCCGCGCGCCTTCAATTTTTCTGATGCAGCACGGACGTCCATCAAGTACGAATAGTTGTATCTCTGCGCCGTCGTAAACGCACATCCTTTCCCTCGCCTTATTTCCATATTGTCTATGTTTGCGATTGTCAAATTTGTAATGGTGGTTCAAGCACTACGTGAGTAACACAGCCGAAGGTAGGAGAGATGTATTCGAGCCTCCATTTTAACTTCTCTCCCGAATCTGAGCGACACCTTATCGACAGCATATAGCAGAGCACTTAGAGCCCACGCTTCGCGTCATCGCGCCTTCAATTTTTCAGATGCAGCACGGACGTCCATCAAGTGCGAATAGTTGTATCTCTGCGCCGTCGTAAACGCGCATCCTTTCCTTTCCCTCGCTTTATTTCCATGGTGTGTTTGTTTGCGTTTGTCTTATTCGTAATGGTGCTACAAACTAGTTGCATAGAGCAGAGCGATGCGAGTTTACGACTCACGCCATCGCATCTTACATTTTTCATATGCAATGTGGACATCCATGTTGCGCTAATAGTTGCATCGCGTTTTCACTTTAGATGTCTCTTATTTTTTAATTTCGAGATAAATTAAGGTTAAACTTGCCCGAGATTTGCTATGGTATGTCCAAATCAATTGTCATTTTGAAAAGGAAGAAATATATTCAAAGGTCTCTCGAGAGTTTTGTAAAGGGTGCGTATATCTAAAAATCGAACCGACCATCGCCTCTAAGGGTGTTACACGTAGCGAATGATCAGTTAGTAGTTCTTGGACCTCTTTTCACAAGTATCATGCGTGAAAGCACCTTTCTTTACTCCTATCTTTCTCTTCTTCCGTTCATTTAAGAAATTTTTCGCATATATTCTCGGTCGTATTTTTTTTATCTTCTTATTTTGCAGATCTTCTTCTTATTTTATCTGTCAGAGGGGCGCGTTTTTGGCGCGCCAAGGGGGCGTATCTGCCACTGGCAGATTGGCCTTATGGCCAGTCCGAACGTGCTAACCTCAAATGTTTACCAACCCGACTATGATCTCGCCGCCATTATCTCGGCATTTTGGCTCGACCGATCATCAACGACAATACGCTTGAATTGAAAATGTATTGACTTCACCACTGGATGAGACGCATCCCTATCATGCATCGCACTGATTTTTTTATTTCATCCTTTTTATCCACCAAAGGGTTCAAAAACGTTGTCATCGCTAATGAAGAGTATTCAAGGCCTGAAAACCAAAAGAAGAACATGGAAAGTCCTTGAAAGGGATAAAACACGAATGAGCACAAGTGCCAAATCCGCACCGACCGGGGAAAATCAAGGCCACGCCTGAGCGATTCGGACGCGATTTCGGGCTCATTTGAGTGGTCGGATCGGTGACCGATTTTTCATCCCCCTCGTCCCACCTACCCTCCCGCACTCGCGCGTATACATTACAAGCAGCTGTACCGACTCCAACAATGCAATTTTTAGCCACGGTCTCGGCTTTATTCAAATCTGACGCGGGGAAGACAAGTTCAATTATAAAGTGGTTACGTCCACCCCGCGCCACCCCTATCACGGCGACCAAAACTGACACCATATCTTATTAAATAAAAATAATATTAAAGATTAAATTATAAATACTGTACAATACCGAAAACAAGGGGTGGCGTCAGCTGATGGTTCCGAGGAGGGGAGCCCGAAACTTGACCCACCCCGAACAATATTGCGCCCAGCCCCTCGGCCCTCACCCCTCCTCGCGGCCAAGGGCTCAACCATAACAGATATATAATGAGATGACAATTACATCAGGTTTATACTTTTCGCGACAAGTTGCGCCGGCAGGTTGTGCCTTTCCTCTCTCCCGCGTTTCCGCTCTTTCCGGCCGCGTTTTCTCCGTTTCCGGTCGGATTTTCCCGTTTCCGCCGAGCAATTTCCGGTTTCCGCTCGTGCTCTAAACTGTGTCTTGCGTTAGAAGTGGTGACTTTTGTCGTTTTTATACTTTTCACCGTGATTATTTTTTTTCCAATTTACCATGTGTTTCTACCGGGATCGAACTCGTCGAAATTTACGCGAGAGACTTGAAAGTAACGCCAAACATTTTTTCGGTTTGTGATTGATCTGTTCTAATTAACCACGCGTTTCTGCAATACTCATTTCCGATTAGCTTCTACCACGCGAACTTCGAAAAACTTTGGAGGCCAACGCTAAGGAAGCTCTTGCAGCATGTGTTTTTCCTCTTCCCTACTAAATTAGACGGACATACATTTACGCGCTTTAATTTTTTTAAATTTTTCCCCTGGGACCGTATGTGTGTTGTTTTTTTAAGAAAAAATATTTACTTTTGACTTGACTGGTGCCAAAAATCTGTGTAAAATTTTCGCGACACTGCTACATTAATAGAATTGTGCGGCTTTGAAATCAGTTACAAAATGTATCAGATGTCTTTTCTCTTTCGAATCTGATTATTCTTAGGCAATGTGCGAGAAAATTCTTATTTTCATTTTATCAAACCATTAATGGTGTGAATTAGTGATCCTTTGGAAAAAGAAGTAATGCTTGGAATTCGTGGTGTTTTTCTGATCGTTCTTTACGAAGTTTGAATTGGACGGCTTTTTATATCTTATACTCAAATCCACGAAATTCGAAATTCGCGCCGCGCACATGCAGTATCTCGTGAAAATGATGCAATCAGCAAGACATGCTCAAAGCTCTCCGGTGAAGCCACTCCTTTTGCCCGTTAAAATTGAGCCTGCGCTAAGTCCTGAAGCGCGAAGTGAATCTGGATGTGAGGTTGAAGAATTGGGAGTTAAGGCTGCTGTAAATATCTCTCCGAACGTTGTTAGTCATCCAATCAGTATCGAGGAAATAACGGACGACCATCATTTTTCAGCAAATGAACAAGTAAAGCCATTTTTTTACTTACATTGTGGGATAAAAACGTGTTCGCTTTGATGCCTGTTCATTCCTAATTACTTCATTTATTTATTTTTTTTTTGGGGGAGGGGGGGTATCAAAAGAAAGTCTGCTCCAATATCCATATGAGCTGTGCGCTTACGTCTCTTTGAAAATACTACTTTCTTGCTCATTTCAAAAAACAACAAAACAAAAAAATTTAAGATGACTGAACTCTCAAAACTCTATGGTTTTAATTACAGAGTATGTAAATTCCCGCTTAAAATTTAAAAAAACGGCCCTTGAACAATGTTCAATTTGAAGTGTGATGAGAAATTCACATTGTGCCAAGGGGAGTTATTTTACCTATTTAGTGCCTTGGCCTAGGCTAATATCTATAGCTAATTATTTTAAAATAAATTACTACACACCTTCAGATTATTCGTACCTCATTCTACGAAATCAAAAAATGTAAACTTTGTACTTCTATTTCCGTTCAAATTCGACACATTATGCGTGTCCAAATCGTGACGAACACTGGAAATTATCCGTCCGTAAAAATTCTTCTTTGAAAATTTACAATTACTTAGTTTATTTGCCTTTTTCTAATCATAGTCATATTGAAATATTTCGCATATTTTACATAATCGTGGCGAAGCGTTAAAATACTAGATTCAGAAATAGGACTCTTGCTATCTCCATAGAGTTGACTCTACGCGTCCTTATGTAGGCACAAATTTGCGTTCATTAGAGAAAGCGAAGACAAAAAATTAAAATAGAGGTGACAGTAATTTCTTAATTTCGTATTTGAGGACTTATATGTAACAATGGCGGATGTGAAAAATTAGCTTTTTCGAAACACATTCAAAAAACTGTTTTGGCATCAAGAAAATTTTGAGAAAATACTTGAGATGTGATCTTCGAGATCTGTACATTATCCCAGAAGCCAAACATATTAAATTTTTGTAAGAACAAAACAGTTTTTAAGCGTGTTTCGAAGAGGTAATTTTTCACATCCGCCATTTTTACATATAAGGCCTCATTTGTAGCCATAAGATGCGTTAAAAATTACATTTTTGTCCACATCCAAATTCAATCCAAAAAAACACCGATAGTCGCTTATTGTGAAATTTAATTAATACAGCATACTTTGATTGAGCGCAACATCTTTGAATTTGCACGCAGGATTTTAGCCACTGAGCTTTTTTGATTTTACCTCACACTCGAACCAACATATTTGTCAGCATGAGAACGGATTGAATTTCATCTGTCGCGCAAAAAACTAGCAAAAATCAATCCCGCATTCACCGTTAGAGTGGTTTTCCACCCCTAATAGGAATATTATTTTCTTCTCTAGGTTTTCGTCGAAACGTCTGATGGATTCTTGGAGGCCAGAACAATCCGCGAGAGCTCAAATAGATACCACGTCCCCTTCGACTGGTTTAAGAGCATAGCTCTTTCTAGAGATTGTCATGAGTGCAATATTCAATTAGAGATGTGTGACGGAAGATTTTTACGACTAAGAGTTAGCAAATTCATCTCCAAAGGGGAATCTTTGAAACTGTGGTTTTCTCAGGAGTTGCTCCTTGCCTTGAAAGTTCCGTTCCTATCGCCCATGAACATACAAGGTAAGTCTTTTAAAATTAATTATCAAGACCTTAGCTTCGAGGTTACTAAGAATTCAATGCTCAAGCATTAATTTGAGAAAATAATGCTCGATACAGAAATAAGCGAGTTGAAAGTAATTTACGTAATTTTAATAACTTTAATTATTATTTCTATAATAATCACTGGAAAAAACACATTGGATCTAGAGTCCAGACTCTTGAAAACATTGCCAAGAAAAAGGACTCTTGATTCAATCAGATTTAAGCTCGAATCAAAAGGAAATCCGCTCAAATTAAGAGGCTTGGTTCTTGATTTGAGCTTAAATCTGATTGAATCAAGAGTAAGTATTTTTTCTTGTCGATGTTTTTAAGAGTCTGGACTCTAGATCCAATGTGTTTTTTTCCAGTAATTTCTTTCGGGTAAAATCTTGATGAAAAGGGAATGGTACATAAAACTATATTTGAGTGGCTTGGAGGACAAGGCGCATAACTGCAATTTTTGAGAAAAATTATATATCAATGATTTCAAGTAAAACTAGTCTAAATGCATATTCTTTGAAAAATTCGCTCCCAAATTCCAATCTTTAAGCATCAAGAAGTCAGTTTGAACTTTCTTTCCACCATAAGGATCCATGTAATTTCGAAACTTCAAACATGTATTTCTCGAAATAGCAAAAAAGGCACTTGTGCGCCTTGTGCTCAAAGCCCCTCATTTATTGTGTTAAACGATATTTTTATTACTATTATATTTCTTCTGGTTCTGGAGATTTTGCGTGGGCCCTGTCTGTTTCATATCGAGAGAAATGCTCTTCTGCATAAAAAAATAAGAAGCGCTTTAAATGCTGCATGCATTATAATGTGAAAGTATAGAGAGTTTGTTTTCATCTGCTTTATTTGTATCTAAACTCGAACAAATTTACCACAGTTTCAAGATGATGAACTTATAAAATGTAATTGGACTCCTATTTTACCCGTACAGTAGGTATGTGTCTTATTTGATTCATTCCCCATCAAAATTTAGTAGAGTATAACGCAGTAAATTCAATCTTGAGAGAAGTTTGACATATACAAGTGAAAACCAATTCAGTGCGATTTTTTTTAAATTTTACAATCAGATGAGGGAAAATGTTCTGATGGTTTCTTTATACTTCCTCATTTAACGTGGACTAGTGTTTTCTAGCGAAAAAATAAAGAGAAACGAAATTTGAGCTGGACGAAACTTATGAGACATCGCTCACTGCGCCTTCAGATCTACTTCACACTGTCCTACATACAACAATTGGATTGCATTTTGCAAAAAGAACCAGGAGCATTGCAATGTTGCTAAGATTGTGCAACTTCACCCATTGCACTATAACAATTCATATCCTAAAATAATGTGAAATTCACATGGTAATTTTTGTCCTAAATTTATAGTTTTTAGCGAGTTAAATAGAAACTGTATAGAGATAATTAGGTATTCCTTCCAAGACAAAAGGAGCTGCACAATCTTAGCAATATTGTAATGCTCCTGGTTCCTTTTTGCAAAATGCAATCCAACTGTTATCTCTTTAAAAATGTGACCATTATCCAAGAAAAAAGGAGTCTCAGTCCACACAAACTCAAAATTGGCCTGCTAAAAACTATCATGTATCATTACGAATCATCTCGTTGTCAGTATTATGGGTCAACGAGACAGCTCTAAGACCAGTATGTCACTATCTTGATCCCATCGTTGTAACATACTGATCTCAACGTGGTATTGCGTTGGTAACATTTTGACAACTTGTGTCACTCACCACGCCGGTCGTTATTTCCATGGTAAGTTACTAGAACCCAGGTGTAGAGGAGCGTTTCACAAACTTTTTTATACTCAAAAAACGCCCGAGTGTGTCGAACCCAACCGAATTTTCGCAATTGTAAATTGCTGTTCAAGAAATGTTGTTTCCTCTAATATCCATTGATATTTTAAAAGTAACAAGTTCAGAGTTCGAAATTGACAGACTGAAATGTAACTTTACGCCCCATACAATGTGATTCAAAAGTCCTGCGCTGCCAGCATTAGACATCCCCTGTAACTTTGGAACAAATTGAGACAGAGTCTTGAAATATTGTGAGTGCTCTAGGAGCAAAGAAAACAACTTTTGTGAATCCCCCAAAATGTTAAAGGAGCCACCCTAAACAGGGGAAAGAATTTCCCATTTTTGGATCACCCTGTATTTGGCTTAAAAATGAGAAAAACCACTCGCAACTAACTTTTTGAGCATCAAAGAAGGTTTTCCGTCGAGATCTCCAAATCAATTGTTCGATTCAAGTAAACGAAAATCACTATACTGCTAATTCTCCGTAATAAACTAATCGATTCCGATCAACGCCTTTTTTCCAGATGAAAAGCTCTACACCTGCAACCTCTGCGACTACAAATGTGATATGCCGAACCCGCTTAAAATCCACCTGGCTCTGAGCTGCGGCGAGGAAAAACTAAGCAGTCTTTGGACCCGCTTAAGGGCAATACTCAATCCATTTAACACTCACACCAGCCCGAAACTTAGCTCATTTTACCAACACTCCGACACAAAAGAGGAGAGTCCTTTCCAGTCGAACCTGATCTTATCACCCATCCGAAGTCCCGAGAGGCCGTGCGTGAGCTTATCACCAATCCGAACACCCGATAAACCTTGCGTAAGCTTATCGCCTATCCGCACATCCGATAAGCCTTGCGTGAGCCTATCACCGATTCGCACACCCGATAAGCCTTGCGTAAGCTTATCACCGATTCGCACACCCGAAAGGCCGTGCGTCAGCCTATCACCGATCCGGACTCCTGATAAGCCGTGTGTGAGCTTATCACCAAACAATGACAAACTTATCAACGGTGATAGTCGACGAGCTCTGACGAAGCGACACTCGGCGTTCAAGCCGTACTCAACCCACTCCGTTTCGTCGTGGTTTGAAAGCTCGCGTCCGGAAGAGCGACCAGCGGTGAAACTTTGTGCAAGTGAGCTTTTGCTTTCGCAAAGTTTGGGACTCGCGACGAGCTGTGCCGTCGCACCAGGGTGCAACTCTTTTCTGACCTCGAGCTTGGCTTATCACGGCACCGGTAAGCACAGCACCCTGTACAAGGACCCGATGGAGAAAAACGGAGTGCAGCTTTTCCAGCAGCAGGCGGCCGAAATCGAGACTTTCATCAGTAATCTTGGCAAGTCGAAGCAAGGACATCTATGCATCTACTGCGGCAAGACTTATTCTCGGAAGTACGGGCTTAAAATCCACATCAGGTGAGAAAAATTAACCTCCCAACAAGTTTCTCCTCTCATCGAAAACAACCCATATATTTCGTTGCGAGGTGGTTACATAGAGTGCATAAAGAGTTGTAATGTAAATGGGAGAGCTGGCGCCATGTTCTGCTCGACGAGTTCCGAGCCCGGTGTGCGCCGAGCGTAGGTCACTTTTTCGATACAGGTTCGATTCAAAATGGCGGTGGGGAATACGAAGTAATTCCTATCTTCTTTGTTTACATCGAATGACCGCATCGGGTCCCCGTGTATTGAAGACTATCGATTATATATCGAAAAAGTGACCCGGCGTCACACATGAATCGGAATTCGAGACCTGGGAAATTCTTAAAAGTTGCGCCAGCTCTCCCACTTACATTACGACTCTATGTACTCTACATATGTATATGTGTGGTTGAATGAAATCTCACGATGAAAACAGACTCTCTCATACTTTTTGCTCGAGTTCAAAGCTGATTTTTACAATACAACAATTCAAATTTGCCTCGTTTGTTAGCACCTAAAGAGGCATGTTTGTTTAGTTTTAGACAATATTCCTAGACTTATCCAGACACCAAACCAGTCCTATGACATCAAAACCAGTTTTGGACTCGAGCTAAGACTTTCTATAGAATCCAATTTTATTAGTTCCAATTTTAACAGATATGGTTGTAGTGAACACGCAGTTAGAAATAGAAATTTAAATACAAATGTTGTATGATTCAACACTGGTAAAAGTGGACACCAAGCGCACAACTATTCGAGCTCTGGGGTAATTATGTGGTATCACGCGAAAATGAAGGAAAATCATAGGTACTCGTCCGTTTCAAATAACTGGAATTCGCATGAGAGCAGACTCCGTTTAAATTTTTAGTGAGAGCTCAAAGCTGATTTTGATGCTACAGTGCTTCAAAATTTTCATATTTTTGGCACATACTAAATGCTAAATACATACATACTACATAATACATACTACATAATACATACTACATAATACATATAACATAATACATACTACACACTAAATGTTAAATGCTAGACAATGCAAACATTGCAATCCTATAACACAGTTATGAATTCAAGCTAAAATTTTCAACAGAAACCCGTCTTATCATTAGCACCCATTTTAACCATAAGTTGGTGGAATTCCCAGGTTCCCAGTGAAGGAGCAAAATAGCATGATTTTAAGGAATTCTTTTACATAGTTTATTCGTTCTGGTTGCCTGCAAAATGTTTCTTTCTTTCTTCATCCTGAATCAATTGAATCAGAGTTTCTCCATATCAAACTGTAATTTTTACTTTTTACTGAAAATCACGATTTTCTTCTCCCCTTCAGCCATATGAGGTGTAAACAGCCACAAATGTTGAAACACTGATCCAATCAAACCAATCTTTCTGCCATACATAGGCGTTAAAGAAAGTGAAATTGGAGAATTTTTTTTTTTTTTTTTTTTTTTTACATCCTAAATATTTGAATACCCGTATGATTGGAGAACTTGTTAACCTTTTTTTTTTAGCAAAACACCAGTTAAATTTGCCATCGCTGTTACCAACTTTAAACATGATCCATATCAAACACGAATAATATAATTAGTATTACAAATCAAGACTTGAAATTTTGACGTAAGGGTTTTTAAAGTATCAGAAAAAGTTCGGCAGCAAAAACCGAAAATCGTTATTTTAGACCCCGAATTGGTTTTTTATCGCATTGGACAATTTGAAGTCTGCCCGAAGGGCTCTTTCCCCTGACTTCATCACACACAATGAGAGATTCGTAATCCAAACTAATGAAGATTGCAATTGCTTACAGGACACACACGGGATTCAAGCCACTCAAATGTAAATACTGTTTACGGCCTTTCGGTGATCCTAGCAACCTCAACAAACACATTCGATTACATGCCGGAGGAAAAACACCCTACAAGTGAGCAAATTGTAATTAATTAATAAATTCTTCTTTAATGTAAAAACATGAAGAAAGAACTGAGTGAAAATTTGGCATATTTTTAACAAATGAACGTATTCCTGTCAAATGGAACTATGTGCATTATGATGTGAGCCCTGTTATGCGTATATTCTTATGGGTTTCAGGGCTCATGTCTTACTGCACATAGTTCCGTTTGACAGAAACACGTCCACATATTGATAAGACAATCTACGTAAGAGTCAATCAACTCAACTTCATTGAGCGGCGATTCGACGTTCATACGACCAAAATATTTGAAATGGATGCCAAAAGTATTTTATCCTTAAAATTTACAAAAATATTCGAAATTTCGATCAGGGAGAGAATTTCATTTTTGACAGTTTTCCGGGGCATTTTACTGAATGTTTTAACCATCTACGTCCAACACAAATACTCCGGATGTTCAAGTCGCCAAAATTCAATGTGTAAGAAAGTGAAATGTTGTGAAGAGAGGTATACCTATTTTTTTATTCTTTTGTTTAATCTTACACTTTCTCTGCTCTCTACCTAACACGTATTGAACGTCGTCTCATTCAATTTTTTCTCTTTCTGATTTTTAGGTGTGATCTTTGCGGGAAAATCCTTGTTAGACGGAGAGACCTAGAAAAGCACATTAAATCACGGCATTATTCATGTCGACCATAGTTTTCTCTCTCCTTTTTCGTACTCAGTAAGTGACCAAAGATTTTGCTCAAAATTATTATTATATATTTATACTGTAAATAATCATTGTTACATGATTGATAGTAATAAAATATTTTTTTACCTCTTTAAATTCCTCTAGTTCAAGTTTATGCTCGTGATAAAATCTATCAAGGTCTTGGATGATTTTTTTTTTTTTTACAAAACAACTAGCTCACACATGAAATGCACAGAGATGGAAAATTTCATGAAATTTACTCGCGTGAAATTTCACGAAATTTTTTTAAACCTTTTGGGGGTGCACTCAGGAAGCTAAGAACCGCCTAGAAACAGTGCTTCTAGATTTTGAAATTTTTCACTCCATGCCTAAAACATTCACACGTTGCAAATGTTTTCGTNACTGAACAAAATATAGTCCAGAAAAGAGGAGGACACAACATTTCGGCTCCGGTCAACAAAACTTACGTCACGAATCAGGACAGAGTGAAGGCCATAGTTGAACGGTATGCGCAGTACAAAGGAGAGGGCGAAGTCAAAACCTATCTGAGAGCGCTTGCTTACCACTTAAAACTGCATTCAAATCCCCAACGTCCTGAACCCAACTATTGAGATAAGAGGTATTTTCCCCTTTTCTAACATTACCACCCCTATTCAGTATTTTCCCCTTTTCTAACAGTAACACCCCTTTTCCTTAAGTACTTGCTTTTAGGCGCCAAAAATATTTTTCTTAGATTAACTTCTACACCTGATATGCAGTTTTGTGTGTGTCTTGATTATTTTCATTTTTCGAGTTTGTGTGTTTCCTTTCTCACTGATTCAATTGGACAAAAATAAAATCTGCTCATTGGACATATAAGTATGTATGGGTCAAAGTAATAAGGAGGACTAAAAAAGGTAGGACAAATTTTCCTTTGGACCAAACTAACTACTGGACAAAAATGTATAATGGACCAAAAAAAATTGGACACAAAAACATTGGACAAAGATTCTTATAACCGTGCTTCTAGACTTTGAAATTTTTCACTCCATGCCTAAAACATTCACACGTTGCAAATGTTTTCGTTTGGTTTAGAGGTTGGGTTGGGGTGGGGCTTTCCTCTATAAACTCCCCTTTGTGCCTCCTCCCCCCCCCTTCGTGTATAGCACCTCAGTAGGGTAGCATAATACTGCCACATCAACAGGAAGACCATTTGAAGCGCTTCCGGATCTCCAAAGGCTCAATTAATAATTCCAAAAAAAAAATTGACAACTTTTGAAATTTCATGAAATTTCACGTGACATTTCTCTTTCCATCTCTGGTAATGCATCTATAAAATATGTTTATGCAATGAAAATATAAAATCTCACCGCTCCCCCCTCCTTCCACCTCCCCCTCTTTCCACCTCCGTCTCCTTCCCCCTCCCCCTTCTTCCTCCTCCCCTTCATTCGGCCCTATTTCCCGCTCCCCCTCCCTCAGGGATCAGTCCTTGGAAAGAGATAAGCTGTGCACTGACAATTAGAAGCACGACGAAGTAAAAACTAAAAAACATGCTTAAAAAAAATACTATAAAGACAGGATGTTGCAAGTAATTACAAGTTCAAATCCAGCTGCCAAAATAATACAAATCAGTGAAAATTGCAGCTGAAAATTACCGAAATTCTTTCGGCTAGAAACGAGCCCACGAAAGCTCGAAGGTCCTGCCTATTATTATGGTGATTTTTTAAAACTTTAAGCATGTTTTTAGTTTATACTCTCCAGTGTTCCTACTTTCAGGCAATGTTGCACCCCTATGACCCATTGGATTTATCTACAACTCAAGAGACTTATTTCACTTGCGTCAAATGCTTAACCACAATATTTGTTCCGCTCAGATGTGAGGATTTTTGAACACTATTTCCTAGCTTGGTCTTTGACGCAAGGAAAGAAAATTGTATGAAAAACAAAAATAGCCGCTACCCTTTGCAAGCATGGCACCGTCCACTGCAAAAACAATTCCGATGGGTGTTTTCAAGACCCGCCGCACAGTGGAATGAGCTAATAGATGAGGTCGGACAAGTAATTTTTGGCTAAAACTTCAAATTACAATGTTTATGTCGTCATAAATTCAAATTCATGGGGTGTTTCTGTAAGGAAATGACCCCAAACAACCAATGAAACCACCATTCAACTTTTCTGCTTCATCCCTACTAGCAGAACCATAGAAGAAAAAGATAAAGATTATGTACGAAAGTTAATTTTTTTATAAAACGCATGCATACGAAAGTGTTAAAAGTGATCATCTTTATGTAATCATTATATAAAAAAGTCATAATTTTCGTGAGCTTTTCGCAAACGTGCTAAAAAATCTTCTATTCCACGAAAAGCTCACGAAAATAATGACCTTTTTTATATAATAGTTACATTACATGAACATGTTCACTTTTAACACTTTCGTATGCATGCGTCATAAAAAAATTATCCATAAAAAAAATTACCTTATCTAATTTTTGTCATTTTCCATATATTATGGTCAGGTCTGAACTTTGATTTTTTTTATATAAGCGTTACACGTTTTTTATATAAAACTACCATTCAGATAACAGATATGTTTTTTTATACTTTTTTTTAGAAAAACAAAACTTTGTTCTGCTATTAGGGATAATTTCGAGAACATTAGCTTTCAAAGTTTCCTTGCCCGACCTCTCCCACTAACTCGGTCCTGTGTGCGCCGAACGAAGACGCACAACGATAACCTAGCCCAAGCTAGTATTGAGAGCCGGAGATGAGATGATTGTAGCGCCTCTTGGACAAATAAAAAAAATGTAGCGATGGATCGATTGATCTGCCATCTACACCCATAGAAAAAGATCGATCGTCATGATGCTCGCAACCAACTCCTTAATAATCGATTCTGTATTACAGCTTCAAGTAGGGAAATATCGATAGCCAATCATTCGCGCCTCGCCAGTACGATGTTTCGTCGTTCCGTTGACATAGGGGCATATCTCTATTTTTACATGAGCCTTGTTCTCCGTATAACTCTATGCTATCCGGGACTCATGCGGAGTTAGAGATGCACCCTCACGTTAGAAGAGCGACGATTTGACTGATGGGAGAAACGATGGGAGTGAGGGAGAAGTTCTTTACTGAGGAGAGGAAGTTGATAAGATAACGAGAACAATTTTGTTAATTCGACTACTTTAAATAGTTCAATCGGAACGAGAGACGTGTTTTATGATCGAGTCTAGTCGATACGCGAGGAAATTTAGAGTTAAGAGAATCAGTGTGGATTGTGAAATTCGGTCGGAAAGTGAAAATGCCGAGTGTGAAGAAAGTGTTGGTGAGTGACGCCGTGGACGAACAGTGTGTGCAGTTGCTCAAATCGGGCGGTATCGATGTCACGTGTAAGTTCGGCCTAAGCGTCGAGGAACTCAAGAAGGAAATACCGGTAAGTTCAATAAGCTGATTACGATTGGCTTGGCGCGTTGGATCTGCCTTTTGCGTTATGCGTTCTAGGTACGATTTAGCAAATATATGTAGTATGTGCGAAAAAACATGGTGGATGACATTTTCACAAAACAGCTTGTCTGGTATAGGCATGTGCAAAGGGTGGCAGATGATCGGTTGTCTAAGAAGGTTTTGGATTGGGTCCCTCCTGGCAGAGAACGTAGAGGACGCCCTGCCAAATCGAGGATTGCAGGAATAAAGAAGGAAATAAGGCGATGCGATCGGCCGGAGGAGCTTTGGTGAGATTGCTGTCAGTGGCGGTTTGGTGTCGCAGAGCGCACAGAGACGCTATAAAAGCGACTAACTGGCAGTATTCTAGGTACGATGGTGTATTTGAAATTTTAACCATTTGGTGGATTATTTTGGGAAGTCCGAAAGTTCAGTCGGTGGAGGATCATTATGGAATGCTCTTGCCGGAAATCGTCCTCCGAAATCTTAAAATTGAGGCAAAAGTTTTTTTATCATTTTGCAAACAATTTCGTGAATCGATATCGATGGTCAATTGGTACTTTTGAATTTTTTTTTAGACTTTGGAAGATAATTTTCGGCACGAACATTCCTCATGGATCGGTCTACAGACTGAAATTTCGATATTTCCAAAATAACGCACCTAACGTTTAAAATTTGAAATAACTCTATCGTGCCCAGAATGCCTTGTGCAAAAACTGAAGATCCGCCCTGAGAAAAATCCATACACAAATTTCTTCTTCACAAAAATGATCAGAACAAAACTGGACTACATTTTACAATGAGGAACTAAAATTTTCTGCTCATCCATAGAAACACCTATTTGTTTAGAGAATAGTACCTCTTAATTGTAAAATTTAGTCCAATTACAAGGGATTTTCTCCTGTAATATGAAGCAAATTCCCTGGAATTTCCTAAAAAAATTCGTGCAACCGTTTTCTTGTAAAAAAAAAAGTAAATTTTTCAATTTTTGGCAATGACTGATGAATTTGCCGTTTCCGGTACTCTTAGTAAAATCTACTGTACTGGGTAATTTTAACAGAAAAATGCGCACTTGCACACCACAACCAGCCACACTTAAAACAGTTTCTTATAAAGCAGGAAGAGGTCACTTTACGCCATGTCAGTTTGCCTTCAATTTTTAGTGTAGGCAACGCGAGCTCCCAAGTGCTCGAATAGTGGTATCATCACCCGTATAATGGTCAGACAGTTTACAGTGGGACGAAACTCAAAAAGCATGCAAACATCTATTTAAAGGTCTCAGCCGGTAAACTTATCAGTAATAATCGATTATCAATCATCCATGAGGGACCAGCAACTCCTTTTTCACGTTGAGGGGCCACTTAAGAGAATGAAACGCCTAAAGCTTTAAGGCGCATCGATTTTAAAAATAGTTCAACATGATCGATCAGAATATTTTTGTTTTAGGATCGCATTATGCACAAAGAGGCCACTTTTTCTGGCTCATTAAAGAAACAACATATGTGCCATTAGTTTCCCTATGCACATAAGTGATGGATGAGCCAGAAGTAAGAGATCTTTGTTGCAAAATGTAGTCCAGCCTGAAACAGTGTCAAATCTTAAAGAACGATGGGCTTCTTGCTACAGCACATAAGCATGAAGCTAGCCTACAGACTTTAGTAGAAGTCTAGCTATCTCTTGAAAAAATAGGTTTTTTTCTTGAAACCCCCAAACCACGTAGATTTTTTTCCTAAAACAAGTCCTTTTGAAAAAGAACAATTGGAAAAAATTATGTAGTATGTGCACACACTTCATTTTTTAATTATGTGTCTAGTTCAATTTTTCCTTTGAATATCAATGATAGTTTATCATGAAATTATGATCATTAAACAAAGTCAATGGTCAAAGTACGAAACCATGTATCTGAATTGCAATGTTTCAAAATGTCCGCTCCTATTTAATTTTTTTCAAAGAGAAACAAGTCAAATCCATACTTTGAGTGAGAGTTAGCCAAATATTCTGCTGACAGGGAAAAAAATCAAGGAAGATTTCAAAAAATTATGTGGGCTGGTTTTCAGAAAAATGTAAGCATGATAAGAATTCTACAATGTTACATTCGGAGATACGTGGTTTCGTACTTTGGACATTGCTATATCGACGGTAAAACTTCCAAATTACGTATCTCGTTTGCAGTATTTTAAAAGCTCTTTTTTTTTATGGAAAACAAATTAACATCATTCCTTAAAATTTTAACACAATATTCTTTGCACAGAGAAGACAAATCACACGAGTATTAAAGAATTGACGTTGTATTGTTTTCTATGTCAGAAAGTCTGCAACATCGCAAACCGAGATACGTGGTTTTGAGAGTTCCACGACTCAGTATACGATTTAAAACGGATGTAACAACCTATGAAATATTTTGGCAGATTTATAACAAAAAAAAATAATAACAAAAAAAATTATTAAAAAAAAATTTTAAAAAACACGTAAGCGCTGAGGAGATACACCGAAAATTGATGTTTTTAGCAATACTTACATGAACCGTGCAATTTCTTGCTAAATATGCAGCCTCAAAAAGTCTAGCCTCTGGTTGGAAAATTCTAATAAAGTTAATTAATTTTATGAGTGATTGCCATGACCATTCATACTAAATTTTCACGCCATGTTTGGAAAAGTGAGATGGGCACTTGGACAGTCTCATTGTCAGATTAACTAAGACTGTTATTTAAGATAATTATGTAATTCCCAGTTTTCAGGAGGCATTAGTCGGACAAATCGTCGCTCCTCTGACGTAAGGACGTATCTCGATTATCGCATGAGCCTCAGAAGACATGGATCTATGTGTAAAACAGGGCTCACGTAGGAATTGAGATACGCCCTTACGTCAGAGGAGAGACGAAATACTTGCCTCGTGCAACTTTTCCATGCAAAAACACTTCTACTGTTGTCCCCGTTAATGTATTTACACAGACTTTTGAGCTTGATAACTGTATCGTCGAACAGTCAACAACAACAATTATTTCCACATGTTGACACGGAGTGTGTCATCTCACTTATTTCAAAAGTCAAAGGATTGGAAGGAAAAATATGCAAGAAGTTTTAATTTAGGTTTTGTGACAGGGCCGGATTTACCTACTTGCGCCCCCTACTCATTCGTTTTGAAACTCGATAAAAACCATCGAGTGAACGTGCCGGAGGGAGAGGGGTGCATAAGACGCGTTTACCTACTCGTGTTGGATACATTTTTTGCGAAAGCCCTGTCAACACTACTAGCGAAATTTCACGGAACTTAACTTTCGCGCAAAGTTAAGTTCCGCAAACCTACCTCTGTGTGGACAAGGTTCTCCCTTTATAAGAAATGAACCAAAAAATTATAGAAGATCAAACATATATGTGGTTTAATAATTTTAACTTACGCCGCTCCGCCGCGCTGACCGCACTGTGTTTGGCGCAATGCGTGAAGTATTCCTGCAGTCTTGTAGGCGCTATGCGTTTCACGCCAACCGCTCCTGACCGCACTGCGTTTGGCGCAATGAGTGAAGTATTCATGCAGTCTTGTAGGCGCTAATATGTGTTGCATGCCGACCGCCGCCACGCCGAGGGCTTGTCCTTCTCATCTCAAGTCCTCGTCATCATTCCTCTCTGCGCTGAGCTCCAGGCCAAATTCCGTGTTTAGTTCCTCTCTTAACTCGACTAATTAAAGATATCTTGTATCACCGAAAAACGACAAAATTAGAAATTACTATACTCTTAGGAAAGAGAGATTTTGTCCCCTTTACTCACTGATAATTTTTTTTCTGAATCCGATTTTTTTTATACCTACATTTAAAAAAATTGCAAAATTTGCTGCCCCCTAAATTTGTGGCCACCCTCTTAATCCGGCCCTGTTTTGTGAGGGAATGAATAGCTCCATCTGGTAGGTCATAAGAAAAATTAAAAATTTACGCTGTACATTTTTCCTTGTGAGAATCCAGAGGTATAATTCAAGCACCAAATCAAAGTAACGTTAATTTTTTTTTGGCGGATATACCGAAAGGTTTGATCCTTATTACTTTCTTTTTTTAATTCTTTCTTTATTTTTTATCGTTTTACATATTTATTTATGTTTTAACATTATAATTTTTAAACTGAGTCTTGTAAATTAGTCTTTTCCTTTTTTAATAAAACAATCGAATTTTTCGTAAACAGTAAAAGCTGTTGTATTACAACTTTAAAATATTGAAAAACTCAAGCTTTTACTTGGAGATTTTTTTTTTTTTAATTTATTTTTTTCAAAACGTGTCTCAGTGGCTACCTGGGCCACCACCGTCAGCTGACTGCTGACCTCGCAGTCTTTTTGATCACGTTATAGTGTTGGCTGCGCAGGCGCGTTAGTTTACGGTGTTTTCGTGAGCGGGCGGGGTGTCCGTGGTTCAAATACTTTTTTTACTTTTTTTGAGGGTAGAAATTGCAATAACCGATTTTTGAAACATTCTAAATCAGCGTTGATTAAATTCTCTTTATTTTTAAATACCTGAATACTTTCCAAGATATTTAGCGTGCTGACTTTCTGGGCAGTTATTATCAGTTTCGGCTCAAAATTAAAATCGTGCCCTTCCTTTCAAAATTGTTTGGCTACCGCTGATTTATCTATTTTTCTGTTGAGATCATTTCTTCTATGTTCTAATCTCCAAGTAAAAGTGTGAGTTTTTAAATATTTTAAAGTGTGAAGAGTCTTTTCCTTCTCACTCAAATCGGCCCCCACCCCAACGCACGGTTAGAGTAACCTAAATAATTGAGGGGATTTGAGAACAAGGCGCTTAATTGCAGTTTTTGCTATTTCGAGAAATAAGTGTTTAAAGTTTCAAAATTACATGGCTCCCTTTGGCGGAAAAAAGTTCACACTGACTTTTTGATGCTTTAAAATTGGAATTTGGGAGCATATTTTTCACGAAATATGCATTAAAACTAGTTTTACTTGAAATCATTAATACCTCAATTTTTTTAAAAACTGCAGTTACGCGCCTTGTCCTCCGAGCTCCTTCATTATCATTCTGCAATCTGTCGCATCTTTATGATATTACAACGCTATACTGATAAATATGTTGGCTGACGAATCCCAGTCTACAAAGGCATCTTACGATTTGTCGCGTGTCCCATTTTAATTTTCAAAAATTTATATGTGTTATAACACTTGACATTATGTAAGCAAATCATCGTGCTCGATCAACATTTCTTATCATAAATGGTGCTGTCGTCTCATTTTCAAACGGTCACCCGTTTGATAATAAGTCGAGGATTCTTATGTGATAAGCGTTTTTACACAGATATTTCTGCGAGAATTTCCACTATATTGCGTAATTTAATCTTAAAAATGAGACAGCAATAAAAAATTTATCCAACGCTTCCGTTTTTCGCTACACTGAAACGTGCTCCGATAAGAGAGGTGTTCTGAAAATTCTGTTCTCAGATGTTGCAGGCTATTTGGGGTACTTTATATTTTATTTTGAGAACTCATCTAAGTACACATACACATCCATCGCTTTATAGCATTCCCTCGCACTCTACGACTCCTAACCTCCACTGCTCTCTATCGAACCACAACCCTTCCCTTGGGGCATTGAGCACCTTAAAATTTCTGCTTCAATGCCCTCTCTCCAACCCTCTGCGCCAACTCCCAGGAGGAACTCAACGAAGGACCTTCTTCAGCAATCTGTCTCCTGCCATTCTCTGAGCATGACCATACCAAATGAGTTGTTTCATCATAATACCATGCACGATAGTCTGTTTGGCATCCATGATCTCCCGTATCGTCTCATTCCTGACGTGATCCTTTCTGGAAATACCAGCGGATCTACGCCACTAGTTTCATACTCATCAACGTAACTTTTAAAATTCCTGTAATATTTGTTTACTTTGTGTAAAAAATATTTCTTGACAATTTCAAGCAAGTAGTAAGCTCGTCACGGAGAAAAATCGATCGCAGCTCTTACATTGCTCTCAGCTGATTTCAGGCATTCAGGTCCAATCAAAATAATTTCAAAATTCTACCTCTACATCATACCCTTATCCTATATTCATAGCATCGAATAACACATGGTGTAATTATTTTACAGGCCTACGATGGACTAGTGGTGAGGTCGGACACGAAAGTAACAGAGGAAATTTTGACATGTGCCTCTCGGTTGAGTGTAGTGGGGCGAGCCGGCACAGGGGTGGACAACATCGACCTCAAAGCGGCCACCAAAAGAGGCGTCTTGGTTCTCAAGTATGTTAAATACATCATTTTGATAATTGGATTGCATTTTGCAAAAAGGAACCAGGAACATTACAATATTGCTAAGATTGTGCAGCTTCTTTTGTCTTGGAGGGCAAACCTAATTATCTTTAAACAGTTTCTATTTTACTCTCTAAAACTGTAAATTTTAGACAAAAAATACCATGTAAATTCCATATTTTTTCAGGATATCAATAATTATATTGAAATGAGTGAAGTAGCACAATCTTAGCAACATTGCAATGATCCTGATTCCTTTTCGCAAAATGCAATCCAATTTTTCATTGCACTCTGGGAGACCCTATCGCTCGCTTATCGATCCTCCTCCTGAAAAAAGGAAAGATACACTAAAGCAAACAAAGTACTCCCACAAGTGAAGACATCAATGGGATGGGTTTGGCACCACAAAATTTTATCTGACAAGTTTGTTTTTTTTTTGTTTTTTTTTTTTTTTTTAATTTTGAGTTTATCTTTGGCACATTTTAAACGCTATACTCTCACCGGTACAACACCTTGGAATTTAAAATTGTTTGGTATAAATCAACTCTTGAGTTTTTAAGATTTTTTGATATAAGGGTTATTTTGACGCTATTTTCGAGAACCTCAGCTTCTGCCAATGACGTCTTCAAAAGTACACCTCTAATAATTATTTTCTCTCACATCTGAGCTTTAAGGAATTGACCATACGTTTCAGAGATGGGTCTAAGTTCTCTTATTTTTCTTTTTCCCCTTTAAAATGATTTAATAGAGGTTTAACAATGAAATAAATGTATTTTTGACAAACGTCAGACAATGATTGGTCCTCATTTATATGGATTCAACTGGTGAATAAGAATGAATTTTTCTTATTTTCAGCACACCTGGTGGAAACTCAACTAGTGCTTGTGAGCTGACTTGCTCTCTAATCACATGTCTTGCAAGGTAAGAACCTCTATTGAGATACTCAGTCTTTTTTTACTTACTGTATAATAGATGTGAATTGATTGACTTGAGAAAACATTGTTGCCGCGAGACACTTCAGACTTGTCAATATTGATCCGCATAAAAATCAACTCTTGAGTACATCGAATCACCGTATGTAAGCTCAAGCGCTCAATACTTCAAATCTGCACAATCTCGTTGCTTGCCAATCTCATCATCATTAACAATAAATTTGGAACAAAAATGAATACGATTGTATCGGTAAGCTTTTTACAATTGTATTACCACTATGAGAAAGTCCTCTAATTTACGCATTTTCAGTTTTTAAAATCGCGTGTCATACATTATATCCATCACAGAGCGTCAAAATCTTAAATTTCATATCATTCGATCAGTGGAATTTTTCGAAAATATCTGGAATGGACCGAGGGGTTCATTTTTACTGGCATGATTCCTCTCGATATAATTGAATGAAAAGGGTGTTGAACTTTTGATTTGTTTGCCTCAAAATTGAAGTCTTGAAGTTGAAAGATACGATAAGTAGTTAAAATGAATGGGTTCAAATTGATAAGGAGGTGCACAGCGTTGAGGTCTTGTATTAACACACACTTGAAATCTCAGCATGAAAGTTGATCAGGTTATTGATAAAAAAAAAGACTGGAATTGACAACGAATTCACTTGAATACGACGGTGCGATTATTAAATTATCAGTTCACTTGAATTTTTGCACAAAGTAAATCGAAGATCTGGATTGATTCCTTACAATACTGATATCTTTATTAAAAAGTTTACAGTTTTAAATCCATCAACCTTCCAGACTGTACTCATATTTAAACACTTACACTTAGCTCAATCTGACTGATATCTTCTTGTTTATGACTGCATAGTGCACTCAAATGCACCATGATTAAGTTTTATTCTTTTGTCTTTGCTTTTCTTATAATTTTTTTTTTTTTCAATTCTTCGCTTTCACAAGAGCACTTAAACGTGAAGCTCAAGCCGTGATACCTGCAAGCCACAACCGATGCAATAAATTGAAACATTTTGTGAACAATCGTGTCATGAAACAAGAAATTGGAAATTTTGAGGGGAGGGGAGCGGGAAGCCGTTGAATTCAATTTAAAATATTATCTTCCAAATTTGCAAAAGTCCAAAGGTTTAAAATGGCTCACTATATTTTTTCGAAAAGAAAGTTAAGTCGTTTTTTGCAATAAGTGTGAGGCATAATTATTGCATTTGCGGAATTTTTCAGGCACGTTCCTCAAGGTTGTGCTGCCTTAAAAGATGGCAAATGGGCTCGAAAACAGTATTCAGGGACAGAACTAGAAGGAAAAACTTTAGCAATTCTAGGTCTTGGTAGAATCGGCAGGGAAGTTGCCAAAAGAATGCAATCTTTTGGAATGAAAGTAAGTTTACTGAATATACCGTACCATTCAATTCAATAGAGATGCTGTATATGTGAGGAATTTGCGATTTGACTATAGATTCTTATGTAAAAGATTGCGAAAAACACGATGGTGCCAGTGGTTTTCTCTAAAATCAACTCCCAAGCTCAAAAAAAGCTCTCAAGTCGAGGCCAAAATGGAGGGGATATCCCACGCTATCCTGAGAGTGCACCTCTACATCAAGACAAACTTCCCATGCTAAGATAGAGAGTAAATACATTAGCAGGGTTGCCGTGATTTCAGTTTTAGAGTCCCCAAATAAAGTGGCAGCCCTGTCGATGTATTCGCTCGCTCCCTATCTTTGCATGGAGAGTTTGTCTTGATGTAGAGGTGGACTCTCAGGATAGTGTAGGATATCCCCTCTGTTTTGGCCTCAACTTGAGAGCTTGTTTTGAGCTTGGGAGTTAATTTCAGAGAAAATCAGTGGCACCATCGTGTTTCTCGCAAACTTTTACATAAGAATCTATAGTCAAATCGCAAATTCCTCACACATACAACATCTGCATTATTGTACTTCAACGTGCATGTCGTCGATTTTGATCTTAACTCAGAATCTAAAATTGAATCTTATATTGAGTATTACGATGGTCTAAATGTAAAGCCTACATTGGAAAAAACGCATTGGATCTAGAGTCCAGACTCTTGAAAATATTGACAAGAAAAAGGACTCTTGATTCAATTAGATTTAAGCTTAAATCAAAAGAAAAACTGCTCAAATTATGAGGCTTGGTTCTTGATTTAAGCTTAAATCTGATTGAATCAAGAGTACTTTTTCCTGTCGATGTTTTTAAGAGTCTGGACTCTAGATCCAATGTATTTTTTCCCAGTGTATCCTCATTGAAACGAGTCCGTTGAAAGCTGTTATTTTAATTCAAACTCGATCCACCTGTACAAAAAGAATGGACTGGAATAGGTAATAACTAAAATAAGAGGTGACAAAGCGTATAAAAAAGCCCAGCAAATGCTTATTTCAGAAGTTAAATGTCACATTTATATCAAACAGCTGCTTCAAATTTACAGAGATCAAATTGCATGATCAATGAAGTGCAAGAATTTCAAAAAATTTCAGGCATATCGATCTTACTGCATGAGGTCCCCACTGGAAATTCTCTATGTGTATGATCTCGAGCGACTATTATTACTCCCCATAGATCGAATTGCATACTCATCGAATGGAAGGAGCTTCAAAAGAATCCTACGACACGAGCCCATGCCCATGCCAATGGATCCAATTTGGAAAACCCATACAGCACATTTCAGAAATAGAAGCTTTCAGAGTGAAACCGCAGACAAACAAAATGTGGAGCAAGGAATTTCATCTGACATTTTTTCTTCAAATGTTTCGGAATAAACGACGTTTCTGTGAAAAATTTTACCCTTGCTTTAAACTAGATGTCAAAGATTAACGAGCAGGTTTAGACAAAAAATTGCTTGCATTTTTGTTGTTGGTTTGGGAAAATTACGTCCTTACTATACTTTTTTGTTTCCTATCCTTTTAAGGGAACTGATAACGCAAACTTGAGTTACACTGAGCCATGAATAGGTTGTGAAAACAAATCGCAAGAAATGGAAAAAGTTAATCGCATCAACTTTATCCTATTGATTCCTCTTTTTTCGTGAAGTACGAGTCAAAATATGAGACAGACTTTATTAATCACTCTCTTTTCTCGTTTTTACAGACAGTAGGTTTTGATCCGATGGTATCCGCAGAAGATGCCTTATCGTTTAACGTCCAAAGCCTCTCTCTAGAAGAAATATGGCCCATAGCTGATTACATAACCGTTCATACACCTTTAATCCCCCAAACTAGAAGTGAGTAATCTTTTTCCACATTTTTCAACACAAAAGTCGAAAATTTGAACATTGCTGCTTGCTTCTAGCGATACTATTTGGTAGAAATATACCTAGCCTTAGCGAGAAATTAAGACTACTCAAGATGGACCACCAAAAAATGGCTGACTTAGAAAAAAAACAGGTTTAATCTTCAAAATCGAACGTAGAAATTTGAATTTTAAATAGAAATCTACCGTGTCGAAAGGTCTACTGCATTCTCCTCATCTTAGAAATTAGTATATGTGTGTAACTTTTTTGGAGAACTGGAAATGTAGGCATTATAACTCAAGAATTTTTTGTAGGTATAATGCTCGCATTGAAAAAGAGAAATAGAGTGCTCAAGCGCACTTACTCACAATTAGTATGCTCGCAATTTCAATTTTTAAGGAAAATTTCTCGCCAATCCATTCGGAAACTTGCTCATAAATTTGTTTTTTTTTTTATCAAAAAGATTCACGAACTAAAATAGCCTAGCTCGTATTTTAGCATGTTTGTAGAGAAAAAGTGTATTGCGGATTTCTTATTATCTTAAAATTGTATAGGTACCACATAAAATAGTAAAATACTACCCAGAAAATGTTCACATAATTTCAAATTATTAAGTTTAAAATAACCCATGATTAGGGTGCAATCTTATCAACTTTTAATGTTCTCTTTAGATTTAATCAACAATGCAGTATTATCCAAGTGCAAGAAAGGAGTCAAAATTGTGAATGTAGCTCGAGGAGGAATTATCAGTGAAGAGGACCTACTCACAGCTCTGAATGTAAGCACCCATCTAATTCAATTCTTTGAGCATCGTTCCAAAATAATAATAATTTTTAAAAAAATCCTTGTCCAGACCGATTTATCACGAACTAAGGTGAAAACCCAGGAACAACTTTGAGATGGACTAATATTGAGTTCTCATCGGTTATTATAGAACACGAAACAGAAGGAATTGTCGGCGTCACAACTTAAAATATCTCGACGGTGAAACTGCAAAAACGCGTATCTCCGTTTGTGACGCTACAGACTTCCTGTCATAATATATTTCTTAAATGGGCGGGAAAATACACCACGATATTTTTTTTAAAAATTTCCTAACTTTTCATACTTGGGTGAAGAAAATTTTGTGAAAATTTCAAGGTATAAAGTTGATTTCTTCTCTTTCGATGAAAAACATTGGAAAGAACTATTTTGAAACACAGTAAAAGAGGTATGCAGTTATGCACTTTCGCCGCCGATTTACTAATTGACACTTAAATTACTAAAAAATGTTGCCCTCTATCAATCGGTTTAAAACATTTCTCTGAAATATTTCAATTAAAAGTTAGGTTTGAAGGGGGTCATTTTTGTCTCGATAAGAATAAATTTTGCTCTGCCGTGCTATGGTTTAATCTGTTGGTCTTCCGTAGATTAATATTAAGTAGCATCTCGAGGGATGTTTCGAGGAAGTCCCTATAAATTGTTTCTAAAACGTGGCAATAGCATTTTTTAACCCACCCAGTGCTCCAATTTCTTCGACGCGAATCTTTTTATTCGTAGCGTGAAAAGAGGAATTGAGACTAAAGCTCAGGTGTTAATGTCCAGGAAGTGCAAAGGTCGATATGATTCAATCTCTTAAACTTTTTCATGAGCGGGTGTTTTCATTTCCCGTTTGAATCTGATCTCCGAGTCAAAGTACCGGTCTCGCCTCTCAGCCTACTCAGATAACCCAACTTAAAAAAATCGATAATTCTGTTGATTTATAAAAAACAACGGTCCCGATTTTTCAACTATTTTGTAAGCGCATTTTATTCTCAGCAAATCCACTGTTTGCAAGTGGGAAAAGTGAGAAAAGAGAAAATTTCCTTAGACGATACATATTCCAAGAGACCTCGCACTAACAATCTGAGCGATGTGATTTTTGCCAAGACCAAGTTAATATTCTTGAAGTGCCTCTAGAATATAATTTCGATAAGAAAAAAGTTCCTCGGACCTTTATTCCTTCCTAGAACACTTAATACCCCCCTTAATTTTCTCTTTATTTGTTATTTTCTTTCTTACAACTTCCATACAAGATTATACGGCGTTCTTCTTTAGCATGGCAGTATACGAAAGATAATAGTGCCTGCGGGGTCTCTGAAATATATCTGTCTCTAAAAATGCTGAAGAGGATAACAACAAAAATGTATAATCAGATCACTAATGTAGTAGCTGCACCGAGACGTACTGACTAAGTACATCGTAATTCAAGCGCGTTTTTTTTTTGGCAGGATGGGCGATGTGGTGGTGCCGCGTTAGACGTATTCTGTGAGGAGCCACCCAAAAGTGAGGCGTCTTGGAACCTCATCAAACACCCGAAAGCGATCGTTACGCCTCATCTTGGAGCATCAACGAAAGAAGCGCAAGTTCGGGTAAGCTATCAAATTCTTATAATTTTAAGCTCTCCCACGCCTAATTTTTATTTTTCTTTATTTTGGAATTTCTGGTGATTTTTGGAATTTCTGGTGATTTTTGGATATTTGTGGTCATTCTGGACATTTATTTCATTATTTTGGAAATTGCTGGATTTCCATGGTCAGATCTGATCATTTGTTCCTGTTCTGATCACCCTGGTCATTTGCCATTATTTACCAGCATTTTACAAAAATTGTAGGAGAAAAATCCCCCTATCCCGTTTAGTACATACATACTGCATATTTGTAAAATACTTGACTGTCTGTTCTTCAACAGGTCGCCGTGGAGATTGCGGAAATGTTCATTTCTCTGAACGAAGTGGGTGCCGGAGCCTGGCTGAATGGAGTTGTCAACGCACCCATTCTCAGAGCTACAGCTGATCCCCGAACCAACTCTTGGATCGAACTGGCCTCAAAATTAGGCAAAGTGGCTAGTCAAATTCTGCGAGACAGCTCTTCGAACAGTTCCCCGGTCTCTGTAATCACAGCAGGTAATTCGGATTTATATTTTTCTTCTGACAGTCAGATTTTCTGAGTGTTAACCTGGTTAAAATGCTAAAAAAGAGCTAGTAATTTCAAAAAAATATGAACTCGTGCAAAAATATACATCAAACATCGATGAGGGAACGCTATTTTACATTTTTCAAAATGCAATAATGCCTAGCTCCACTGCTGAAAATGGAAGTGGAAAAGCTGGGGGGTGCACAATTAAAATTTGAGCTCAAAGTGAAGCGATTTATCAACAATTTTTTCGTTTTCACAAAATAAAATACAGATCTGTAAATGATGTTTGCTTATTCCAGGAGCTGAATTAGCGGGGAAGAACTTCTTCAGCACCGGGGTTCTGGTGGGTCTTCTGGACGGGAAGGTTCAGTCGGAGGTCAACTTGGTGAACGCACCAACATTAGCAGAGGAGAACGGACTCAAAGTGGACCACCAACACGACGCTTCGGGCCACTCAAAAAGCCACCTAGTCCTAAAGGCAAATGCAAATGGCCAACCTATTGAAATTAAAGGTAAAAAATGTTCAAGATTGAGATAAATTACTTTGAAAAAAAAAGTAAAAATGTTTAGGTATAGATAAGAGAAATACGAGACAATAGCCCGATTCAACAAAAAATAAATAATGTGAAAAAACGTGTTGACTTAAATCATGGAGATTTTAGAGTTCCAAGGAGTAGTCGCAGCTACTTTGTGGTGCGAAGGGAGGGGGGAGGAGGCGGCGGCTCTTGCAACAACTTAAAAAATACCTATCGATACCTATCGACATTAGAGAAATCCTTCCTTCGAAGCAAACTCTCAGGTCATACCGCCTCCCGTGGTATACCTGCGGATTACATGGGAGCTGATTCTGGCATTTGGGTTGATTCTCTTAAAACAAGGCCAAGAATGGTATAGAGACAGCCAGCTCATTTTTGGTCAGTTACATTCCCATTTTCAATTTGAAAATGGTGAGGATTGACGATTTGAGAGTAAAAACAGAGAATGATTGTAACGCAACGTGAAATTTTATTGCCTAAAAATGACACACCCTCATCATTTCATTCACAATTTTACCCCCTCAACACTCACGCAAACTCAACTGCTCTATTCATAAGGGCATATCTACATTTTCACGTAAGTCCTGCTGTCCATATTACTGCATACTTTCCGGGAATCATATGAAAATAGAGATACGTCCTTACGTCAAAGGAGCGAGGCATCATGCTGACTAACCACCGTGTGAACATAAGTTTGACACTCATCCGTCTTTTTTAAACAATAAATAAGAAGTATACTTTGGCTGCAGCGTAGTTACGCTAGGTAAATATTATCATCAGAGTGTAAATATTTGCTCTAGCCAAGGGTTCCAAATCCATTTCAAAAATAGAAATTCTGATTGAATATTTTTTTTTCAGTGTAAACGGGTTTGTGTTTATTTGTGTGACATTGAAATATTCACGGAGGCTCACTATAAGTGGGGAGATTAAAGTCTCTATCCTTCCAAAGACGTGTTTTTAAGAGGTGTGGTGGGCGAGCAATTAATCAAATACGCATTAAAAATATTTAATCAAATTGGAATTTGAGTTTTTTCTTAGTTTATCTTGCCGGTAGTACAATGTAACATGATCTATGTGACAATGTCTAATCGTCGGTTCCTGGACGAAGGAACGTAACTCCATTCCAAGGTTGCCAAATTGACTAACACAATTTTATTTTTTATAACAATTTACCTGTGCAATTTTTGTTCAAAATTTGTCTCATTTTTGCATGAGACAAGAAGAAAAATCAGTGATTTCGGTCAGAATTGCCCAAGATTCTCCTGATAAAAAATGCAAATTGCCTGGAAAAATTTGGCAACATTGAGATGTTGTGACGTTCCTTCGCGAGGGAAACGCCGAATTATGCAGAGCATAACTTGGATTACATTTTGCAATAAGGAACCACTATTTCTGGCCCATTTTAGAAAGAACATACATAGTATTGGTTCCCCTATACAGATACGTGCTTTTATGGGAGAACCAAAGATAGTGGTTTCATATTGCAAAATGTAATCCACTTCATCTCTATAGGGGGCTGGTGTCTGTGTGTTGACTCATGAATTTAAAACTTTTTTTGTTCCATTATCAATTGAGGTTGAATTAAGGTGCTTGGAGGACAAGGCGCATAAGTGCGCAGTTTTTGTTATTTCGAGAAATATGTGTTTAAAGCTTTGAAATTACATGGATCCATATGGTGGAAAGAAAGTTCAAACTGGCTTTTTGATGCTTAAAAATTGGAATTTGGGAGCGAATTTTTTATAGATTATGCATCAAAACTAATTAAACTTGAAATCATTAATATCTCAATTTTTTTCAAAAACTGCCCTTATGCGCCTTGTCCTCCAAGCCCCTTAATTCAAATTTTTGGGACTATATTTTATGAAATCTACGGTTATATTTATTCATTTTGCGCTTAAATTTACAGGAACCGTAGATGGTGAAAAACCCTACCTCCTTTCCATTAACGGATCGGTCTTCCAACCTGATGGTATCCCTCTCACAGATCATTCCTCTTTCGTTGTAAAAGCTGTGAACCCTGGCGATGTAACAAAAACAATAAGTAAGTTTGTAAAAATTATTTTTGCGATTCGATCCCTTAATCAAAAATTCTCCAAAGTACCTGACATTCATCACACGATGCGAAGCACTCTCCTTGAACAAAGAGCAAAACTTATGTACACATCAAACAATTCTGCCGTGCTACGAAAAAACGCCGTATGAACATTCGAGAGTTGCCAAATTTCTCGAGCTAAAACTTATATTTTTATGGAAAGTTAAGTGTGCATATTTTTCCTTGAAATTTTAGTATATTATATATTGAATTGTGGACAAAATTGTCTTAAAATTTTGGGGGAAAATATTGACAATTTTGCTCAGAAAATTCGGGTTTTTAATGAAGTAAATAAATATGGCAACGTCTAAAGACTTATGCGGCGTTCTTCCTCAGCACTGAAGAATTCTCGTGAGCGTGACTCAGTTGCTCACTTACCAAACAAAATCCCAAGGAGATTATTTGGAGGCCCTGATTAATCTATGACGGCACACTGCTATACAAAAATAAAAAATCTCCTGATTATTTAAAAAAAATACTGCATTAACGGCAATAATACACAGGTATTTTACGATGATAAAATTATGCACCTCACGTGGACACGGAGGACAACGGTGTAATAATACATTTAAACAACTTAAGCATTTTTTGGAATATTAACAATGTTACGATAAAAAGCGGTAATATGAAGTTGTAGTTGTAGTTAAGTTATAATCGGCTACATTGGAGCAATAGGTAAAGCTGAACTTAAGTTGAGGTATTAGAAGAACAAGCATAGCACCCACAGTTGGTATCGCATGCGACGAACGATAAGCGAATTCCATCATAGCGCCTTGATGCAACTTTTCGAGCTCTACGGATGTCCGTGTTGCATATGCACGGAATTGAAGGCGTTTTGATTCACGATGCACTCTTCACTCACCACCTTACTCGCGGCCCGCCGCGGCGCGGCAGGAGCGAATTTTACTGCGAGAATCCAAAATGATAGGACGCTTTCAATCCTTTGTTTGCATTACAAATACATCTAATACGCACAAAAAGCACCGGTCAACATTTTTTTTTTAAATCTGCCAAAAATTAGGTAATTCATTCAGGGTAGATTTTTAGCGCTGATTCTGAAAATCACACCCGTTTTTCTGGAGTATTTCGATTTACCCGGAAAAATCGGAATTGTCTGTAAAAATTTCGAGAAAAATCCAACTGATCCAGTAAAACGAGCGTCATTTTCGGAATTAGCCCTGAACACCGGACCTGAGTCAGTTATCAAAATCGAAATTTTCTGTAAAAAAAATTCCGGGGAAAATCCAACTAATCTAGAAAAACAGGTGTCATTTCCGGAATCAGCGCTAAAAATCTGCCATGAAACAGTCACCAAATTATATTGTATTGTGGTGTTTAATCGCTCACTCGACCTCCTCTTCTCCGCGCGTTTCATGTTTGCATAGTTACGCATTCTGAAATGCATTCGATCTCAATGAAAATTGACCGAAACTTGGTGAAATGATGATGCGTCTAGTGCTTTTTTTTCGACGTTCTATAAATTTACCAAAAAATAAAGTATCATGGCTTTTCATTGATTTTCCAGTCATTGCTATCAATTGGGAAAATATCAAATTAAATGTTAAACGTGAACCAACTTTAGAGGTAAAAATCAAAAAGCATGGAAGCTAAAAGTTGTATTTCTGTTACAGGTGACTATGTCAGCAAGAACGCTCACAAAATTTCAATTGCTGGAGGTCCAAAGACATGGATCGCTGTTCAACTACCGTTGAAATAATGCACGAACCGAAACCAGAACTTTTATTACTTTGTCTTACCTAGAACTAAGCTAATTAGCTAAATACTAATAAACTGTACAAAGTTACAGTACAAACTTACTAATAAACTGTAAAAAACTTATTTTTCGTCCATAAATTAATATTTTTTGAAATAATGCTGGAAATTATTATTCATAATGCCCTCTGTTCCCAAATCCTATCCTTCAATTGTAATTACGACGATATTTTTGTCAAGATGAACTGTACTCACCAATGAACTAAAACAGAGGGAACTAGATACATGAAGTACAGTATAAAATTAATGAAGTATAAAATTAATAGAGTAAGAAGTATAAAATTAATGAATTATTCGATTAATAATTCACAATTACTTATGAGTAAGTAATAAATATCAAAAGTAAATACATGAGCAATGGAGAATTTGCACGCAAATTTTTTATTGCTTCATCTGGAAATGCCTAAAGGGCTGATTTTGCAGTATTTTTATAATTTTTTTCGACTGTGGGGAATAGAATATAAATAGATTTAAAAGTGAGAAAATGCGCCGCCTAGTGACGTCATCTGGCAGAACGCATGTATTTTAGCAGATACGATCATTTTGTCATATCTCACCCGCAATAATTGTTCAATTTATGAACCAATGGTATCCTCGTATTTAGCTCACTTGGTACCGTCCACTTAAACACGGAATTCATCAATTTTCAGACACCTGCAAATTCTCCATTATCATTAACTGATCTAAAATTGCCAGAATGGAATAGCAAGACGTGAAAAAATATGATCCGACTCATTTTTTCTCCTTTAAATCAGCAAACTTACAAGATATAGCTATGATGATCTTCCAAGCTATCACAAACAGTTTTCAACAGCCTCCTCCGCAGTGTTTCAGACTCGTTGCGAAAATAATCTTTAAGTGTATGTTTTTATCACCACTAGAGATACACTAGAGAAAAACTATTAGATAATATTGATAAAAACTATCAATATTATCTAATAGTTTTTCTCTCTCGTGAAACTTTCATCGCCTACATTCCATAAACCACCGTCAAAAGAGCGGAGGATCCAGCCTCGCCCAGTGCTTACGGATTCGTCGGGTGAAGGAAACATCCCCGCATTTTTAAAAAGACCGCCACAAATTCGAAACGCCACTGCGACACGCACCAATCGGACATCAGTTTTTTTGCAACCCCCAATGAAACGTCAGTTTTTTGGCGGGAGCCAATCAAACATCAGATTTTTGGCGGGCGCTCGTCGTGAGCGCAGCCTGGCGGCAGATTTTGATGTGGTGTGCGTTTTTGTTTATTATTGAGTTTTGACCTGCACTTGCCGTTCTTTCGGTTATTCGTCACAGTTTTTATTTCTAGAATCATATGATAATGGTTCTTTCTTAATTTTTATTAATGTTTTACTTTACCAATTGCCTCTCGCACATACCATTAAACTCATACACCACACCATGAAGAAACACCATCAGTTATCTGTCATCAGAGACCTCGTGAAACCTACCACGCATAATCTTGATGGTAAGGGATTTGTATCTCCTATCATTCGTTACATTGTCTGTTTGTCACCCATATTATCCCGTTCAATGCTGAACATAATTTATCGGCGAGTACAGGACATCTCAAGGGTGTTATGAGCTGTACTTTACCATCAACAATTTTCTAACCTCTCTTCTACCTCATGCGTTTTCAAATTCCTCGTGAATTCATTTTAGTCTGTAAAGCAATGAACCGTGCTAAATTTTCATCCTGATCTGCAAGCATGTAGCAAGTTTCCTAGAGCCCAATTCACACTATTACTCTTTTCCTATGACATAATTGAACGACAAGTTGGATGGAAAGTGCATGCCAAAAATTTTGATTCAATTACAGTTGCAGTGTGATATCGTTATCAGCCTACGGTTCGCGAAGATATAGCTTCGGCTCACGTTGGATGGAAGATTTGGTTCCAACGTTTCATTCAACCTTGTTAGTTGAATGTGACGCCACATTCAAGTTTCTGTTCAAGTTTATATCAAATGGGCGTTTTCTCTCGTCAGCATTACACTACCTAACTTTTCATTCGACAAGTTGTATCCAAGAATTGGATGAAAAGTTTGATAGTGTGAATTTGGCTTAATGCAATTTGTCGATCACTCTGCCTCACTTCTTTACTACAGTGTTTGAGATCATTGAACGTGCAAATACTGGGTTTTAGGTGATGCATGCTGGGTGCGGCTTATGGTCTAACTAGCATGAGTTATATCGCAATGATGAAATCCAGTATCGCGGGCAGTTTAGAATTTTTAGTTGCACAATCTATATTGGCCCTAAACAAGATCCACTTTGACTAGCTTTTCTGGGTAACTGCAGTAGAACTGAATTGTTAAGTAAAGTGATACGTCAATCTCAAGTGACGTGGTCAAAGTAGCATGCGATACGTTGCATCGATTAGGTCAGAAATATTATATGACTGATTATGAATTTTAAGCCAAAAAAAGGACGATAGCCCCTCCGATGAGCCTAAAGAATCATGCTAAACTAAAAAATTTGCGTCATGTAGGAAAATGAGAGCAGAATCCTGTTTGGAAAAAAACCTCCCATTTGAAACCGTCATCAATTTCTGTATCCACTGCGAGGATTTTTTCTAAACATGATTCAGCTCTCATTTGCCTAATTTTTTGGTTTAAAATGATTTTTTAGGCTCATATACAGGGGCTATCGTCCTTATTGTGGCTAAAAATTCAAAATGTGCAGAGATATTAGACCTAATTGTTGCGATATTTCGCAGGCCAGTTTGACCTTGCCACTTGAGCTAGAAGAATCACCCCAAGTGTTCAATGCTTATAATAGACTGATATAGTGGCTATGTCATTCGATATAATATCAAACTCTTGGTTCAAATGTAAAAAAAACACGGAACCTTGTTCCTGATTCGCGTCCTTTGCGCCATGGTGGTAAAATGCAACCAAGTGTTTCTTACACTCAAAATTTCCCACGTTTAATGAGTCTATAATAGATTTATGACCGCTCAATGACTAAATTCGACTAAATTTACACAATCAACTCATGAAGAATTCGTATTTGAGCTGTTATGTTAGCTTGTTTTGGTTTGAACCAAGAGGTCTATATTATATCCAATGACGTAGTCCATAAATTAGTCTAAGGACAACTTCATAATTATCCGGAAACATGTATTTGACGATAAGCTACTAGTTATTCGAGCATCCCAACAGAATATCATGCACATTTCCCTCGCAAATTATTCTCTTTAGTTCAATCATAAGTTGCAAATATCTGAAAGCTTCCTGGAGTAATGTTCCGTTCAGTCCTTCAATTTTTTTCAATTGTAAGCCTTTTGAAGTCCGTGCCAAATAATTTCACGCAATTTTAGATTGTAACAGAAGATCCTCTGATGTCACTTTTACATGTAAAGTAAGTGCAAGAAGCAAGTTGGCAGATCTTCTGTTGCATTCTCAAAGTGTGTAAACTTACGTAGCATGAACTCTAGGTGTTTAAAGGGAATCTGTGTAGGATTTTCAGGTGTCATTTCAGACATCTTTTGAAGAATCAGTAGTTTTCCCCTCAGTAATTTAATAACGTTTGTGGATGTTCTCTTCTTTAGGTGCAAACACAACCCTCTCGGATGCCCTTGAGAAAAATTTGGAATTGGTCATTCAGAAATATTCGATCAACACTGAGAATCTGAAATACTTTGGCCCAAATGATGATCCATGGTAAGAAAATAAAGTTCTTTTAGGCTTTTTTGTCCTAATTGAGTTAGGGGCAAAATTTTGTTCTCCACACTGTAAGTAATACATCTGCCTACATAGTTTTTTCGATACCAAATTCGGTTTTCATGTTTTAAATAAGATGAGGAGAGTCCAGTTGAGGATCAAAACCTGCCAAGGCGGATAAACAATGGTGGTCACATCGTACCTGCTTGACATACTACGGTGCCGGGTGCATGGACTGATCTGGGTTGGGAGGGTCGGTCTTGCCTCGGCTTGCACAGCAAAACCCGTACTCTCTTGACGTCTTCAAGATGGCAGCCAAAATCGAAATGTGACCACCATTCTTTATCCACCCTGAAAACCTGCAATATCCAATTCTCCAATGGCATCTTCTCTAATATTTGGATTAAAATACACAACCTCCGTCTCCATTTCAGCCAATCAGATCATCTCCAATGTTGCTTGAGGTTATGTCTCCTCATTTAAACGGTAGCAGTGTGCTGTGTGAGATAACATTTTCTAAAAAAGTTTCACCTACATGTCCTCTTCCTGAACCCAACATAACAGAAAATTTTCACATCTCACAATCTCACTTGTTTGATGTATCGAATATGATCCATTGATCACTCCCCTGAAAAGCTGGTTTTTCAATTTTCTTTGGCCCCTGTACATTCCTATGCTGAACATTGGAAGTAGGTCGTTCCAAATAAAACTGTGTTCATGTGAAAACTGGGTGTCCAAATTTTGAAACCATCTAGTGCGACACACACAGAAAGAAAGAAAAAAAAAGAGTTACTCAAGTGGAAGAAAAATGTTCTTGTTTTGATTGAAAAATGATGAAGAAACAAAACAAATGGCTGGTGAAACTTCACATAATTTTTAAGTTCGAAGTCCTCTGTTACTTATTCTATGAGGCACTGCACTGTTATAGTACCAAGGGAGTTATTCAAGAAGAATTTTCCATCATGTGATCTTGCTAATAGTATCATTTTCTTCGGTTCTTTCAGTTGGAAATTTGTTTGCCTTTCACTTTCATTGCTGGAGGAATTAAAAGAAGGAATTTGCACAGCAGAAAAAATCGAAGATGAGCTCATAAGTCTATCGGAGCGAAAGGAAATCTTGTCTTGTATGGAATTTGTCATATCTCTAGGTCTCAAACCCTATCTTCTTCCAGGAGTTGGTATTCCTTCTCCATCAGACCTACAAAGAGCAGAATTTCTCAAACATCTTCAAACGTTGAATCATTTACAGGTTGGTCTTCTCATTAAAAAATAAACTGTGTCCATCATAGAAAATGGCAAGAGTGAGTAGTGAAAGTCATTGATTTAGAGCTGTGCAAAACTTGTAATCAGCAAATCTGTAGTAAGTAAATGAAAAACATTGGTGCAGTGTAAACTTGGACTGTTTGAGTAGGGGCCATGAAAATGTTTCCATCAGTAGTAAGCGCCATCAAAGGAAATCAGTTTAGAATAAAATAATTCTGTTTTTTTGAAATGATACAATTGCAAAAAACCATTTAATCGTTATGTTTGTCTATTTTTAAGATTAATACATCCTTTAAAAGTCGAGGTTTTCTCATTTTTCTCAGCATTGCAAAAAGGCAAATACGATATAAGAATTATTAACGATCAACTACTCAATTATTAACAATACCAGCCAATGTCACAAGTGGACTACATTTTTCAATATGAAACCACTATCTTTAGCTTGTTCCAGAAACAGAATACATGTCATTGCTTTACCTATATAAGTAGGTGTTTCTATGGTTAAACCCAAAACAGTAGTCCTTCAATGCAAAATGTTGTCCAACTTGCAACTTGCCTTGCAAAATTAACCAGATCATCCGGGATAGGTCAGGAATTTGCTTACCCCAAAATTATGTGAACATCCTAAATTGTTGATCTGTGACTCAAATAGCATCTTATTTGAAAAATGGTTTATTTTTTTACACTTTTCATGGATGAAATCCATTCACAAAAACAGAACAGAATATAATTGTAAGTTAAGGATGTAATTACTATGAACATGAATTCAAAAGACGGAAAAACAAACTGAAAGAGAAACTGCAAAATTTACACCCTTCATGTAATCTTGAATTGGTAATTGCACATATATTTAACAATTCCAAATTACAACTAAAGTCATTGCCCAGCCCTCCTAACCTTATATGAGAAAACTGTTCATTTTTTTTGTTTTTGTTTTTTTGCAGAAGTATGAGAGGCTTTGCATTACAGTCCGCAGTCTATTACTTTTGAAAGATGAATTTATATTCCAGTCGGTATTAATCCCCAAGTTCTTCAACGACCTGTTAGCTGCACTTTTTCAATTATGTTTTACTCCTTTGAAACGGCCCGATGACAATGCCTCTTCTGTGAACTCGGAAGACGCAATGACTCTAGACCTGTGGAACAAGCTGCAAATAGATAGACAGGACTTCCGCCAGAAACTTGAATTCATTCTCAAAAGTTCTCATCAATCTTCCTTGATCAAAGAAATCATGGTCATTCAAGGCAGTAAGGTACTTCCTCAACCTTTTAGAGCAATTTTTTAAAGCACTTGAATTTTCAATTCATCCTTTTCCTAACAAAAGAACGTAACTGGGTTTCGATGTTGCCAAATTTTTCCTTGCAAATTGCAGTTCTACCAGGAGAAACTTGGATATTTTTAACTGAAAATTTCACTTATTTTCTTCTAATCTCATACAGAAATCAGACAAAACAAGGACCAAAATTGTGCAATTACATTCTCATAAAAAATGAACTGTCTAAGTCAATTTTGCAACCTTGAAATGGAGTTACGAATTTTCGTCCTGAAAACTACGAAGCGTTTGAGAATTCATTCAATGGTGTAGAATCTTCTTAGCTCCACATTTTTATGCGCCTGCCTGTGGGCTTTCCATATTTTTCTCATTGGCTTTATCAAAAAATTTCTGAAGCACTTAAAAGAGGATTAACTTTTTCTTCTTCTTGTTTTTTTTTTTTTTTTTTTTTTTGACTTTCGACTTTTGACCTTCAAAAGTTTTTCCTCCTTTCGCATTTTCTACACCTCCACATTTAACTTTGTAAAATCTGTTAGAACTTTGAAATCAGTTTCAAAGTGAACTGTTGAAATTACTAGTATTCATGCTTGTTAGTACATTATAAATATATACTCCTCAACATAGTTGATTTTGCTCTTCCAACAGGGTAAATACAAAAGAGAGAATTTTTTTACTCGTTAAATTCTTTTCTTTTTTGATTTAGTCAAGTCATAACTGAGAGTATGATTTCCTGAGCAGCTAAAAATCAAATTCTGTTCCAAAAGGAGAAAAAAAAAATCATACCAACAGATTTCATGTCACATGCTGCAGCAGCAATTTTATTGTTTTTACCAACCTTTATGTATTGTGGTTTGACCGAAAGCAGTGAAGGGTAGGCCTTGAAGAGCGCAAGGGATTGCTATAAAGCGACCTATATGTATGTACCAACCATTATCCGAGGAACATTTTGCTGTTTTTCATTTTTGCAATTTTATATTATTAATGTTCTATATAAATATCAGTAGAAATGAAAAAGAGCAGTTTCCCAAAAAAACTGGATGATATCACCTCAAACTTATCTTCAAATGGTGCAATGCTTTAAAATCTAAACACCGATGGTGAGAAGATACTTGCTGGTCAATGTATCTTATGTTGCATAGCAAAATCTGCTGCAATATTTTTCCTCAAGAAATGTGGATGGATTTTTCTGCAACTTTGAAAGTCCTTTTTGTGGTAAAAACTCTATTATTGAAAAACGGAAAAGCACATGTGCGTCTCCTAATTTTTTACAATAACTCAGAAAATATCAATTCAAAACAAGTTTTGCAGCACCCTAACATTCTACTATATTCTTTAACAATGTTGTGAAACGTTACAGGCATGTCCCAAATGGTTGAAACTAGCCTGCAGCAAACTACTCTCGGAAAGATTAAAGCAACCAGGAGGTCTCAGAGCAACTGTTACAGCTCTTTGCGATTCTGATTTCGATTCACCTACTACATGGAAGAAATTAGATGTGATAACTCGAATTATTCTTAGTCCAGATATAAATTGTGCTGATGATTACTATGATAAAATTGTCACTCAAGTAAGTATCTTGAACTTGTTTTAAACTTAAACTTGTGTTCACAATGAACTTGGAGATTATCCGTTTTAATGATTGAAAAATAGACTTCATGTCTAAATTGCTTGCACCTGTAAAATTGTGGCTCTACTATTAATTCGGTAGTAGAATATTTGAGGAAGTCAAAAGACTGGATAGAAATTAATAAACCGCTAGATAAGAAGTGAGTTTTAGCATAACAGTTCATATTCTCACCTAAAATTTTCATGTCGAACATGTTCGGTGCAAAAGAAATTATCAAAGAGCTTCTGAAGAGCCATTCTATTGAGCTTGAAATTGATAGACTGTAATTTTTCATGAATTATTTTAAATTTTTCATCAGTTAATTATTTCAAACATCATTTTAATCGGTCTTCGACAGCGCTGCCTGTCATAATACTGAATTACATGTATTTTTTAGCTCTCTTTGAAGATATTTTGTAAGATAAAATATTGATTTTTGGTTCCAGCTTTTGGATATTCTTCACTGCTCAGAAAGTAATGATAATAAATTCGAATCAGTCATGAAAGAAGTCTCCGTCCGCTGTATCAAGCTCATTACAGAGGCCCCTAATGTACCAGAAAAGAGGCAATTGCTTAAATTCATAATGCGCCCGTTACTTTTCCCATCTGCTTCCATTCAGGAGACGGAAATCACAATCTGTATATCAGACCTCCTCACCTGTTGCACTCTTTCCAGAAATGAAATGTTCCGGGTGTCTCCAAAGTTACTTACTCCGATCGTCTATAGGTTGTTTTTGTTATTGGTCAAATTAAACACCTCTCCATCATCGCTCAAAAATGACGTAAAAAACTTGATTTACTGCATATTTTGTGACCTGCAAGAAGATGAAACTCTCTATGGTGTGTTGTTCGTGTGTCTTTTCAATGATATCAGTTTTTGCCATCAAGTTCTACCTTTAAATAGCCACAAATTTGAGCTTGGAGATAGTGGAAGAGTCTGTTTTAAAGAAGGTTACAACAAAGTACTTACGGATGAAACAAGCAGTATTATCATTGATCTTTTCATTGAGAAAGACTCAGAAAGAGTTACTCTCAAAAAAGTGTTTGTTAAGTTGTTGACCATTGTCGCAGAGAATGATCCAGTTGTTCATGATTTTGAGCGATATCTCATTGTCATCAAAACTTTGTCAACTCTTTCGAGTGATGAGAAGATTCAGAAAATTATAAATGAGGAACCAAAACTTATCGTTGATTTCGTAAAATCACTTCTCAGCGGGACCTTAGATGATAGTGTTGAAATAATTTGCCTTGGTTTAATGATCTTAGATGTCATTTTAAGCAATGTAACCCATTCTAGTCTGCGTCAGGACAGCTCTTATTTTAAAACTTTGATCAAGCCACTGTCAAAAACTTTGGAAACAACGAAGAACGATGAGATTCGGTCATTAGTTGAGCGGATTTTAAAGTTACTAAAAGAGCAAACCAGTGGAAGTAGGAAAGAACCATCCAAATCCTCTGCTGATCTAGTCCCCATAAAAGACGGAAACACGAAACAACTTTCATTTCAAGAGGCTATGCATGATGTTTGTGATGCTCTCCTCCCTGTGCGAGCGCATGGTATGATGCATCTTACAAAATTGATTCGTGCCAAGGATCAAGAAGCCCTTGCCAAAAAAGATGTTTTGTTCTGTTTGTTCAAGGTAATTTACCAAATTTTTAGTTACTACTAGAATACTATTGATTTTATCTCACATCCCTTCAACCAGCATTTGTCAATGACAACTTATCTGATTTTGAGGTAAAAGTCAATTCTTGCTGATCTTAAAATCAGAAACAGTCAACAAGTGATGATGCATTTAAGTAACACCTATGACGACTGTTCCTCTTAAAGATATTTTACAATTGCCTCAACAAACGATGAGTTCGCTCAGGATTAAATAATATTAATGGGCCTGTTGCAAACTTTTGCTAGAGCAAAAATAAGAGTTGTTTCTACTAGATAATGCCTCAAAAATCACGATGAGCGCATCGGCAAAGTCTGAAATGCACTCATAACTTCACAGTCTGCGTAAGAAATTTGCGGTTTTTTGAGCTTCCTGCTTCAAAAGCGATACTACGGCACAGGTGAACATTTTGTAAAAGGAGTCGTTCCATCGTCGGCAGTACTCATCATGGCCGACGCCAATCCGCCAAAACACGTGTGATGGGACAAGATAATACCTGAACTGGATTAGACCAGATAACAATCGGCGTGTTTTAACGTTCATGTTTTCCACGCCCGAATTGATTGACCTTGAACTCTCCTCGAATTACGCGCGGAACTGCGCGCAAGCGTCGGCCATGATGAATATCGCCGACGATGGAGCGACTCCTCTAACAAAATGTTCACTTGTGCCGTAGTATCGTTTTTGAAGCGGGAAGCTTAAAAAAACGCAAATTTCTTACGCAGATTGTGAAGTTATGAGTGCATTTCAGACTTTGCCGATGCGCTCATCGTGATTTTTGAGGCATTATCTATAAGAAACAACTCTTATTTTTGCTCTAGCAAAAGTTTGCAACAGGCCCATTCAGCAAAATTACATAATCACAAGTTCTTGTCTAAGATTTTATTAACATGGCTGTCCTTGAGCGGTTTTTCCGTCTTATTTTCTTGATTAATTTTTTTTACATCACATCACACAACCAAAAAAAAACAGTCAAATATTTATGTAAACAAATCTTTGTTTTTGACTCACTCACCAAGTTTTATCTTGGCAGGAAAATCTGAAGCATGAAGACTCTTACTTATACCTGAGTGCAGCTGACGGCCTAGCAAGTTTAGCAGCAGAGCTACCAAATTCTGTTCTGGTTACACTTATCGATGAATACTCGTCTAATGAGAACCCAGAGCTAAGACTGAAAGTTGGTGAAACTTTAGTGAAGTGCACCAGAATGCTTGGTAAGTCCTAATATCTTGCTTATCTACATAAATTCCCTATAATCTTGTTTTTGCTCAGGTTCTTATTATAAGAACCACAGGGTTTCTTACTTCTTTTTACTATAACTTCAGTAATTGCTTATGAAGGAACCGGAGGATGTTCATGTATAGATGTCTGTCATACTTCTTTTTCAAAAACGAAATAGAAAAAATTACATGAAAAAATAGTTTAAAATTACTGTATTTACCACGTATCGTAGGCACCTTTTTCAAAATTTTGGCTCTCAAATCAAGGGTGCGTATGGTATGTGGGCATTGCCCCAAGATGTAACCTGCAATACAGCTCCAACCTATCCTCGCTGGCCAACGGTTGCCGAGCGAGTGAAGTGGGCAAGTGCCTCCACGGATCATTAATTTTTTCAAAGGACCCGAAAATTTGGGGTGCATATGATACACAGGTAAATACAGTATTCATAAATTATAAACAATTTTATTTTGAAGTTGTAACGTTTCTGTTACAATTGAATTAGCGAAAACCGCTAATGTCCATTTTTCCATACTCAAGTTTTTTTGAGTTCATAATACTTTTACAGAGTTGATACAACCATACAAGTGATGAAATGACTCGTTTTGGGATTAAGGAAACCCGGAGACAAGTTTTAACGCCGCTTTTGTCATTGCAATCAACTCCAGAAAGTATTATGAACACATACAAACTTAAGACTGAAAAAATGGACATAAGCGGTTTTCGCATGTCCCGATTCAATTATGTTACATTCTATTACAATATCCTGTTTGCAACAATGCTTTCTTGCTCATTGCATATATCACAAAAATTGCAGTCATGCAGCAAAATCTTACCTGAAAATTTTACATTCAGCTAAAATAATCTTGGTCCTTTTTCTCTGTAATATTTTCATTATTTTGAAACCGTGGTAAAAACTGCTGTTCACAATTTTGGTGAACTTTTTTCTCTCTCTTTCTCTTTTTCTTTATATTATCTGTACCTTTATAATTTTCATAATATGTATATGAGTACGTATATGGGGAAAGTATGGATATGTCGCTAATTTTGAAGGTTAGGTCATGGAGCAATGTTAATACATACAGCATTTCTCCGTAGCACGGCAGTATATGGGGAGAGCACAGACATGTCGGTAATTTTGAGTTAGGTCATGGAGCTCTCCAGGCCCCAAAAAAGCAGCCAACCTATGAACTCCCATTGGTCAGAATTATTTTTTATTAATACAATTCTTATGGCATGTTTGTACAGCATATGTTAGACTTAGATTTTGCATACATTTACTCACTTTTGCGAAAGAACGCTCTTTTATAAACATTCTTGGCCGTTTTTCTTTGATAATGGAATCTGAAGATTGGCAGCAGCATTTTTCTAGTTTTATTCATGTTAGAAGGTTGGCTGCCTTGCTGGGCCTCAAGAGCTCCATTTTTCGACGTGTCTGTACTCTCCCCAAGTAGGTACTCTAATATCTGTATGTCCTTTTTAATTTTAAGTATCCAATCCAAATACTGATTCTAGCCTATATTTGTCTGTCTTTTCTTAGGAGAGTTAGTACCAACCTACAAAACTGAGTTGCTGAATGCATTTTTATCTGGCACAAGGGACTTGGATCCACTAGTCAGGGCATCCAGCTTATCCAACCTTGGAGAGGTGTGCCAGCTTCTTGGTTTTAGAATTGGCTCTATTATTGTGGAGGTTCGTACATTGTATTCAGTCAGTCTTCATGCCAACTAATTTTAGAGGGACCCTCTCAACATACTCCCTGCATTGGTGTTTTATCGTAATTGTTTCTGCTGGACCAGGAAAACGCCAAAATTTCAATCACGGTTTGTGATAGTGAAGATGCCAGAGTGCTTTCTATCCATTATGTATGTAACTAGTATTTTACAATTAGTCGCATGGAGGATCGGCAGACAGAGCCTCTGTCACAAAATAGCGTCATGAACATGCTGTATAAAATTCGGGTCACTGTAACTGCTTTAACCATAGAGTACAATAGAGTCGCTTTGTACTGGAGTGCCGATAAAGTCACTTTTTGAGGTTGTTTTGTCCAGTACTCCTGAGACTAGTGTGCAGGGACTGGCGCGGAGACCTGGACAAATCGTGAAAATCCCTAAACATTGACTTTTTTTCCTAGAAGCTAAAATAAAGCAAGTAAAATTGACCATCCTCAAATACAGGGTGACTCAGGAGTTATAGGGCACCCCTATAACTTTTGAACAAATTAAATAGAGACGTTAGATCTTGATTCACTGATCCCAAATTTTGTATATCAATATCATTTAATTAAACCATCATTTTCTGACATATTTTACATTCTTTGATGGATATATTTCTCTATTTTAATTAATGTTTTTTACAGATTTTGGAATGCGTCAGCAATATAATCTCCTCAGACAAAGATCCAGAACCAAGACGTGCAGCAGTGATGGTTATAACAATGTTGTTGAAAGGGCTTCAAAATGACCTCTTTCAGGTAAGCGAAGAGCGTAGCATTTTCTCTTATCCTCCCTTGGTAACATCACAGGTGAGATCACCATGTTGCATTAAAAATTATCTAGTTTTTAATGACTAGTACAAATGGCTTTTACATCTTTACCATGTTATTGATGCATCTACAAAATTTTCCAAAAGAGAATGGGAATGGCATCATGGTGTAAAGACTGTGATCCCAAAACTCCACAAGTTGGAAAATTTAAGATCCATGCTGAGAATGAGTTTTTACAGCACATTCCCTGAGCTGCTAAATATTTCTTTTTTTGTTTTTGATCACTTTTCTTTGAATCCTTTCTTTTTTTCTCCCACCCACACACACAAGGTGTCTACTGTATGGTAAAGGATAGATACACTGTAAAAGCTTGAGTTTTGAAAAGTTTGTACAGAAATACAGAAAGCCTACATATACTTCATGTGAAAGTATGCAAATGCGGGATTTTTACAAGAGCTTTACAAAGAAAACGAAAATTTGTTTTGATTACTAATCCTGCCAGTTGCTCATAAATTTGTCCAACTGTTTGCAAACTATGGTTAAAAGTGCCTCATATGGATCCCATGAACTATTACAGATGCTAAAACCATTTCAGCATGAAGTCATTCAGTCATATTTATTTCGAGAGATATGGCGTGTTTTATTTCTTACATGTAATCAACGCACTTAAATGCATTTAAAATATGGCAGAGGGAGGAAGCACTTGGCTTTGTCAACTTATTAAAAAAAATTTTAAAATTAATTAAGTTACATGCTTTGAGAACTGAGCTTATTTAGGTCATTTGCCACCCGGCTAAAACGCTTCAGCTCAATCTTAAAGCACATGAGCTAGTTTACTTCCTAAAAAAAGATTCTTCATAGTGATGTAAATGTACATAAGTCTTCTTTCAATTATCAAGAAAGTACATTCTCCAGTCATAGTCTACAAAATAAACTATTCAATAAGTTTTGTTTTATTTTGCAGACATAGCAAAGGCTTTAACTGTATTTACTAGTCTTCAACTGACACTTACTAGAATTGTTCTTGTTCTTGCTTATTCTTACTATTTATGGAGTCTCTTCCGTGATAGCATTACTAATTTGCAAATTTCCTGCTGCAGGTCCTAGAGAAGCAACTGCTATCTTTGTACAGAGCGCTGAAACAAATCTATGTGAACGAACAAGATGACATCGTGAAACTGCATGCTCAGCTCGCTATTGAGGAGCTAAACCGAATCACCAAAGACTTCTTTTTTCCGCAGCAAATTCTCCCGGAGAAGATTCAAACCTTGGACATTACGTGATTGCTACTTTCATCCTCTTATATCATAGAAGAGTAAGAATTTTCCAGGATTTTAACTGCCAACAATCTGTAGGTGTTTGTGATGATATAGTGGAATATGTCATTACTCAACAATGCTTATGCACATCTTAAGCCCAAGTTTATTCTAGATATTTTTTGGAGTGGAAATTTTACAAAAACCTTGGAATGGGCTAATTAATATTTCTGATCCTGACAAATTCTCTTTTTTCTTAATTATCCGATGCTGCCACATCTTTCACATCGAAAGGTCCACTTTCCAGGATTGCCGGCGGTCTGGAAAAGTCAGGGAATCTTTAAATAAAGCTTTACATCATCAGCAAACCATAGAGATTTTACAAAATATATAACTAGAGCAAGATTGTTGAAGAATATTAGAAACAGGACACTGGCCAGATGGGCACCTTGTGGAACACCCGAAAGGGCGTCAATGTAATCAGATATAAAACCTTGAATCCTGATTCTCTGGATTCGGCCTGTTAAAAGGGATTGGAACCAGCTTAAGAGGGGGCCAGAAATTCCACAACTATACAATTTTGATATTAGGCGCGCATGATTTACTGTATCAAAGGCTTTTTGTATATCTAGGTAAACGACATGAGTCTCGCAGTTCTCAGAAAACGCATCAAGAATAAACTCTTCCAAGAGAGCAAGATTGCTAACTATTTATTTCCTTGGGAGGAAGCCATGATGTTGCTCAGAAATGAGTGGAAAGATGAACGGTGATATGATTTTATGAACAGCGGCATCAAATGCCTTAGCAAAAACGGAAGCGATAGTAATTGGTCTATAATTTCTAATGTTAGAGGGATTTCCAGTTTTATAAATAGGAGTAATACAGCTAAAAGGTTTGGCCATGTTGTCTCTTGCAACCAGTTGCTTCTCTTTGAATGAGTCAGCCCAAGCTTTAAGACCACTCAGATCCATTCTCAAAGTTGCAGATGTATACCCAGGTAGAATGATTTGATCTGGATTGAGAAGGACGTCATTAGCATCCCACAAGGCACCAGAAATTGCATTGTTCCGACGGAAGTAAGCTCGGAAGAGCTGTGGGTTGTTAATGTTTGCTAAGCACACAACAGTAGCTCTCAAATTTGAGAGTGTCATAGAATAAGGTGACGGAGCATAACCTTCAAGTTCACCATCATGTGTGATGGCAAGGTGACTTTCTGGAACAAAGGGCACAAATGTCACATTGTCGTGGGTAAAGCGACAAAGAGCGTCGAGTGCCTTAATGATAGGAGCAAAATTCCTAGTTAGAGCAGCTATGTCAGTTTCAAAAGATTGAAACTGATAAATATCAGCTGGAACAGGATGGGGAGGAATGGTAGTTCCTCCATCTTGTAGGGCCAAGCGTAATACGTAATCAGCTTGTCCAAGCGTTCCTCGAAACATTCAGTAGATTTTAACACCAAAGGGCAATGGTGACTGACACATAATTACTTCATTGTAGCACTTTTGAGTAAGAAAACCAAAACCTCGCGTAGAAATAGAAAGTTGTGAGTTAGGTGTTGTCTTTTGGCTTTCGGTTTGTGCTATGAGCTGCATGTAAGCTTCTGCTCTTTTCTTGAGTTGGGACTCTCGGTGTTTTGCTTTTTGCAATCTCTTTGGCATTGCGTTTATTCCTGGCTCCTTTGCCTTTTCGAGCTTCAATTGGTCTTTCCAACCTTTACCGGTAGTAGGGGTAACAATCTCATCTTTGGAATACATGTTTGAAAAATTGAGTAAGATACCTCGTGTACACAGACACGATACAATACAAAAAAATGAGGCCAAAGGCAGTAATATATGACATAAGGTACAGTAACATTGGAATGATGTTAAGTAACCAATTGTAATAAAGCAGAAATATAATATTTCAAGACAAAGATGGTAATACGTGCTGTAAGATATAATGACGTGGGAATAATGTTACGTAGCAATTATAGTAATATACAATAATAATTCAAGACAAATACAGTAATACATGCCATAAGATATAATGACGTGGAAATTATGGTACATAACACATACAATGAACAATAAATCGCTTAATAATGTGAGAAGATGTTCGGGTTGTTTTTAATTATATGAGAAGTTTATTAAAAATTCATTATGGTTTTAGATGTTGTGCAACCTAAACAACTTTTACCTTCTTACCTACTTTATTCTAGGCAAGGATATCAAGGAAATTAAATGAAGAGTCAGACTCAGTACATTTAAAGTCTTTCGGCTATGTATATTGAGGCAATGACAGAATTTAGTATTAAAATTATTACCACAGCTTCGTAGCACTCTTGGAAACATAAATTTGAAATGTTCTGCTATGGAATTAGTCGTTAAATTGTTAACCGTCTGCTCCTGTGAATTAGGTAGTTTCAGTGGCCATAAATTAAATTTTGACGACCATTGTCTTCCAATAAGGCTGACCTCTGTACCAGGCATAACATACAATTTTAGCATTGCAGTATGAACTGTGGCGAAGCAATTTACACAAGTGTAGCTGTGATCTGCAATCGTTTTGCTAGACCTAATTGCTATTGAACAGCTTCATTTGGAGCAACTCCCAGGGGGTCTTGAATTATTTGCTGTGACTCGTTGTACACTAAGTGGTCCATATAATCATGTTGTAACACACAAAAATTGTGCAGAACACACGCCACCGTTACAGTTTTTGAGATTTTCTCGTGTTTGTATGTGTTTATATGTTGGAGCCGGACCCATCTTCCTTTCAGCAACCCAAAGGTGTTCTCTATTTTCATTCTGCAAGAAAAAGAATACATGAGTTCAGTATATTGAGCGGTCCAGCATCTCATTAAGAGACATAAGAGAGCATGAGTCGCTTTGAAATCTGCACGAATTTTTCAGCAATAACTCCATCATGACCTAATCACGTTGGTTTCTGATCACCAGGGGTTTAAGAGGAATGAAAGAAAAAATATATATAGATATATCTCACAGGGAGAAGTTCACCTCCTTTTATTGTGACAAAAATAGGTATTCTGTTAACACAATATTGCAAAAGTAATATCATGCCATTCATTTTTCTGTTTCATATCTCTATTCTGTGAATTACTTATGAGTCTATTTACTTTTTCCTTGAGTATGAAAAATGTCCTTTTATTGGCTGTACCTGGTACATATTTCTCATAAAAAAACCTAACAATTTTTAAAATTATTGGTGAATAAGTGGATTATGAAAATGGGTGAAATGCTTCATTTCTTACCGGGTTTGACTATGTCGCTTGTTGAAGCGTTTCTGCGCCACTGTCAAGTTCCGATGTTTATACCTGACTATCATGTACGATGTCAAGGCGTAAGCCGGATCCCCAAGCAAGTGGTAACGGTCTTGGTAAAATAGTGCCTTTTTACCCTTTTGATTTATGGCTCTTTTCAAACTTGATAATCTAAATACTTGTGCATCGTGCACACGGCCAGGTGCTCCAACAAAGATATGTGTAAAAAAGCGTTTGCTAGTACAGACACCTCGTAAAACGACTGACTTGAACATTTTTCTATTTATGTAGCTGTTCCCAATTGTTTTTCTAAACTTGGCAGAAATGTGGCTACCATCTATGACTCCAATCACTCCTGTTTTGAAAAATAAAAAATTTTTAAAATTCAAAATACAACAATTTGAAAAATAAGTTGTATCAATAACATTTCCAAGAAGCTACAAAAACAAATTCTGAATCCACGAGGTAATAGACAGTTGGTAGTTCCCTTGATTAATTCTAAAACATCACAATGGAGTTACTCTCTCTTACATCAAAAGGGTCAAATTTTGAGTAAGATTAAGGTTTGGCGCAATGTTACTTCATGGAACTAATATGTATTTTTTTTACTTTCACTGAACCATCTTAAAATTTTCCATTTACAAATTAGATATTGTTTCAGTATAGTTCTTAGCATTTTAGTTTATTTTGTATTCTCTTCTTGTAACATGTAACTTTGCCTTATTGAAAGAAAAGCCTTGTCATTAGATGTATTCTATCCGTTATCAGCTTAATAATAGAGTTGACGTCAAACTATCAGTGAAGTGTACCTGATATGTTATAATAAATTGATCTGACTCTTAGGTAAATACACAAGAAAGTACAAGACTTTGCTGCTTTTTAGATCTTCGACAAAACTTCAAAGAAAATTTCATCCGTATCCCCGAGTCAATATCATAAGCTTTATTACATTTTCATACCTTCTGCTGCGCGCTGAGTTTGCTTTCGAATGACTGCCTGAGGTTGTTGATTTGGTTGTCGAATGACTGCCTGAGGTTGTTGATTTGGTTGTCGAATGACTGCCTGAGGTTGTTGATTCTGTTGTCGAATGATGGCCTGAGGTTGTTGAGTTTGTTGTCTAATGACTGCCTGAGGTTGTTGAGTATGTTGTCTAATGACTGCCTGGGGTACCTGACGGACGACAAATTGCTGAGTTGTTTGCTGTCGAACAACGTTCTGATTCCGCTGATGAATGAGTGACAGTTGTGCCTGATAGAGCACCAGCTGACTCGGCTTCGGAGCAATTGGTCGCACTCTGATCACCATAGGCTTTCCTATAATGAAACAAAGAGCGAACTTAAAGTTACCAATTGCTATCATTAATTACAAGATTGAAATGAACACCTGAAGCAGACTAGTAAATGAAGAAGCTTACTACCTTAGGAACTCATTCTGTTTGGAAAAAAAAACTCCATAGAATGTTTGCAGATTGGAAATTTTCGACTTGATACTTTTGAAGCGATTTCAAAATTTGATATGATGAGCTACATGTATATATAGTCAGATCAGCAGTGAGATATCGCCCAATGAACCCTCTTAAATCCTCCTGAAATCATATTAAAGTTAATCCTACGCGTGAATGATGACTTCTAATTACCATACAGAATAGCGTAAAAAAAGGCAAGTATGAAGCACCAGTGACGAAGCCGCCTCTCCAGTAGCCATTCGTCGTCATTAACTCATGAGCCATTTGCACAACGCTCTTAACACATGCCTACAGCTCATGAAGTGTGCACATAGTTTCATTTGACAGAATGTAAAATCTCGCTTATCCAATTCAGCGAACGGAACTGTGTGCCGACTAAATGCAAGACTCATGAGCCGTGGGCATGTGTCAAAAGCAGCTTGCTTGCAGACCAATTATCAATATGAGACATATCTTTTCCCGACAAGACAAAGCTGGATTGATTAAACGACCAGCAAGTGCATCTGAAACCTTTTCGCTGGCCAAATGGCCACCTAACTAAAGGCACCTCCTCGCTGGTGCGGGCGGACAACATGTCAATAAACTGGCTTAACAAAAGGCTCACAACGCGGTTACTTGTCATCCGATCAATAGAGCTTGATAGCTGGTCTGTCACATGGCATCAGTATAATTCAATCAAAGCTTGCCTGCCAGAATAATACATGATCCCAACGATCGGCCTGCTGAAATGTGCTCTAGTTTTTGTTGGTTTGTTCACGGCAATCCGAGTGGTGGAACAATTTACCCAGTACTACAAAATTACGCATGAAGTGTGCAAATAATTGAGACTACACTTAATGTGGGAAATGATGTACAATTGAATAAAGCAGCATTACTTACCTAAGTTCAGTTTGCTCGTTGGTTCAACCATGATAGCAGGTAGATTTTGGGACGATAAAGGATGGACAGACCCCGGGTTCTCAGAAGATTTTCTGGTCTATTTCTGTCAGGACGATGATTATGCGACGAAAAAATGTGATGGTCGGATGATAGTGGTGCTCCGAAAAATCAGATGGTCGTTCGCCGCCTCATTAAGAACTCAAAAGCACAAAGTTTAAATACAAACTCCGCGTGTACTTGCTTTACATACAATCAAAATAGCGAAGAATAACAGAAATTCGGGTGAAAGATGAAGTTTCTGACATCGATTGCATCAATTCAAAAATCGAATTCAGGTCCGGAGGTGAATTCGAAATTTCAAATTGATTGATTTCACCGGTCTCCGATGAGACCAACGAATAAGTCGAATTTCATTTAAAAAAAATGCACAGTCGTCGAATATCATTCAACGGTGAATGATATTCGATCGCGAAAATTTGCTTCTAATCTTAATTGAATGATCATCTTACCTACTCAACTGCTGTAGTTCTAAATGAAATTTTTGTAAAATTCAAAAGGACAAAATTTTACTTTATCTCTGCATCGCTAAAAGTGATTCAGACATGTTGTAAATTTTAAAATGAATTTTAAACACTGTAGGTAATCTGTTAAGTATATTTTATGCTACTTCTTTGTTTTCTTTATCGGGAACTATGGTCACTTGCTTTTCTTCCTTTTTCGCCTGATGCAAATTCGGTTGTCACTATTTACACCTTTATACTGTGGCCATTTCGGCTTCAGCAGAAGCCTTCATCAGATAATTTTAAAAAACGAACAATGAAAACAAAAACAAAATACAGAAGCTAAAAATTCCGCGTATTTATCGCCGGCGGCGCGTCGCGATACCGATATATTTTATGCTTCCTCTTAACTTAAAAAAAGATGTTACTTTTTATTCTGAAGGTATAGAAAGGATGAAACAAGTGTAATAGAATGATTTTTTATTGATTTGTTTTCCTCATACTAATTTAGTTAGTTTTTGTATTTCTGAATAAAATTTGTTACTTTGAACCAAATTGTAATGATTTACTGTGATTAACTCTTTTTCCTCTAAACTCAAAAGTTTCACTGAATTAAAAATGCCCTCCTCTATGTTTCTTCGACACGTTGGGTATAATATGTGTTTAAAAACACAAAGAAAAATAAAATTTCTGTTTTTTACAACCAAAAATAAATTTGATTTTAAAAAGAAGCAAGAAAAAAATAGAGATTAATCTGAGTCAAGGAATCTTTGGTGCAGACGCAATTACTGTCCCACCACAGAAAAGCAATCGACAGTGTAAGTTGGCAATCACATAACTCGGTTTGCGATGTCGCAGACTTCCTGCCATACTTTATTTTTTAAACAGGAAACTGCTCAACGGCAATTTTTTAAAACTACAAGGAATCATGTCTATTTGTTCTCCTTTAAAAAAATAACATAGAGACGGAGATTTTCAGACACCTCAAACGAGATGTGATTGCCGACTTACACCGTCGATATATTGATTTATTCTCATTCACATTGTATGAGGCCATGTCATCGTTATGATTTGGATTTAATTTGATATGACAGAAAATTCTATGCTGATGCCACAACTGAATATTTCTAATCAAGATCAAATTGATCTCTGACAAAGAGATCAAATTGATCTCTGACAATGAGATCAAATGGATTGCATTTTGCAAAAAGGAACCACAAGAATTTCAATGTTTGCTAAGATTGTGCATCTTTTTAATCTTACAACTATAGACAAATCATCTAATTAAAATTTATCTTTATCCTCAATAAACTATAAATTCAAGACGAAAATTACCTTTGGAAATTTAACTTCTTGCATGATGTCAGTGATTTTATTACAAAGATTGTAACGTGCACAATCTTAGCAACATTGGAATCGTCTTGGTTCCTTTATGCAAAATGCAATCTAAATTCTCTTTTCCAAACATGGGCATAATTATGCTTACATTGAAAGGTGCACCCTCTATAGATAGAATTTTGGACAAAAAAAAAGAGAAAAATTGTAAAAATAACATTGTATTTTTGTGTAAAAAGAAAAGTGAGAAAATTGCATTTAAAAAAATCTGCAAATAAAATTCTGAGCGGTGAAGTTCATTGTAGTTTTTACAGTTCTTACATTTTAGGAAGTACTTAAAGTTTAACGTATAAAATACAACTTAGAGTTGTAATATCCCTGTTATGTTATTGCTTAAAAATAAACAACTGTATTTAATAAATAACAAGAAAAAGAGTATGGCATTTTTAGAGCTCTTAAGAGTTTTCTAACTGTTTCACAAAGTAGTCTCTTAGTTTTATCACAGCTTTATTCCGGTGCGACATTTCATTTTTAAGAGATTTTGGCATTTCTGCATAAGTTTGCGAATAACCATTGGGCTGAAAGCAAGAATCCCAGCCAAATAAGTTAGTTCCTCTTGGGCTGACAATTGTACCCTCTGTTTCACCCTTGAATAAAATTACTTTTTCACTCTCGTCCGCAAATGCAAAGGTACAGACAGCAGTAGCACTCTTGTCTTCAAATCCAGCCAGTAGATTGTGTAATCCACCTGGTCCAATTTTTTCAAGGAACCACTTGATGTAAGGCCCTGTAAAAACAANTTAATTCTAAAACATCACAATGGAGTTACTCTCTCTTACATCAAAAGGGTCAAATTTTGAGTAAGATTAAGGTTTGGCGCAATGTTACTTCATGGAACTAATATGTATTTTTTTGACTTTCACTGAACCATCTTATAATTTTCCATTTACAAATTAGATATTGTTTCAGTATAGTTCTTAGCATTTTAGTTTATTTTGTATTCTCTTCTTGTAACATGTAACTTTGCCTTAGTGAAAGAAAAGCCTTGTCATTAGATGTATTCTATCTGTTATCAGCTTAATAATAGAGTTGACGTCAAACTATCAGTGAAGTGTACCTGATATGTTATAATAAATTGATCTGACTCATAGGTAAATACACAAGAAAGTACAAGACTTTGCTGCTTTTTAGATCTTCGACAAAACTTCAAAGAAAATTTCATCCGTATCCCTGGGTCAATATCATAAGCTTTATTACATTTTCATACCTTCTGCTGCGCGCTGAGTTTGCTTTCGAATGACTGCCTGAGGTTGTTGATTTGGTTGTCGAATGACTGCCTGAGGTTGTTGATTTGGTTGTCGAATATCTGCCTGAGGTTACTATGACAGCAGGTAGATTTTGGGACGATAAAGGATGGACAGACCCCGGGTTCTCAGAAGATTTTCTGGTCTATTTCTGTCAGGATGATGATTATTCGACAAAAAAATGTGATGGTCGGATGATAGTGTTGCTCTGAAAAATCAGATGGTCGTTCGCCGCCTCATTAAGAACTCAAAAGCACAAAGTTTAAATACAAACTCCGCATGTACTTGCTTTACATACAATCAAAATAGCGAAGAATAACAGAAATTCAGGTGAAACATGAAGTTTCTGACATCGATTGCATCAATTCAAAAATCGGATTCAGGTCCGGAGGTGAATTCGAAATTTCAAATTGATGGATTTCACCAGTCTCCGGTGAGACCAACGAATAAGTCGAATTTCATTTAAAAAAAATGCACAGTCATCGAATATCATTCAACGGTGAATGATATTCGATCGCGAAAATTCGCTTCTAATCTTAATTGAATGATCATCTTACCTACTCAACTGGAGTAGTTCTAAATGAATTTTTTGTAAAATTCAAAAGGACAAAATTTTACTTTATCTCTGCTTCGCTAAAAGTGATTCGGACATGTTGTAAATTTTAAAATGAATTTTAAACACTGTAGGTAATCTGTTAAGTATATTTTATGCTACTTCTTTGTTTTCTTTATCGGGAACTATGGTCACTTGCTTTTTTTCCTTTTTCGCCTGATGCAAATTCGGTTGTCACTATTGACACCTTTATACTATGGCCATTTCGGCTTCAGCAGAAGCCTTCATCAGGTAATTTTAAAAAACGAACAATGAAAACAAAAACAAAATCCAGAAGCTAAAAATTCCGCGTATTTATCGCCGGCGGCGCGTCGCGATACCGATATATTTTATGCTTCCTCTTAACTGAAAAAAAGATGTTACTTTTTATTCTGAAGGTATAGAAAAGATGAAACAAGTGTAATAAAATGATTTTTTATTGATTTGTTTTCCTCATACTAATTTCGTTAGTTTTTGTATTTCTGAATAAAATGTGTTACTTTGAACCAAATTGTAATGATTTACTGTGATTAACTCTTTTTCCTCCAAACTCAAAAGTTTCACTGAATTGAAAATGCCCTCCTTCATGTTTCTTCAACATGTTGGGTATAATATGCGTTTAAAAACACAAAGAAAAATAAAATTTCTGTTTTTTAACAACCAAAAATAAATTTGATTTTAAAAAAAAGCAAGAAAAAAAATAGAGATTAATCTGAGTCAAGGAATCTTTGGTGCAGACGCAATTACTGTTCCACCACAGAAAAGCAATCGACAGTGTAAGTTGGCAATCACATAACTCGGTTTGCGATGTAGCAGACTTCCTGCTATACTTTATTTTTTAAACAGAAAACTACTCAACGGCAATTTTTTAAAACTACAAGGAATCGTGTCTATTTGTTCTCCTTTAAAAAAATAACATAGAGGCAGAGATTTTCAGACACCTCAAACAAGATGTGATTGCCGACTTACACCGTCGATATATTGATTTATTCTCATTCACATTGTATGAGGCCATGTCATCGTTATGATTTGGATTTAATTTGATATGACAGAAAATTCTATGCTGATGCCACAACTGAATATTTCTAATCAAGATCAAATTGATCTCTGACAAAGAGATCAAATTGATCTCTGACAATGAGATCAAATTGATCTCTGGCAATGAGATCAAATTGATCTCTGACAATGAGATCAAATTGATCTCTGACAATGAGATCAAATGGATTGCATTTTGCAAAAAGGAACCACAAGAATTTCAATGTTTGCTAAGATTGTGCATCTTTTTAATCTTACAACTATAGACAAATCATCTAATTAAAATTTATCTTTACCCCCAATAAACTATAAATTTAAGACGAAAATTACCTTAGGAAATTTAACTTCTTGCATGATGTCAGTGATTTTATTACAAAGATTGTAAGGTGCACAATCTTAGCAACATTGGAATCGTCTTGGTTCCTTTATGCAAAATGCAATCTAAATTCTCTTTTCCAGACATGGGCATAATAATGCTTACATTGAAAGGTGCACCCTCTATAGATAGAATTTTGGACAAAAAAAAAGAGAAAAATTGTAAAAATAACATTGTATTTTTGTGTAAAAAGAAAAGTGAGAAAATTGCATTTAAAAAAATCTGCAAATAAAATTCTGAGCGGTGAAGTTCATTGTAGTTTTTACAGTTCTTACATTTTAGGAAGTACTTACAGTTTAACGTATAAAATACAACTTAGAGTTGTAATATCCCTGTTATGTTATTGCTTAAAAATAAACAACTGTATTTAATAAATAACAAGAAAAAGAGTATGGCATTTTTAGAGCTCTTAAGAGTTTTCTAACTGTTTCACAAAGTAGTCTCTTAGTTTTATCACAGCTTTATTCCGGTGCGACATTTCATTTTTAAGAGATTTTGGCATTTCTGCATAAGTTTGCGAATAACCATTGGGCTGAAAGCAAGAATCCCAGCCAAATAAGTTAGTTCCTCTTGGGCTGACAATTGTACCCTCTGTTTCACCCTTGAATAAAATTACTTTTTCACTCTCGTCCGCAAATGCAAAGGTACAGACAGCAGTAGCACTCTTGTCTTCAAATCCAGCCAGTAGATTGTGTAATCCACCTGGTCCAATTTTTTCAAGGAACCACTTGATGTAAGGCCCTGTAAAAACAAATTTCAAACAATTTAATATCACCAAGTCGGAAAACTTCTCAGAAATTTTAAAGCAATTTCATATGTCAAACTGTCAATTGGAATCAAGACCGACAATAACAACGGAGCTCTTACATGACACAGGAATTCGCAACTTTTACTAATTCTTAAATGTAATTCTTGCAACAACCATGATGGTGCCACTAATCTTCTTGAGAACAATCTTCCAAGCTCAAAAAAAGCTCTCAAAGTTGAGGCTATGGTGGAAGGGAAGTCAACCCCATTATTCGGTCCAACTCTCTATTAAGATGGGGAGCAAATACATTAGCAGGGTTGCCACTTCTTGTAGGAACTTCAAGGCTGCAGCCATCACAACCAAAGACATTGAATCACGTAAACCATGTGTCCGGCTCGGTTTGGCACTGGCGGAGCGAGACAAGTCTTTCAGAGCCCCATGATGGGCGAGCGGGGAAGGGGAGAGAGCGTATATCCCAAGCACTCGAACAGACTGCAGAGAGGCAATGGAGAATTCATTCGCGCGCTGGACTTTTCACGAATACCTTGTTTGGAGTCCATTTTTAGACAATATTCCTAGGAAGAAAAGTTTTAGAACATATAATTTTACAACCAAATGGCATTGTTTCATTTTGCCAAACTAATTATTAACCAAGGAAAAAAGCCTCACAATCCGACAAAATTTGCTGGAGCCGCTACTGCGCATGCGCAGATGTGAACAATTAGGACACACGAACTCATCGGTGCGGGTCGGTGCCACCACTCATCGGCATGCGAAGTTTTAAAAGTTGTCTCGCCCTCCGTAACACAGGATACACGGTCTACGTGATTCAATGTTTTTGACCGTAACCCTGCTAATGTATTTGCTCCTTATCTGTACATGAAGAGTTTGACCGGATATGAAGGTGGACTCATGCCATGACTTATGCAACATTAGCGTTTATTATTATTGCGCTTTGAGGAGGAATAAAACTTCAAACCTCTTTGTCTCTGTCCAATTTTAATAAGACTTGGTTCAGTTGGACTCAGCCAACATCTACATACCCTTAATATCTAATTAAAAGCTAGTTTTTGCTTCTAACCTGGGAGCCCTCCAAGCGCGTTGAAGCATAGAGATGTGTCTTCCACGATCACAGATCCATTGACAATTCTTTTGGCCTCAAGGACTTTGCGGTGACATATATCATCTATTTCCCCCTGATATTCCGGCAGATCAATTTTCTTGTTGACCAACTGTAAAAAAATTGACACATAAGGCACTGACCATATTGGAAAACATTACTTGTGTAGCTAAATGCATAAGCCTCTAAGATGGAAGGAAAAGATCAAGATAGTCACAAATATTTGGTAAATTTTGGAACACTCATTTGCGGATCCAGCAAATTGGCAGCATTGTTTTTCTCTATTTAAACCTATGGAAATGCAAGGCGGATAAAGAGTGGTGGTTGCATTTCTTACCCTCTTGGCGTCACACGGCATCGGGTACGTTTCGGGTACATCCTCATTGCAAGGCAAAGCATGTACCCTCTGCGCATCACAGCCTTTAAAATGACGACTCAACTCGAAACGCGACCACCTTTCTTTACCCGTCTTGATGGAAATGTATCAATTCGTGGAGTGGCCAGGTGCTCCGGCAAGAACCGATTATTTATCATAGGTTTAAATGGAGGGAATCCAAAGTTGCCATGGTGCTAGATCCGCATCTGAGAACACAGCAAGCATTGTTCGGTAAGGTTTCAAAAATTCTGAACTTCCTGAGCCCAAAGGGAAACCTAACACAAGTGAGCATGGAACACCTCCATGGAAACTAATAAAAGGTAAGAATACTCAAAACTGAAATGCTGCAAAACAAGCAAAAACTTGTCATTTCATGATGATTTATAAAAGATTTTGAAGTAGAGGACAGCCAATTAGTTACTCGAACTGAAGCATATGACTTTGACAGCTTTAGCCGCGCTCATTTGGGGAGCGAAACAGGAGACATTCTTTCTGGCGCAAGAGGTGCAACATGGTATTCTGTATTCCCGGAAAATCTTGACGGGATGAAACCGCAAAGAGAGCACGACTTACTTGACGCTCATCCTCAACTGAACACAATCAGTGCGGCATCAGGCAAAGATATACTGTTAACTGCCAAGTGATAATAGATAAGAATGCTTACTTTAAAAGGTACTGTAGTCCCGAGGATACTGACGACTTCTTCCAGTTTTTTGGCATTTCCTGTCACAAATACAATCGTCTTTGACATTCTAAACATTAGACATTCAAAGAAAGAACTTCAGTAAACACAAAAGGGTTGTTAATACACCGAGATTGGGTGTGCTTCGAGCAAGGAAGTTTAGAGCTGATAGCTTGGCACAGAAATGTGTGATGGGAGGATGAAACTACTGAAGAATCGAACAATTCGCTTATTACAGTAAAGTGTGGGGTGAAGGAACACTGATATTAAAAATCCGAGAATAATTTGGAGGGATGAGAAGTGTGAAGACCTCTCTCTAATCAGCAATCAGCTGCTCGCACCGGATTGTAAATGCCGAATTCACCGATGCATCCATTTTCATGAACGGTGAATTTGCGGGGATCAGCAACATAAACAAAAATTTTGTCAACAAGTGATAAGGAGAAAGTCATCGAATCGACTGCAAATTTCTTTTATTTGGTGTTCAGTCCCTAAATTCTGTAATGCCTGACAATATTTCAACTTTCAACTTTTATTCCTCAGAAATATCTTCATGCATTGAATTCGTTAATGTGCAGACTTGATTTCTTTAAGGAAAGTTCATATGCAGTGTGCAGGGAGTGTGTCATAAATTTCAAGCGGATCTTCATTTCCTAATTTGACTGAATCTCATCGGGAAATCAACAAAACTACATTAATTCCACATGTAAGAATTCTGCATTTGGAAGGAAAAGGGTTCTTTTCATCTCAGGAGACTGCATTGCTGTCTTGTAACTAAAAGTATCTGCAGGTTCTCAACCCTTATATATTGTATTTGCTATGGACTCAAATCCTGCTGAAAATTCAAACTCAGATCAATCAGACACCATTAAACAGAAGCAGTTGTATTTTCTTAATGAACAATTGCAGTCCATGGTGCGAGAATTGCCACCGTAAGTACCTTGGTCTGCATACCATTTGATAATCTAGTATTAATTGAAGTACCTTAGGAAGATGGCTGCGGCAAAATTCATATTTCTGACGGTTGGTAACCGAGACAACTCATTGGAATAAAACCACATAGATAAAGTGCCATACCATTTTAATTATGCGGCCACTGCCACTAATGGAACCAAATGGGACGAACATGAAAACGGCTGACCAACAAGTGCTTGCGGCAGTGAAGTGCCGTAGTGCTTCACTCCGCAGGAGCAGGCAGGTTATTATACTAGAGAGGGCCTGGCCCCCTTATTGCCAGGCCTCCACTGGAAAATTTTTTAAAGTGCAACTTTTCTAAAACCCACCTTTTGTGACGCAAATTTTCCATTAATTTCTGCAGATTCTGATTAATCACGGTGTTTTAAGTATTTTCAGCTCTAAATAATTTCAAAATCTCACTAAGAGTTATCATTGATGAAGATTTTCTCCACCGTACAGAATTTGGGGGGGGGGCAGATGACACCATTTTCAATTCTAGAGGAGGCTAGGCCTCCCCTGCTATGCCCGTGCTTTACTTAGAGGGCTGCTAAAACTGTCAAATTTTTCAATTGTTACAATCTAGTGTCTATCGATCATCTCAAAATTCTACAATTGCCATAAATTGTTCATTGTTGCCAAATTTCTGCCTACATCCTGGACTATGTATCCAAAGCATACAGACTAGTGCCAAAAACATTGAATCATGTAGACCGTGCATCCTGTGTTACGGAAGGCGAGACAACTTTTAAAAATTCGCTTGCCGATTAGTGTTAGGACCAACCTGCATCAATGAGTTTGTGTGTCCCAATTGCCCACAACTGCGCATACGCAGTAGCGGTTCCAGTGAATTTTTGTCGGGTTGTAAAGCTTTTTTTCTCAGTTAATAATTATTTCGGAAAAATGAAACATTGCTACTCATCCGGTCGCAAAATCATATGTTCTCAAACTTTTCCTCCTTAGAATTTTGTCTGAAAATGGACTCTAAACAAGACATTCATGAAAAACCAAGCGCGCGAACGAAATTCCATCGCCTCTCTGCAGTCTCTTTGAGTGCTTAGGACACACACTCTCTCCCCTTCCCCGCCCGCCCATCATGGGGCTCGGAAAGACTTGTCTTGCTCCGCCTGTGCCAAACCGAGCCAGACACACGGTCTACGTTATTCACTGTCTTTGACTAGTGTGCTTGCTTCACTTGTGATTTTATAAAAGTGACCCTCAATGAGTGGTACTCTACTCACCCGCTTGCCTTTCAAAACTTAGTATCTCTCATCTGGTTGGTATCTCTATTATCATGATGTTAATGGTTTATTCAAAATATTGATTTTTTAATTCAATGCAATCTTGTTTTTTTTTAAAAATATCAGCAAAAAGATGACCATCTCTAATTTTCAAAATTAGTATTTTATTAATTTGAATTATATACTGATAGAAGTATCTAGGATTTTTAATAGTTTTACTTGGCCGCTTGCCTGACTTGCCTCATGAAAGTCGCGCAAAAGAAAGTGGATTTTTGCCCTCCAAAAGAAATTTCTCTCTCAAAATGAAAATTGGTATAAGGATTGAATGTGGCAGCATGAATAAATCAAACTTCATGAGCTGAGTTATCCTTCATTTTAAATGCCATTGGAAGAAAGAGAAACTCATAATATGATCCAATTACTTCAGCCTCCCTTTAGCACTTGCAAAGTCTGGTATGTGTATTGATTCTAGAGATAAATCTAGTGGAATTGTGCCATTAATGAAGCTATAGTGAAATTGTGAAATAGTGTCGCTTTGTATGGAAGAAAGAAAAAGAGCTTTTTTAAAAAATGCCCTTTTTTATATTTTCAGACAATATCAGCAACGGCTGCCCTATGAATTATTGACTTGTCTTGCAGAATCTCTTTTGGATGGGACAGTTTTTAGTATCATCAGTAACTTAATGGATATTCAGCATGTTACAGAAAAACAGTTGTTTCAGCAAAGATTATCTTACTTGAGAAGTTATTCAGGTACTGTTTCCTTGGCTTACTTGTTAGTTTAAAAACTAGGGTAAAAAAAAAGCAAAAAAAACTCAGTACGTAATTTTTTTTTTTTTTTTTTTTTTTTTTTTTTTTTTTTATTGTCCCAGCACAAGTATAATTAAATCTACTAGCAGGTAACAAACCAACTTGGAAAAATAAACTTGTACTGTAGGCACAAAAAACTTTACAATGAGTGAAGATTAGCAGAGAGAGAAGCTTTTTGTTAATGGGACTTCGGGCTCGGTCGAAATAGATTGACTCCTTTAACGTCTGGAAATTGGGCGTTTTATAGTTACTGTAATTTTGTGTTTCCATTCTCTCCAACTTTTATGTTTTAGCGACCTATTTTTGGTGTGTTGCTTTGAAGCAATCACATTTTTTGGCCTCGAATTTTTGAAGAATTTAACCGTAGAAAGTGTATGTTACTGAAAAATGAAATCCACTCTTGAGTAATGAAGAACTGAGGGATCCAAAATCACTCGAAGCATCTGAGACTCAGCGCAGTTTCAAACTTCAGCTATGGGAAAGCAGGATCCAATAGTTGGCGTTCATTAGAGCGCATATAGTGGTACTCCACAGATTGTGCATTCAGGGTTCTGAATTAGTTGGTCAAAACATGTCTTCGTCTCCCCCATTTCCATTATGACTATGTTGAGCTTGTAACGTTGATAGGTAACAAATATTTACTCCAGGATCTCCTGGATCGTAGAAAAAATCAGGTAAGCATTTAGATCAGTCTGAAATTAAACTTCGACTCTATATAACAACACTTGTTGGAACGAAAATTTCTCTTCAAAGAAAGAATCGTCCGGTCCTTTGAACTTCCTTTGTAGATTATTGCCACCAGTACAACACAAATGCGTTTGGTCTGTTGCTGATTTGTTATAGAGAGAGAGAGAGAGAGAGAGAGAGAGAGAGAGATAGTATCATATTAAGATTCAAATGATACATTTGTGATAAGTTCCTCATTTGGTAATCTTCTGGTGTTGTTTTACTTTACAGATAAAGTCCAGGCAGTGACCAATGGTGATTTAGGAGAAGAAGAAAAGGCAGTCCAATTGAATACCCTGAGTGCCAGGCATAAAGAGGAATTGAAACTTTTTGATATGAGTATCATAATGAAGTTAGATGAAAAAGTAAGCATACTCCAATCCTAGATCTTATCCTTTCAAAATGTTACTTGCTTTAAATTTTAACTTTAGTGTTATAGTCCTTTTCAAAACATTCATTTGATCTGTGCTGTCAGCTTTGAGAAAATAGTTTACACACTCAAAATACTATATTTTCTAACGAGGATGCAAAAACCTTTCGACCTGACCAACAGCGTTTCTCGTTTGATCATTTGCCAAAATGAGGAGGCTGCAAAAACTGGTTCAGAAAAAAAGATTAAGTGAAATTACTGTGAAAAGAGGTCTCAAAAATGAGGACATCGGCTTGCATCAACATGAGATTTTTCCCCTTTTTTTATTTTTAAAAAATGGCAGCTGTTTGGACACAAAGAACAAAGAAGAAAAGAAAGGAAATGGTTGTATTTTTGAAAATCTGGGGAAAAGGGAATTTTGGAATGGGAAGGTCAATTCACAAAATAGGAAGACTAAGAACTATCTGCAGTCCTGCTTTCTACGTGAATCTGAATTTCATGCACATTAACTGTTAGCATTACGAATTAGTCATATATTAATCTAAGTGTTGTGAAAACAAATTTGAAATTACCACTATCCTCAATACCAATCGAAGAATGTAATTTAAACAACAGTTATAGCACAATTATGAAAAAGGATGGACACGCTAGACAATTCAGCATGAGTTTTTCTTGTAAGGCATATTGACTTCTTTAAAATCTCACTGAGAATGAGAGCAGGAGGATCCAAACAAGCTACTTTGAATTGACAATATATCTCATGAATAAATTCAAAAGATGAAATTTTACATCTATGAGCATTAGTGGTAAGGGAAAGTTATTACAGAACAATCAGCAAAAAATTACTTCTAAAAATTTACCACAATTTAAAGTGATTGGCTATAAAAATCTCTCTAACTTCAACGCAAGAACTCAAATGCATCATTGCAAAAGCACTCAATTGGCACTTATCTCAGTCTCTAGGTAGCAGCAAATTGGAGACTCATTCTTGTATCCTTTTTTTGGTTGAAAAAAGGCAGTAACTACCTCAAAATGTCCTGGTTTTTTTTTTTTCTCAATTTTTCATATTTGATCTTCCACATTTTGCAGCAGCCTTTCCCTGGATAAAGTTGTTTTTTTCAAAAACTTGTCATCGCTCAGATTGCTTCATAATCATCCTCAAAAAATGTAAAAAAAAGGATTGTCTTATCAGGGATTTTCGGCCGGTTCTCGGTTCAAATCTGTTAATACAAAAGCCCAAAAATGGTTCTGAAAATCAAAACTAAGTTCAATCAAGTTTCCAAGTCAAATCAACCTCACAAAATTTAGTCACTATTTTAAAGTACCCGTAGCCAAAAGAGTCAAGGTTGAAAATAATGGACATTTAATATTTTTGCATAAGCTGATTCAAATAGCAGCAATATTGTGATCAGATGGTTGAAATCAATGTCTAATACAGATTTTCTCTGTCTAAAAATATGCGTAGCCTATTAGTATCAGCATCACTAGACTTCATTGACCTAACTGTAAACTTTTTTGCTTTTCTTTCCACAGGTAGCTGACCAACAAAGGATTTTAGGTCTAGCTGGAGTACCAGGCTTCGAGGTGACAAGTGACCCAATTAAAATTCAGCTGCAAATCCGTCTTCTAGATTTCATTTTGCGCATTAGCCAAATGAACTTACCTTTCAACTGAATGTGGATTACGCATCTCTCTTGCTCCTGTGAGATCTGTTTTTCTGTGACACACAATGTTCTCATCGGATGAACCAAACGAGGAAGGAATCATTTTCATGACTCATTAGGGCTGCCACTGAGAGTGACTTCTTAATGCTTTTTTCTCCTTGCTTGTAAAGGAGATCATGAAATTTTCACTAAAGGAAATCCTGGAAGAAAGAGCTTAAAGCTGTGATATTTAATATCATTGGAACAGCATGTTATGTAAGACAGTAGAAATCTTTTTTGTTCCTCGTTTTTTGCATAGAGTACATAGAGTCGTAATAGGAATGAAGGAGCTGGGGCCACTTTTGTGAATTTTCCAGTCTTTGAAATCCATGACTCCTCAGCGGTGCCAGGTTACTATTTTGATACATAATCGATTTTTTTCGATACACAGATACCTGGCCGATGATAGGCCTTGTGATGTAAACAAAGAGGTTCTGAAGTATTACGTATTCTGCATCGTCATTTTGGATCGAAAATAAATCGGAAAGGTGACCAAATCTCAGCGCACACCTGGCTTGGAACTCGTCGATCAGAACATGACCCCAGCTCACTTCTTCATATTGCGACTCTATGTACTCCATGGTGTTTTGGAACTGATGAGCTTTGTGGAATCCCCCTAATATTTAAGTTCTTACCAAATACCTCAGATATTTTCAGTCATAGACTACAAGACGATAATATTCCAATGTAAGCTGTATTTTGCCACCCTTAAACTAAAATTAATTCAAAAGAAGAAGTAAACAGAATAATTCTGTTACAACAGGCCTCCAAGTAAGGTCAGAGTATAAACATTAAGATGATGGAAATATTGATAGGGAAACCGCAAAAATAAGTATCTCGGTTACGGTGTTTCAAAATCACAGCTCGTATTTTATTTTTTGATGGAGACCAAGCAAACATCATGGCTTGAAATTTTCACAAAATATCCATCAGTCATAGCAGAACAATCATGAAAGTTTTCAAGTAATTAGATTTTGTATTTTTCTATGTAGAAAATCAAGTATGACAGGAGGTTTTCAACGAGCATTTCTTCGCTACGCATTTCTGCAGTTTCACCAATGATAAGTTCTATTAATAGCAACGTGTGTTGGAAGCTTCATATTCACTGATGACCAACCATCTGGAATATTTTCAAAACCTTGCTAATGATTATGTGTATTGATTGCTGGAGCATTTCGACGGTGTAAGTCGGCAATCACATAACTCGGTTTGCTAAGTCGCAGACTTCCTGTCCTACTTTATTTTTTAAACAGAAAGCTACTCAACGGCAATTCTTTAAAACTTTCGTGATTTTTCTTACGTGAAGAAAATTCTGCATAAACTTCAAGGAATGATATCAATTTGTTCTCCTTTAAATAAATAACATAGCGGCGGAGATTTTCAGACACCACAAATGAGATGTGTGATTGTGGACTTACGCCATCAATTTGCTGGATCAATTATGCCGGAAGTTTGAAAAGTGATGCAAGCGTTTCACTTTTCAAACTTGGAGCATTTGAGTCTCAGGAAAAATTTTCCTGCCATGTGGTAGTATACCAAAGTCAGATTCTATGGCTCAACAGGAATTCTTGGAAGTGTACTATTCCATTTCTCATGAGCATGTGTCTAATGGAGTTTGTACTTCCTTATTTTTATAATCACTCGTTAGAACCCTTGAAATTGCAATTTGATTAATAATTTTTACTTTTTTAAATGAATCAAATCTAATGGCTGTGTTCTTAGTTAATTATGTCAGGATTATCCAAAAAGTAAGTTTCCCTATTTTGTTTCTTCTGAACTATGGTAAATGGACACATATCAGGCATACTCTTAGCCTTTCAGCAAGTTCCAAATTTTTAAAATCTACTACAAGACTGGTAAGAAAATTCAGATTTACTAAGATCACCTACCATCCCTGCACCTCTTAGTGCACTAGGGGGTTGCAGAAAGTCTTATAATTTTGTCCCTGTAAACCAAGAGTGCAAGGGGATTAGTAATTGAATTTATTTTGATCTTTATGTCCTCAGCTTTAATTTCATTTATCAATTTGACGTTTTTCATCAACCGGTCAGCAAAAAAGACAGATCTTTGACAGAGACCTTCAAACACGATGTCAGATTGCCTGCACAAAATCGTCTCTCTTTGTCAGTAAAAGTACGTTTATACCTTCCAAAAATAAAATACGAAACGTATCATTTTGTATTGTTCTATAATTCTTTAAAAATTCCATTGAATGGTGGATTTTTTTATTTTATAACCACTCGGTTCAAGGTGGACAGAGAGGTGAACATGCCCTGCTGATGCAGATTGTTGCGAGAAGTTGTACGCTCTAGCTGAGCAGTTGATGAAAATACCAAATCAATACACCCAATTGAAGCTCATAATGTAAGATCAAAATTATTTCAACTGTTTTTACTTACACTTCTCTTCACTTCCCAGAGGAGATCAAAAAATTTCAGTTCAATCTGCTATTGCACAGAAGAGTGGGTTTTCAGCAATGGTAGGTGCTCATAGTAACTCGAGTTTCCTCATAAGCCCTATGATGGATTTTCAAATCTGTAAGCCAGTTTTGAAGCTGAGAGCATGTGAAGCCTAGTACACACCTTTTTCTTATTTGATTTTCCTCTTTTAGTGCAGGAGATACAAAAGAGAGAGAGGAGACTGGTTTTTGGATGACTGCCATCCCTAGCTTTAAGATTAAAGTGAGATAATTTTAAGTAAGTAGGCATAGTAATGAGACTACCTCTTTTTACCCTACCTAATTTTTATAATAAAAATTCTGTAAACAAAAAAGATGCTTTATCTTATTCATTTATTGATATTTTTTAACACCTTGACACCATCATTCAATAGTATTTAGCATCAAAAATCGAAAAGTTTCTTCGATAATAAAAATATTCAATTGAAGGATCCTATTGCAAAAAATTTGGGATCAATCAATTATGTAAGTTTATGACTTTCAAGAAAAAGTATGTAGGTATTTCATTTCTTCATTACTGCTGTGCTAAGGAAGAAAACCATATGAGCCTTCAGGTCCATATTTCTTTCAATAAAAAACGAATTTATTGGGAAAGTTGTGAATATATATTTTTTCAAACAATTTTGTTCCCAATTCAATCTAAAATGTCTGGAAATATCATGGAAAATTATGCATGACTTTCCCAAAAAATACATGTTTTATTCAAATAATTAGGGTAACTCTTGAATGTTCATACAACGTTTTTACTTAGCATGGTAGATCACCGATTTAATTTTGTAAGTAAATCTCATGAATCATTAATATCAATATCATCTCATCAATTCATTAATCTTTGTTACTCTATAGGAAAGAAAGAACTAAAGATTTTTACTCATCCACACACAAAATTAGAAAGTTCTCAGAACACCTATTGCATGAAAGAGAGCCAAGCCATTAATTCGAAGCTTGATACTCAATAATTGGTTGACCTACTATTAATGCTTAACGAAAAGAGACTGGAAAGTAGAAATTTGAAATTTCGTCGTACATGATCAGGTGATTGAAATTTGAAATTTTTATGTTGCATGATAGTGTAGTTGAAATTTGAAAGAAATTTGAAAGAGAGCTTGTTCCAGACGAAAAAAATTTTTATTTTATAATGTGTTATCTATTTAAAAAATGAACAAAATGCCTTTTAGCCTTTTTAGGTTTGATCATAGCTTAAGCTGTATCACCAAAGAAAGAAAAAAAAAATTACTCTTGTCAGCTGACTGAAGTATTCACACTTTTCCCTTCCATATAATGCGGAATTTGAAAAAAAAAAAAAAAAAACAAGGAATGAGAGATGTATGAGATAAATTTATTATTTCCGCATATTATTCTAATCTGTTTAATTTTCTGTATTATTCCAGAAGGATTCAATGATGGTTTGAAGTTCAAAGATTTAAAATTCAAGCTCAGTTCCTCAAAAACTGAGCACTACCTATTCCCTGTGTGCGATAAATTTTAAAACAGTAATTTATTTAAACACGCATTCCCATTCATTAATCCATGAATTTATCAATAAAAATCAGATACCTAACTTTATTGTCATCCTAATAATGAATGAAATCTATGATAAAACTGAATTTTATTCATTCCTTTTGAATTTCAGCTTAATAGCCTCACAATATCAATATCTTTATTGTGCTAGGTTAGTATTCAGTTGTGAGGTCATTGACCTCCCATCTCTCAACCAAGGAAAGTTACCCATTCTTTGTCTTGCTCCAGTCTTTCGTGGCTATATTGGAAAAATTGAATTTTATCACTAATTGCGAACTTTTATGCGCATGAATCTCATTTCCACAATATTTTAAAATTTTTACAATTTTTTTTTTTTTTTTCAATTTTCCTCTCTAAAGAGAGAATTATGCATCCAGATGTTAGTCATTTCTTTTACTCCAAAAAATATTCAACACATCAAAAAAAAATTTTTATCGAATTTCAATCCAAATCAAACCTGATTTTCGATCAAATCAGCGCACCTAAATCAGGGCAGAGAGAGAAAAAAAAAGTCACTCGTGTAGGTAAATTTTTATTATGACACAAAAACCTCCAGAGGAATCCACAAATAATATCCACGTAAAAACCAAGCACAAAATCCATCTCCTCAAAAATTTTCACTTCCACAATCAGCCCCCTTTCACCACCAGCCCCGAGGCTACCCCCCAAAAAAATTTGCCCCGAGCCCCAAAAATTCCGTCCAGACACTTTTCGCACTATCCCGTCCAACTTTCACCAGACACTCCCGAACCGAAACGACTCGGACCGTCGGGTCTCCCCCTGGTACTCGGATGACGAAATCGGGGAAAATTTTCAAATTTCGTTCCGACGGCAACCTGGGTGGTGCGGCGACGCGAACCTACTGGTCGCTCCTGCTCTCCTAATCCAAAATTACATTCTCCGAGATGACGTTTAGGGTGCATTAAACTGCGGGAAAACAAGTCCTAACGTCCCAGATGATACCGCGCCGGGATATCCAGCCGGCGCAAACAGTTTCGCGTTGAGGCAGGTCGCGATCGCAGTGAGGTAGGTCGTGGCGCGGGCCCAGACGGACGAGTCCACGGCTCGATCGGGGGGCGGCCGCCCGACGCCCTCCCCACGACCCACCCGAAGGTGGAGTCTTCCATTGCGTCACCGCATAAAGTGCATGGCGTGAGCACGAAATATGAAATCCGACATCAGACTTAGCCTCAATTCCCCGATTTAACCCCTTATAATCATGTTTTCTCTTGATAAATCCTCTTATTTTAAGCTATTTTGGTGTTTTTGAGTCTAAAAACCGTGGAAAAGTGTGTATTTTTCGAGGTGCAACGAAGGCGGCGGGTGTACCGTCTCGGGTGAACGACCCCCGGTTCCCGTTTCGATAGAGACTGCAGTTGACCTTGAATCTAGTCTCGCCGTCTCGTCTTCGGCGGAGTTTAAGGCCGCGAGGCGTGACGGCCCCCGCTGAAATATCAATTCTCGACGTTTTTAAGTGCTCCGAGCGTGTTTGTGTTCCACGTGCTAAAGGCTAGCAACGAACGGTCTCAATTATTACTTCTTCGAAATAAAAATGTGATTTTTTGCCTCTTTTTATTTCTCTCAGCCCGTAGTCGAACCTACTTCAATCTTATCTGGAAAGAGAGGCCCGATTTGGATCGTTTCAAGGCCGGTAGGTTTATTTTCTCCGCGTCGCTGCGATTTTCGTTGTGTTCATCCTTTCACTCGTTTTAGGACTTGAGACGTTATCAACATAGGTACTAAAATTTATTTTTCTCGTGACGATTTTTTCCACTATTTTTATTAGTAAATGAACATTCTTGAATTCTCTCTGCGAGAACGCCAGACATACGGCTAATTTTTTGTCTGTCTCACAACTGGCTGCGAGACGTACCTATCGCTCACGTCACACCATAAAACAAAACAAAAAAATTAATTACTTCATGTTCGTATCCATTTACGCCTTTCCAATTTCTATCAGTGGTTATTTAAAAGAATGGGGAGAGTATAATAAAATGAAGGATAGGAATGAACTGCCGTTGCGGATTTGATGACGCGCGCGCAAGTTCGTTTAAATTTCGCGCCGTAACGCGGCAGCGTCATATGCAGGTATAGAAAATTGCAGCCAACGGAATTGAAGGAGATTTATATACTGGTGTTCTCATACCTAGACACAGCGCCCCGGCTGGGTTTTTTGCACCCAAATTTCGATTCACACCTTTTCAGTTGTTTTTATCAGCGTCTATTCAATGAGTGAAAAAAATATTATAATTAATGATTGGAATGAACTGCCATATATTATCGATTTCAGTGGCGTGGCGTGAATGATCGACTATCGATATTTCCCCCATTAGAAGCTGTGGTGAAGAATCGACTATTATGGTGTTCGTTGCGAACGCCCTTTATATCGATTCTTTTCCATAGGTTGAAATGGCAGATCAATCGATAAATCGCAAAGCACGCCACGGCCCTAATCGATTTGACGACGCGCTCGAAAATTCGCTTAAATTTAGCGCAGCAGCAAAATCCTATGCAGGTGTAGAAAATTGCAATAAAATTTAAGGGTACTTATTTATACTGATTTTTCCTCTTACTTAAACACAGCCAGGGCCTGATTTAGGGGGTGGCCACATGGGCCGCGGCCCATGGTGGCAAATTTTGCAATTTTTTTTTAAATGGACCGCGTTTAACAGAGAGGGACCAAGCCACATCAACTATTGCCAAATTTATCTGGGCAAGTCAATTTTTTTACGAGAGAACATTTGTGCGGATTCCTTTGAAAATTTTGAGGAATTTGCTTTTTAATGTGGAAAAAATTCACTGAAATTTGCACGAAAATCCGCCCAACCGTTTTCGTGTAAAAAATTAATTTGCTCTATTAAATTTGGCAACAGCTGATGTGGCTTGGTTCTTTTCTGTGAAACGCGGTCCAAATGTAGGTGTATAAAAAAAAATCGGATTCAGAAAAAAAAAGAATACAAACCAGAAAACTCGACAATAACTCTCATTTCCTGATAGTATTGTAATTTATAATTTTGTCGTCTTTCTGTTATACAAGAGACAACACATTTAAATATTCAAGTTAAGTGAGAAACCAAACACGCAATTTGGCCTGGAACGGCGCGGCGCAGAGAGCAATGATGACGAGGACTTGAGATGAAAAGGAGAAGCTCTCGGCGCGGTGGTCGGCATGTAACACATACTAGCGCCTACAAGACTGCATGAATACTTCACGCATTGTGCCAAACACAGTGCGGTCAGTAGTGGAATATTTCACGCATTGCGCCAAACACAGTACGGCCAGCGCGGCGCGGTGGTGGAAGTTAAAATTATTTAACCATATTTATGTTTGTTCTTTCATAATTTTTTCGTTCATTTCTTATGAATGGAAGGCCTTGTCCACACAGAAATCGGTTTACGGTGATAATGCCAGGGTGTCAACTAAAACTGAATGGCAAAAATTGAGTACTTCTTCAGTACCTTTTCACAGTACCTCACAACAAAAAACATTCAGTATTTTATCGGCACCTTTAAGTGTTGATTTGAGTTCCTATTCTTTAATTATATTTCTTTCCGCACATTCAATGATAATTCTTCTATAGAAAATATCCACGAAATTGCAACGGAGAACCGACAAGGCCATACCAAGGGGCTACCACAATATTCATCTTCATCGCATTGCTAAGGAGCAACGATACTACTATTCGTACTCGTATATTTTTCCCGGAAACTTTCAGATATTTGAGATTGAATTGCGTACAAAATTGTCTGAAAATTTTGGAAAACAATACATTCATAATGTTCTCAGTAAATTCGGTTTTTAGTGGAGGAAATTTTGCAACGTCTGAAGGTTCATACGGCGTTTTTCCTTAGCACGGCAGAGCGTGCGTGGAGGCTACTTCAATGTCGATCTTCCGTCGCATTGCTAAGGCGCAAGGATACGACTATTCGTGCTCTCCGGGATGCGTGAGGTATCACGCCACAATTGAAGGCGTTTTCAAAACAGCCGACTTTCCATATAGGGATCGTGGTGCCGCATAAAATTCGAAGCATGAGATTAATGCTATGACTGATCTTACAAGCTGGTGCGACAGCTATGCGCACATCTATTAATTTTAATTGTGTGTTTATAGCTTCGTTCCAGGTGATGATGAGTGGATAATTGGTTCAGATGTATTTTCGTTCATTTTTATCTTTTTATGCACATTTTTTACGGTGCTTTCTTGAATTATGTTGTTGTTTTTTTTTTCATCAGTTCCTATTTTTTCCTTTAATTTCTTGGCACTTATTTCTCACTTTCCTATAAAAAATTATCCATTTACTACCTACAATTCCAGCTCGAGTGCAGTAGTGCACTTTTAACTATGCATTCACGACTGCAAAAATGTCAAAGGAAAACAGAAGGGGCCAGCGCTGCCAAGCTAAGGAAGAACGCCGTATGAACGCTTGAGAGTTGCCAAATTTCCTACAATTAAATATGTACTTTGGGCGAAATTTATGCGTACTTTTCACGGAAACTTTCAGATATCTGAGAGTGAATTGCGTACAAAATTGCCTGAAATTTTGGAAAACAATACATTCATAATGTTCTCAGTAAATTCGGTTTTAGTGGAGGAAATTTTGCAACGTCTGAAGGTTCATACGGCGTTTTTCCTTAGCACGGCAGAGCGTGCGTGGAGGCTACTTCAATGTCGATCTTCCGTCGCATTGCTAAGGCGCAATCATACGACTATTCGTGCTCTCCGGGATGCGTGAGGTATCACGCCACAATTGAAGGCGCTTTCAAAACAGCCGACTTTCCATATACGGATCGTGGTGCCGCATAAAATTCGAAGCATGAGATTAATGCTATGACTGATCTTACAAGCTGGTGCGACAGCTATGCGCACATCTATTAATTTTAATTGTGTGTTTATAGCTTCGTTCCAGGTGATGATGAGTGGATAATTGGTTCAGATGTATTTTCGTTCATTTTTATCTTTTTATGCACATTTTTTACGGTGCTTTCTTGAATTATGTTGTTGTTTTTTTTCATCAGTTCCTATTTTTTCCTTTAATTTCTTGGCACTTATTTCTCACTTTCCTATAAAAAATTATCCATTTACTACCTACAATTCCAGCTCGAGTGCAGTAGTGCACTTTAACTATGCATTCACTACTGCAAAAATGTCAAAGGAAAACCGACGAGCTAGCGCTGCCGTGCTAAGGAAAAACGCCGTATGAACGCTTGAGAGTTGCCAAATTTCCTACAATTAAACATGTATTTTTGGCGAAATTTACGCGTACTTTTCACGGAAGCTTTCAGATATTTCAGAGTGAATTGCGTACAAAATTGTCTGAAAATTTTGGCGTTTTTTCTTAGCACGGCAGAGCGTGCGTGGAGGCTACTTCAATTTCGATCTTCCGTCGCATTGCTAAGGCGCAATGATACAACTATTCGTGCTCTCCGGGATGCGTGAGGTATCACGCCACAATTGAAGGCGTTTTGAAAACAGCCAAGTTTTGATATCGGGATCGTCGCTTCGCATGATGTTCGGAGCTCAAAATCATTAGAATGGCTCATTTAATGAGCTCCAAATACGTCTCTTGTTTTTTCGGCTGTGTTGACACCCGAGTTTTTTTCTTTTTTTTTTCAATCCGACCTCTGATTCTTTTCTTTTGGATGTATTTGTGGACCCACATCTAAAGCTCGTGTGTACCGGCCGCAAACAACCCGCGGGGAACGCGTTTGAGTAAGCCTCAGGTTAATTAGACCTAGCTTGGGCATCTATAGGGGGCACTTTTTTTCCTTGCCAATTCAGTTATCTCGCAAGAAAGAAAAGAGAAAGGAGGAAGAGGGAGAAGAATGATGGAAAGGGGAAGAATAGTAGAGAGGAAAGAGAGAAAAAAAATTACTTTTCTTCATCCTATGCAGAATGTCTGGTTTTTTTCATTTTGGGAATTCCTGATTTCATAATTTTTCAAACTCGTGATCAAATCCTGACTTCACGCAAGGCGAATGTAACTTCACAAAAATAGCTCGATAAAAATATCCGATTGGACGGCCGACTTTTCTCAAATCCTGATTTTATGACCAATTTTTCCTCAAATCCGGATGAAATCGGCATTAAATCCTGATTGACCTCAAATCCTGATAGTACCGGGAAAATCCTGATGCTAGACACCCTGCTATATTTGGCGAAGCTAATGGCGTTCATTCGTTTTTATTCTGAAAAAGGATGAAATAAATCAATAGATTAATGAAATAAAACAACAGCGAAACTTTCGGCACCGCACAATTACAGATGCTGCATCGACTTTCACTACTAATCGAAAACAACGCCTTGATGCAATTAGTCCTGCTCAGTGGATGCCCTTATTGCATGAGCAAAAAATGAAGGCGCTCTCACCTCTAATGCAATCTGCCTCACCCTACGATGCCGTTCTAAATTTTGAGTGCGAGTTATCGTAGAGTGTACCGACCAACTTTCTCACCACAGGGCTTTCCGATTCTACCGCACTACCCTTCAACTTTCTATGGCATGGTGTTATACTTATTCTTGACAACGAATATTTTGGTTTTGTAAAAATTGAATGAGGTTTTTCTCTGTGACATGTTTTTATCACATTTTTATCCATGTTTTCTTTTCTGAAAAAAATATTACCAAAATTTTGAAAGACTTAGAAAAAAATGTGGTACTATGCTTTTATAACAACTAAATCATAGATCTGTGCACCCCAGAATCGAAGATTCAAAAATAATTCATGCCATAGAGCGTTAATAGTTTCTGATAGAGTCATTTGCGTTAAAAAGTTATTGAGGGGAGGGTAGTAAAAATGGGAACCTCAAACCAAAATGATGAATCTTTTATCGAAGATGTAAATCGAAAAATGCCCTCCTATCTCGATTGCGACATTACAGATAGATACTTTATATGATATTTTTTCAAAAGTAAACTTTCTAAGAGTTTTACAAAATTCTGTCCATCCTGTACAGAATAATTCAAACACCAACATTTATTATTTGTGTTTCTTTCAAATACCTGTAAGTACTTAAAGCAACAGCAGGGATTTTGAACCATTACAAATCGAATCAAGACAAGTATTTTCTGACTCACATCATGATCCGTTGAAACTATGGAAAGGGCATTGTTGATCATCAGCTTGCTACACTCTACTTTTGCACACAAAGGAACTGCTTTGTGTATAGATGAAGGAGGAAAAAACAATGATTCCGTAAATTTTTATAAACCTTTAATGGAGTTAAAAAATAAAATGGAAAATGAACAAAAAATGAAACTTAAGTTTAAAGGGTCAAGATTACTTAGAGTATAAAATTATATTTGAATCAGTGAACAAAAAGGAAAGCAATACTCATTCCACTATAGACAGGAAAAAAATGTAAGTATTTTAAAAAAAAATTTATATTTAACAAAATTTAACCCAACAGAGCAACCAACATTAGCCTCACTCCTAGAGCAGGGCTGTAGAATGTATTTGGTCGCAAGAGTAAAACTTTTTATTTCATTTAAGAGATTTAGACACCGACATAAACTGATTAAAAATCATGCAAAATGACTGACTTTGGTGTCATGTTTTAGCGCAGAATTTTTTTCCTTTTTTTAGAAGGCTTAAAGGCAGGGTATTAATTACACGTCTATAGAACATATTTTCACGGTATACAGAATTTTATGGAGCTCTTTGGAAATACAAAATGTTCCCTGGAATTTTGATTCATACCTTTCCTTCTGTTCATTGCTTCTTGAACAAACCACTGATAACTTTGGTCAGAGCTACTCATCTACTTACAAAGTTCTGATACCATTGAAGGCGATGAAAAACTTTTTACAAGTATAGATCGGAGTAAAGATTTTAAATTTGGTAATCTTAAAGAAAATGAGTCTTTAATGAGTGATAACGAAAAAGCACTTTCAGAGAATTCTTTTCTGAGCAACAGTTTATGACATAGTTCTTCATAAAAAGGCTTATTTTCTAGGATTGGGAGAACGCACGGTTTTGTTACAGTGAGTTGCCATTTCTCAAACAAAATTAAAGCTTCATCGCACAATTTCAAACCTAGACTTTCTTGTAACAAAAAACAAAAGCTTGTAAATATCATTCTTAAAACAACAGGTTCCTCCAAGTAAAAGTTATAATGTGTGTAATTAAACGGATTAGAAAGAGGATCATTTACATCAGTTTTCATAGGGGATTCATTACTGCTAGCACTAGTTTTACTAGTAAACTTGGCACAATAGCACCTGAAAACCAATTCTGGTTTCATTAACTTTAACATGCAACTAGGATTGATGATTCTCAACAGCGCAACAAAAGGATTCACCGACGTTCCCTCGTTTTCTATAGAAATGACCACTTTGCTCACCGTTTGTCTGATTCTGAATTCTTCATCTTGTAACAAATAAACTATTGACTCCCAAATCAAACAAATGTCTTCATTCGCTGGCGAAACCAGCTTGGAAAGGTAAAACAAAGACTTGGCAATATCAAGCCGGACTGCTTCAAAATTTACGGTTATAAGTTCTGGTAAGTAAATTAATAAACTAGAGAGGATTTCTTTAAGGGTAAGGTCGTTACTATCAAGGTCGCAGCACATGTACAACGATCCACATGTGACTAGGATTGTTTTCGACAGAAAGTCAGTCTCAGTTTGGAAACTAAACCAGAACGTTTTTATATTGTCCATCTTGACCTCTACTCTACCAACTAAGCTACTTTGGAAATCGTCTAAGATGGAAATTATGAATTCGATCACAGTCAAGTTGATAATTCTAGACTCAACATCGTCTGAGAAGAAACCTACTGATAGGAATTTAAAGCATCGAGAGAGCATATCCGCAGCAGAGCTTTCGTCAAGCTTCATTTCTTTGAAGCAAACATCAAGTAAGTTGTGACTATAATTCATTGAGCAGAACCAGAAAATATTACCCATGTGACGAGGACTGTGCCTTGCTACAAGACACTTTAAAATGATTTCGGATAAACCACTCACTCCAACATTCTTCGGATCATGCGGGTTATAAGTGTGAATGAATTTAGTTAATGCTCTGAATTCTGTCTCTAAGAAAATGTCCGTCTTTCCAGGTCCACAGGTGAAGTCTGCTAAATAACAAATTTCATGAACTACCGTTTTCACAGGGAATGATAAAGAGATACTGGAAGGCATTGAAATTTTGAGTGATTGTAACGCGGAGCACAAATTTGAGTCCCCTTCATGGGCAAGGCTGTAAACTAAGTTGAAGAAAAGGAGCTCATTGTCAAAACCATTGTTTTCTTTTTTAAATTTAACCATAGAAAATTTTATGATGAGAAGTAACCCATGTATTAAATTCTCATCATAAGGCATTGTATTCAATAAATTGAGTTGCGTAGGGCTTAAAATTGAATTCTCAAAAATATGAGGGACCAAAATCTTTAAATCTACTCCCAAAGAGAGACTTATCTTGAACGCTGCTTCCTGTGCAACAAACATGAATTTAGATACAGGGAAAAGATTTACATAAGACAAAGCAGCTAGTCTGCGAATTTCATAATGCTCATGTGAAATAAACTGGTACACAAGCTCCCTCAGTTGAAGCAAAAATCTTTGCTGATTATCTGATCTGGTTGACTCAACGTCTGTTTGAATGGATGTGTATGATAAGATTGTTAATAGAAAAACTATTTTGTCGGAGTCTTCTTTGGCAGGATTGGCGAGAGAATTTTGGAAAATATCTACTAGGTATCCATGATGAGAAAAAAGCTGTTCGAAGGTGGTGTTGACAAGACATTCAGTCTCTTGGGTTTTATTGCGGCCCAGAATCTTGAGGATGACTGCTCCGCAAAGTTGTAGCGCTGCATTTCTGAAACAGCAAAAAAATTTGTAAAAATGTAATCAACTTTATGCAAGTTAGGTACATTAATTTAGAGGTTTATCTACATCAGGTAATAAGATAGAATCTGCCTATTAAGAGGATGAACTGGCTCTTAAATTGAAGTTAGAAGGCTTGGTTGGTGTGGATCAAATATTCTGCTTAAATGCTGCTGTAAATACAAGACTGAGCAGCAAAAAGGCATGATTTAGCGGGAGTAAAAACCCCCAACCAGTTCTAACCTTTAACCCTTAGAATCCAGATCTCGGAAAAATTGAAATTTTTCTTCCAGTGATGTGTCTGGTGTTGCAGGGATGATGAAAATCCAAAAAACACATACTAAAAAAAAAGTTACGAATCAGAGACAAGACTATGTGTTTGTTTACAATAGAGAATTTGCAGGTGTCTGAAATTTTGTGAATTTCATGTATAGAATGAAACTGCTAGGAAAACTGAGTACGAGGATATCCTTGGTTTCTAAATTGGACAATTATTGGAGGTAATAAGACAAAATAACCTGTTCTGCCAAAATATATGAGTTTAAATGGAAAATGCCATCAGATTACATCACAAGGCAGCAAATTATTTCACTTTTAAATCGATTGGATTGTTCTACAATTTCCCAAGTCAGAAAAAAAATATGAAAAATACTGCAAACTCAGCTCAATAGGCACTCTCAGATGAAGCAATACAATTTTTGTGTGCAAATTCTCCATTGAACTATATGACGTAGCCACTAAATCAGTCTATAGTACCTCCCAGAATTTGTCTATTCCCTGAAAATTTACCCGATTCCAGGTTTTGAATTATGATGTGTAAGTTGGTTGTAATTAAAAGTTAAAAATTTGAATAAACATCAAAAAATGAGAATGTTAGGAGAGTAAACTCATAGATTAAATACGGACCTGATACCCCAGACAGGTGACGCAATACTGGAACATAACTGCAAGACAATTCGCTCCAAAAATGGAGCAACAGACAGTCGTAGCGATGAATCTTCAACGATTTTACATAGGAGATGTAATGCTTGAGCTTGTTGCACATCTTTCAAAACAAGATCATTTTTTTCAAATGGTACTGCAGCAATATCCAGTAAAACAGGAACGATTTTTTCAATAATATTCTGAAAAAGAATCAATTAATTAAAAACTTTGAAATACTGTTTGAGAGCTGCTAATCAGATGTCAACAAGATAATGCATCAAGTTTAACATCAAGACGCATTTTGGGGAAAAAATGAGCTGGGAGTAGTTTTGAATTCAACTGGTCATAAATTTGAACTCAAGAAAAAAAAATATTGTAAATGTGAGAACAGTAATCGCAGTGGTCTTTGTCCTCCCCATTGAGTCTCAGGAAGAAATAAAATTTCAAACTTCTTTTTCCCAAATTAAACTGAATGAGATTTTGTGTTGTTTCTTTTAGTGCGGTAAAGAAAATTCTCTTTTTTATCTCTCATTGAAATTTTTTCATTAAATTTTGGGGGGCAGCGCCTCTTTCAAATTCTTGCCAACATGGTGCAAATTTACAGTGAAATTTAGCACTATGATAAAATACATAATTGAATTTTAGACATTCTCCAAACTTTCAGGTGATTTTCTGTTGGTATATTTGAAGTTTTGCCCTCCTTCCTAGTATACTGTGTGAGCAGTATGTGTAGCAATGTTGCATGATAACTTCTCTAATAGTTTGCGCAAAGTTTTTATGATTCAAATTGCCAGTCATGTAGACCTCCACCTTCATAATAGCTACATATGAATTTTTTTGAAAGATGAATTTATGCTATGATTACTTCATTTATGGTTTGGTCCAACACCAACAAAAATCAACCGTAGAAATGTTATACAGTTGGGAAGAAAGTAATCTGATCGCCTGCAGAATCTTCTAGTGCCATTCGCATTTAAAAAATACGAAAGACTCCATGGGCTTGATGGAATACTCTTTCGTAAAATTAGCTTACTTTCATTTCGTTTAAAAATTTGTATGAGGAGACCTGATGAAAATGGTCTTTCTCACCCTCCAAATACTTTTATTATCAAAGTTATGTACTAAAAAAATCCTCCCAAAACCAATATACACTTAAGGAAAGGCTTCAAACAAAACACCTACATAGGAAATAAACTATGTATATATAAAAATCACTGACGCTTACTTGGTACGGACGAGTATCATTGAGAGCTAAACGATGGATCAAAATAGACAATCCAGCGGAGCGTCTGGAAATTGTTCTACTACTCTGACTCGTCAATAGTTCAAAAACTTTTGAGATCACTTCATCTATCCATCCAATGAAGGTATCCTTGTTCATCTTTATGATGAAACTCATGAAACGTCCAAGAGCAACCCCTGCTGCCTCAATGGCCCCTTTGTGTCGACACTGAAGAAGAACGGTGGAAACCAGTTTTCCGCTTCGCAGGATTTCTTTTTCTGATAGATCCTCACAGTAAGTCATGACAAGATTGACTGATAGCTCACAACACGCCTGAAAATAAAAACATTCCTTCAAGTGAATCTTTTCCTATGATTTTTTTAGGTTTATATTAGGAATCTGCACAAATAGCTTGTTGTAAAATTGTTAGGTACCATTTAATTAAATGCAGAGAAAAAATTGGAATGTCTCTATTCTACCGAGTAGATTTGGACAAATAGCTGAAAACCCACGACTTTCTTCAATTAGAAAATGACAGGGTGCAAAATATCTAAAACATTGATCTTTTTTTGTCATTTAGTGTTTTTACTTCATGACATTGTTCGATCTAACCCCACTTTTCCTCAGTAACCAGCGGAAAAAATAAAAAAAGTAAGGAAGGTCACTTCTGGAAATTGCTGCATTTCACAGATTGCAAAATGGAACTTAACACTGCAGATTAGACTTTTAACATTTCTAGTGTGTCTTGAATACAACAGATACGACTTAAAATGAAAAAGAAAGAAAAAAAAGAAGAAAAAAACAGCTACCTTTGCAATAGTAAATTCTTTGAACAAATATCCCTTCAATTTACCACACATGATCATTCTTTCGCCCAAAAAAGGCAACCACCGAGTGAGTGATGGAACACACTTCAATAAAAATAATGGAGACTTTAAACTTGATAAATGGAAAAAACAAACCTGCAGATTACGCCAGATACAGCAAAGAAGAGACTGATAGGCAGAAGATAAGAGAATTTTCTCTTTGTTCTCTTCTTTCTTGGAGGCGTCAAGCAAATCAGAGTTTTGGATGTGTTTTTCTATTGCTTGACCCATTTCGGCGAACGATGGTGCAAAGTCTGAAATACGGAGAGAAGATTGAATGATATTTTGAACACTATTAAAGCACAAAAGAAATAGATAAAGTTGAGAAATGATAGAGAGTTGAAGATCTGATTAATTACTATGTAGGTTAATTCAGAATTATGGATTTAAGAGTTTATTGAGTCCAATTATACTTAAATTCAATCAAATTTGGAGATAGCAGATTAATTGCAGATGAAAGCTTTTTGTAGGTAAGATATTAAGCACAAATTTCCGATAAAAAAACAGAATATCATGGCACATTGCATCAATAACAGAACAAGGTTTCACTAAGCAAAAATGTCATAATTAAAAATATTGGAATATCAGTGGCTGAAATCGAGGAATAACTAACCTAAGTCTTCAGTTTGCTCTGCAGTCAAAGACGTAACAAGATGTTGAACTATCTGCTCAAGAACATTCAGTATTTCATTACAAGTCTCAGGGCTAAGATGGTAGAGTTGAGAGGTTTCTTGATCAGAAATCAAACGAGTTAACGCTTTCAGCGAATAGAGCAAAATTCCTGAGGACGCAACTTGCAATGCATCCACGAACAATGTCTTTGCTTCATCTTGGATGGATTGCACTAGAGATAGGACGATTTTCTCGGTGTAGTTTATGGATTCAATGTTTGCTGCCTCGGTTAGCAGACAAACTTTAAGCAGAACTTCATTGTGTGCACAACAAAGTGACAGATCAGGATTTTGCTCAGGTATCGAGTTACTGGATTGGTAAGTTTTCGCAAAACCATTCATCGACGAAATTAAAAATATAACTATCTGTGCAGCTGTTTCGATAATATCATCAGTTCCTCCTACGATACACTGATGTAAACACTGCAGAAGCGTGACATTATCTGTGAGATACTTGGAAACTACCTCTGATGAGTCAAACTTGACAGCTAGGATCTTCAGTAACTTCAAGCTAGTTATTTTCCGCTGATAATTACTTCCTACTGCTAAATTCTGAATTAAAAATTGAATCAATAATTCTAAAAACCATAAAGCATGACTACCTGTAAGCTTGCCTTCTTTGGGGTTTTTTAATTTAAGAATGACTGAATTTTTAAGCCTATCTAAAAATATCACAAAGGAAGTCAAAAGATTTTGTCGCACATGTGAGCTATCGAAGTTAACATTTTCGATAATGAATTGAAGAACTAAAGTGTATTCCCTTTCTGATGGCTCTATACTGGTTTTGGTGCAACTACAAAGCAAGTTGAAACTTTCGCAACGGATCCGTTCGTTTTCATGATGCAGTCCTTCCAATACCAAAGTCTCAAATTTTTGGAAGTCATTAAATTCTTTATAGCCTTTTATCCCTTGTTTTCGAAGCGTTTTGAGACACATTATAATGGCTAGAAGAGCGCAGGAGGAAACATTGCTATTTTTCTCATCGAGTAAAATGGATAGAAGAAATTCTACCGACTGCGGAAACTTTTTCAGGGTTTTGATAGTCCAATGATTTAAAATATTCCACTTCTGAGATCTGAAACAGAAAACATAAAAATTCTATTGTTTAGAGGATTCTGTCAGACAATATTTTCCACATAAAGAAAGAGGAACAGTATAAAACTACAGATTTTAAATCCCATTTACCTGTTATCACTTGCTATTAGAAAATTGGATTGGTAGTCCAACTTTTGTCTTGGTTACCTTTCTCCCTCATTTCTTCCATGCTCCACAAAATTTCAAGGAAGCTTTTTGACCAGTTTTCCTCCAAGAAAATACAATATAATCAGAAATTTGTAAAGGTTGCGATCAAAATCTGCATTTCTCGCGTTTAATATAGAATTTTTGCAGCTTTTAACATGAATCAAATACTTCTACACACTTGAAAATAAAACATATGATAATCGACTTTCTCTTGTATAATGTGGTATCATTTCTTGCTCCATAATATGTTCAAGAGTGATAAATGATTAGAAAAAAAGACCAATAAACTTACTCATTGTTGTGTTCCGAAGTTAGTACAAAGACTAGCTGCTTCAAAAATGTTCTCTTCCACTGTTCGAAATCAATGCAGCTGATGATAAACAGGTACAATTCTGTGCATGCAGACACTAAATAGTTTATTTTCATACTGTCGAAAAGTTTTGGAATGAGATATGGATAGTGCGTACTTATATTCTGAAATCAAATGATAAATGAATCGCAAATAAGTAGAGCATAAAGTATGTCATGATGTGAGTTCAAAGTAGAGACTAAGATGTGTTCTAACACCGATAGTTTTTTTGGCCAACAAGCGGTGGAATACAGTTTAAAACTGAAATTCTTATTATGGAAAGAAAAAACTCATGTGAGCAAACTTTCACAAGCTAATGATTGCTCAGCCAATTATCACCCAATTAAAAATGGGCGAAAGGGGAGGACTGTACGAAAATCTAAAGCTACATAATCAAAATGCTCGGATAAGATTCAAGAGAAAAGAGAGTTCAGGTGTAAAGTTGATCAAAAACAATTTCTCTTGAAAATAATAATTCAAACAAAAAAAGAGACGATTATCTTGACTAACCGATTTGAAAAACTCACTTTTTATTTATTTATGCAAACACATTAATCCAGCATCGCTGCTGATTATCTTCGGAACTGCTTGATTATGAAAAAAAGCTACATAAATGTCTATGAAGATAGATGAAACATACGTTTTAATTTTTTGAACTATTCAATATTGTTCCTTAAGTAATTTTCAAGCCTCTAATATGCAGGGTAGGACAAATAGATAGGATGTTGCTTATCAAGTCATGCAAAAGTAAAGATGTCAACGCAAAAAAAACTTACCAGAACTGAGTCCTTGTCTAAATTTAGAATTTCCATGATCATGAGGTACTTCGCTTTCATTTTCCATGATAAGTCTTCATAAACAATCTTCGACAAGTTCAACTCGGGAAGTTTGTCCTTCTTTAGAGAGAGAAACAGCCGAAAAAGGATCAAATTGTTTTCTTTCACGCCAGGAATGGGGTTTTCCCAGTTTGCTAATATTAAGTTGAGAATACTAAGGAGTGACTCATCACTGAAAAAAATATGAAATTGGTCGCAAGAGAAGCTCGACAAAAAGTTGACTAAAGTTTTAAAAGAAATTGATGTCAAAAAATTTTGAACTTTGCAATAATTGACAATCTGACTCAACAGATCACAGTTCACTGGCCTTGAGCCAAACAATGAAATTAATCTTTCTTCTTTTAATGAATTTGAAAAAAGGTAGAAAAAGGCAACTTTGAAGAGAGCAATCTCTTCAATACCAGAAAAGTTAAGCTTGACCAATAGTTTGGTTGGAAGACTATAAACAAAAGTTTTATTCTCTTCATCAAGAGTCGCTAACTGAATCAAATTCAACGGACTCTCATGATCGGACACAAAATTGCCCTGAATGTAGAGGAATGCTTTCGTCGCGATGAGTTGCTGATTAAGGGTCAGTATCCTTTTTGATAGTAGGGTTAAGGTTAAATCGGTCAAGTGAAGGAGAATTTCATGAACATCTTGGTTTCCAGGTGCACATCTCTGGCATACTGTGCAGATGGTCTGTGAGGAAAAAAATTAGAGAGATTAGAATCTGGTGCACATAAACTTTAGTCAAGTGTGATGACACTTGATACAATGTGCATTCTAACAACGTCAGCTGTTGTGCAGGTTGCACGCAGAAAATTTGAAATCTAAAATTTATATTTTAACAGCATTTATGCCAATAACAAATCTTTACAAGATCGGAATTATGGTTTTTCTTTTGTCAGGGTATATTAGACAGGGAGTTTTACTTTTTGTGGTATATTCTTCAGAGTAGAACCTTAGTGGAAATTGAATTCTACATAACATTATTATGTTCACAAGGTCAATACATATTTTTGTAGTTAATGATTTACCTACTACTTGCCCTTAACTTTGTGATTTTGGGGTATTTCTTACAAAAATTAATGTTTTCCTTCATAGAGAAATAAGTGATTTAAAAGTTGCTTGTTTAATAGGACAGCCGTAGCCAGAGTTCGCTTTATTATATTACATGTTACCTGACGTACTCTCGTGTTTTATTTTTTTAAAAGAGAACCACAAAACCTTAAATGCTGAAACTTTGTAAATGTTTTCTATACGATTGAGGGTATTTTCACAGACAGTTTAAAGGTCTTAAGTATGTTTCGAAGGTTTAAGTTAAAAGACAAAACGAGAAGAAATGAGGCAACAAGGAAGCTGCTTTTGGAGAGAAATTTATGTCCAGAGAGGTTTCATTCAAGAAAAAGTATTTGTCTGAAAAATTGAGCTTTTTCACCTACCTGGAAAAAGTCTTCATTTCCTGTGAATTTTGAGTAATTAAGGAAATATTCCAAATTTGTCTTAAAGTAGGTTAGCTGCTTAAGAAGTGATACATCATCAGTCACTGAAAAATTAAAATCAAGAGAGTTATCAAAATGAAACGTTTTCACTGCTCCTTCAAAAATAAGACTTAAAAGAGTGTTGACATATTTAAAAAAAAAAATCCTCCTTCTGGTAGGTTTTTTTAAAAAGATATTTTGTAAAAACTAACTTCCTCTCAAAATATTCCAGATAAAAGAGAGAACGCTTAAATAAAAAATAGAAATATTTAGATATGTTACAGCACATACGGATTTGATTTGGAACTCTTGTTCAGGGGCGAAATGGTGGAGGAAAATGAAGGTAAAATAAGAGGTGCAAACATTTTTAATTATGAAATTCAAAGAAAAAAGGAAAATATGAAACGGAAGGAAATTTAAAAAAAATAACATTAAAATTAAACAGAAATAGAAAGCAAAAAATCAAAATAAATCCTCTTTAAAAAAAAAGTGATGAAAATATAGCATCAAGCCTTATGTACCGCAGCCTTCTTCCAGAGCTTTATGTATTTTGTGAACAGCCCCTTGAATCGTAAAATCTAGATCAAAAATTCTGAAATTCAACATTCGGGTTGCATGCTTATCATCTTACTGACCTATCCTTAAATGAACTTTAATTAAAATTGGAAATTGGTACATATAAAATTTTAGGAGATAGAGAGTTGATGGAACATTTTACAAAGAGACAAATTTAGATCCTTGGTTGTAAGAAACAAAATACATACTGGTTGTTTGAAGAATTTTTGTTGTTTTCTAATCGGTTCAAGAGCTATTTTTTCACTGGTTGCACCTGACGGGACATCTGCACTTTCCGCACTCGACGATTCAATGCTGAAAAAATCAAAACTTATTAGGTACTAAATTTTAATTCTTATGTTGTGAATCATAGCTTCAAGAAAACTAAGAAAACTTCAAACCTCGAAACAGAAAGTTTAACGTAATTTTTTAATTTTTTTCAAATCTTTGCACTTCAGTAATTTTTAAAACTTAAAGTATTTTATGTCCGTACTTTTTTTAAAAAAAGAAGAAAAACAAACATTATGAAGGCAAATTCAATTGCATTAGATGCGTTAATAAAAACATACACAATAGGAACGAATGAAAAAATAGTTGATAAAGCTACAAAACTATTAATTTAAACAAAAAATCACACAAAAAAAAAAGGTGAGAAAAAACTCATCAGCTTCTATGCATTTTCCCAGCCAAAATTCAAAGCAAAGAGCTGGAGATATACTTCACAATCATGAGCGACTGAAATGGTGGTAAACGAGAGCATGTCTAAGAGAAATGTCGAAACAACTTTGAATGGAAACTAAAAAAGGGCACAGAAAGCTAAAAGACAAAAAAAATTAGGATAAAAAAAACATGATTAGATTAGCTCAGTACTTACCCAGAATATAACAGCATCGGAAGGCCGAAATTAGACCATCATGATTATGAGTCTCACACAAAAAAGCATGAAAGCAGGGTAAAATTAGAACTTTACAATGACCATCGATTTTTGTATAAGAGATACGGATTTCAAATGCAACCTATATCTTCAACGATACTAGGGGCCCTAGAATGAATGGAAAATCACCCTATCTACCTTTAAAATTTTTAAGATGGATCAACTGATTGAGCAAACTTCCAACGACCTAATTTTGAAAAGTGTCGTTTTTCAAATCCAAGATTTTTCAGGAATTTTAAGAGACATTGCATTTTGCAAATTCAATGTGAAATAAAGAGACTAACATTTTAGATGTAATCTTCGTAGTTCTGGTAGCATATAAGGCCTACGGAGTGATGAATCGAAATCTAGCTCAAAATCTGGATAAAATCTGCCTTCCCTCAGATGTGTTTCGTCATAATGATTTTTTTACATATAATGATAGGCCAGTTGCGCGAGTCACAGAGGCATGTTTTGAAGCATTTCACAGCTTATGGATCAGAAAAAAAAAACAAGACCTGACAAAACACTAAATTTCCACGTCCCATATTAACAGAGATATCACCCCTCAAAAAAAAAAAACACAGTGTATGATGTCATTAATCGCAGTGATGCATACCATAGTTTCTTCCATCTTGCTTTCATGTTCGTTTTAAATGGAGCAACCAGTTCAAACGTGTATGACACTGGTTGCTTAATCAAAGGTGGAAGAAGGAACCACGATGTGTACTACCGTGGTGGAAAACGTCATACACCTCGTTTTTTGAAGGGTGATATTTCTGTTAATATTGAACGCAGAAACTAGACATTGGGACAAGTCTTGTTATTTTATGCTGATCTATCAAGTATCAAAACACGATTCTGTGACTAGCGTAACTAATTGTGTATTAATTGTACGTAAATTGTACGTAATTGTGACCATCCATGAGAAAAGCGTAGGTACAGGTCTAAGGTATGTGAGGTGGGCGTAGGTAAGAGTTTAGGTTGCAAAATCTCAGAACAGAATCAGTGGTAACCATGCACAGAGTAGCGCTTGAAGAATAATGTGCCAAAAATTGTCTCTAAAAGATCATACCAATTTATAGGCCTATTGGTTTGAAATTCAATGTTTAGGTTACTGAGTAACTAAAAGCTCCACTAATGGAGCAACACAGCTTGCACTCTGTACTTCAGCTTATTTATTATCTGGCATATTTTCAAACTTGGATCTTTTCATTTAACTCAGCAAAAATGACTCTTCTGGAGATTTGCTGCTGTACACTGAGATTCCTCTTCCCATGGATCATTACAATTACATTGATAATAAAAAATTGAAAAATAATTGATGTAAGTGATCTACCTCAGGAACTTCTGTCTCTCAGAAAATATCCATCTCTTGCAAAAGGATCAACATAAGAAACTGGATTAAATATTTGTACTTTTCTCAAAGCAAAAAAAAAAAAAAAAAAAAAAAAAAAAAAAAGGCAAAACAATCTCTAAACATAGCAGACGGCCAAGGACAAATTCCTACTAGTTTCCCAAGGGCATAGGCGAATTATTAACCCTAGCGATGTGTGATGTGAAGAAGAAAAATTGAACAACTTGAAATTGAGAAACCATAAATATTAGTATTCGTTTTAGTCAAAATATTAAACATAGAAGACAAAAATTAGTGGTTTACAACCTAAGGAGATTTTTAAAATCAAAAGAAACAAAATTGACAAAAGCAAATACAGCAATTTGAAGGATTATATACAAAACACTTGTCGAATGGCTCAAGCAATTTTGGCATCGATGGAAACGTACTTTAAAAAACTATTGGTAAAATTAAAATTTCTTCTTTTAGAAATTAATTTCTCATGACAGGTTACAAAAAAGAAGTATATGGGCGCTGTATGTTTTTCACAATTGGAAATTAAAGATGTTCTTAGCCTCAATATTTCTGCTTTTTTGACGAACATTTACTCTTAAGTCTATGGGTGAGACCTACTTTTTAACAACAAAATACATTGCCACTTTAAGGAAGGTGTACTTTTTCATGCAAAATCTCACACTGCATAAAAATATTCTTATGATGCGGTACTGAGTGACCTTTTGAGAACTTCTAAAGCTCGTTCTTCACTTATCTGTCTTACCAAAATTGATTTCCAAGTGTTATGGAATGTTTGTTTTCTTGAGTGTAAACTACAAAAAAATTGCGTGATATGTAAATTTATTAAATGCCATTAAAAAACGAGAAAGAATTTGTGAAAAAAAAACTCAATTTTGTTCATAGAAATGCATTGGTTATATACCAATATTTGAGACTAAATGGCAGCATTGGAATTGAATTCCATATTCAATTAAGTTAAATCATTTTAAACAATTCGAATCATGAATTCAATAGAATTCAGAGGAATAATTTACAACTGCACTTGGCTTTGAGTGCCGTGAAGTTTATTCCTGCGTCCAATTCTAAACCAAAATTTACAAGAGCATAGAGACAAGCAAACAATAAATGAACATCATTGGAAGAGTATTTCTGTACCTGTTTAACCCTATTATTTGCACTCTTCCAGGGAGAAATTTTCTAGGGGAAATCAACGCTAAACTTCAGAGTACTTATATGATACAGAAGATCACAGAAAATTTTGAATATCCAACAAGATTAAAATAGGTCAAAAAACGTTTATAGTGAAACCCCTACATTAAAAAAAGAATGAATAGATAACTGGAGAGGAGGCTTGTCATCACTAAAGGTAAGTTCTATAACTATTCGAATAAATACAAAAAAAAAAAAAAAAAAAAAAAAAAAAAAAAAAAAAAAAAAAAAGATTAGAGGCTTCAATGCCTCAAATCCAAACACAGCTTAAAATGCTCAGATTTTAATCATATCACCTAAAAAGCTTGATGGGCACACAGAAAGTAAAACTCAGAGTGTAATATGAGAACATATTAATTTGGGCAATTTCAATATTTAAGTGAGCTCCTTTTCAATTCTTTCTCTTTCTTCAAGTTGCCACCAATACCCACGGATTAAAGACTGAAAATGCTGAATCGTTTGTTGTTACATGCTCCTCTGGAGCATATTTCAGAAAAAAAAATTATTGACTTTTTTATTTTATTTTTATTTTATCTAATTACTGCCTATGAAAACTAAAATAACAAATTTACACGAAAAAGGTGATATTTGGAAGTGGACTAGATTGGTAACTTTAGAAAAGTTGTATTCCAGACGAAATTTTCCTGGGATTGTGTTTTGCCTAATAAAAGATTGTGAACCATTCCAGGAGTCTTAAATTCATTACTTAAATTTAACATGGCAATACCAAGAACATCAGTCTTTGACAAACTTATCAAAAGTCTCTGAAGTATGAAATTCTGCTCTTTAAGCTGGTCATTGTATCTTTGAAACTTCATCATTAAATTATTTTCAAAAATTTGAATTCTACAGTTCACTTGGAAATGAATTCAATTGTTGGTTGACTTGGAACCAAAATTTTGAGAGCAGATCATTCTTCAGATTTATTCCTTTCGTTAGGGACACTTTTTACTCGATGGTGTACTTCCTATTTGAAAATCTTCAAAGGATTTCTTAGCAGCGGAAGATAAATCATCCATGGATTTCTTAGCGTTTAACGTGATTTCATCAATAGATTTTATTGCGGTAGTTTTTAGATCTTCCACCTCTGTTTCAATTTTTTCAATGACCCACTCAATGGCTTGTCTCCCTTTATTGGCATTGTGAGAGATATTTGTTGTGACCAGTCCTTCAAAATAACTACTCAACGGAATCCCTTTGACTGTCACCACAGCTTCTTGTTTAAGTTTCGTTTTTCCCGGGTCTTCTGGATGAGGCTCATAGCTGAGAGTTTCATCTATTGCAATTATGGAGCCAGCCGTTAAATTATGAGTCTTCATTTCCATGATCCTCGCTTTCGGATCAACTGAAGAGCACTCCTTGGCATAAAAAATGTTGGTTCCTCCAAGGATCGTTTGCGCCCAGGAGGGCAGACCCCACTTGGACGTTATAAGACGTTTTGTAAGTAAAACTCCTTCGCTTACTTTGCGGTCAACTACATCTATACCAATCACAGCAGGATTCATGGGGTTTGGATACTTCCGCCAAGCTGCTTCGACGACCTTCTCCCACGGATGATTGAAGATGTGCTCGGACGTCCAAATCTTCATGTCTATGTCAAACAAAAATTGCAAACACATTAAAGTTGTGCTGCAAAATCAAGTTACTATGGGCTAAGGACCCACACAACTTCAAATATGATAGTATTGGAGGGAGGGGGAAAAATTAGTAATATTTCTGATTCCTCTTCCTAAAACACAGCTAGAAGGCAGGAATTACCATTTGAAGTTGTAGAGGGATGTTATTTTGAACAGAGATCCTTTCATACTTGGATCTTCATTCGATTTCTCTTAAAGAAAGTCAGCATAGTAATTCTTTCTTATTTTAGTCACCTTTGTTGTCAAGAATTTTACAGAGAACGCAATATGCCAGAGAATTTTGAAAAACTGTTACATTGTATAAGAGTAAAAACAAAAACCTGGTTAGCCGTAGAATAAATTTTTGTGCATCGGCTGACATACAACTAAATGGGAATTGACTTAGATGTCGACAAAGTTTTTATTGATAAAAAATATTTGCCCAACTATATTGTAAATTAGGGAATTAGAGTCAGCTCAATTAAGCTGAGAGGAGAGCAACCTTACCAATTCTTTTAAAATAAGATGGTAAAGAGTAACACTATCTCATAACTTTTACCATATTTTTGAATAATCTGAGGAAAATCAATTCAATAGCGACACTGAACTCGGATAAAAATCTACCAAAACCAAGCCAATCCTTTAAATTAAGTTGGCTGAGAAATGTTACTTAGGCAGTTACTTACAAACTTTATTCAATTGAAGCAAGTTAGTCATTATAAAGTAAAGCTGCACTTTCTATAAAAGCAAACTTGCTGAGAAAACAGTATTTAAACGAACATTTTACAAATACTTTCGGAAGGAAAATTTTTTCCTCTTTTCTTGTTTGTTTGTTTCTTTACTAGTAGCGCAAGAGTCATATCCATGATTACTAATTGATATATTATTTTTATTGCTTTATGAATTTTTGGTGATAAAATTATTAATTGATCAAAATTGTATAATTTCAAGATTGTTCAAGCTCATCCATCCCATGTTGGGACAAAAGTCAATCTCAAATTAGCACCAAAAGAGCATCACTCTACAGCAGACACATGCATCTAGTTGGAACTGGTGATGGGTGGTGACATACATAAGCCTTGACTTTTACCTCAACGTATGATGAGTGACCTCTATTTCTATTCCTTCAAGATTATGAAAATTGCGAGATCAAAAAAAAAAAACTGATCATCTTTTTGGAAAATATTTTATTCACCAACTTTTTACTTAAAACTCCAATGTACATCTTAGAATCTTAGATTAAAGAGAGAAAAACAAGACAAACAAATGTGAAAAAAAGACTACTTATAATAATAACTTATAACATCCTAAATAAGCGCAAAGCATTCAAGATTTTTGCGTGTCAACTTTTTCATACCCATCCTTCTCAATTTTTTCTTTGAATTTTAAATAATCTCTTTTCCTATCAAAATGTTTAATCTGAAATAAAAAAGAAACACACAATTCATTAGACCGACATTCATGATGGAAACATATTCTATTTTTTTTAGGGACTTATACAAACGTAGTCAAATTTGCTTTTTAAAGCACCATTGGAGGCAGCCCAGAATTATATATTAGTTAAAACAGATTGAAATGTTAATCCTCCAATAATTTTAATCTCGCTGCCTTACTCATAGAACCTACACACTGCACTTGCTTCACAATGAGTCAGTTGCATTGAACATACAATTGCGTTCATTTCAAAATTGTACATATGCAAAAAATAATAAGATCCGTCCAAACTAACAACGAAGATGTTGCTCTTAAAAAAACATGACGTCGGACATCATCGATTGCCGCTGCGCATACCTCAGTTTCTTCTACTTTAATTTCATCCATGTTTTAAGTCAAACAACCACTGCAAATGTATGCATTACTGATTGATGAACCCAAGATCAAAAAAATTATGGCATGCACTACTGCAGCGGATGAAGCCATACTTCATGCTTTCAGAGAGTGATATTTCTGTCAATATTGGAGGGAGAAAGTTGGTGTTTGAACGTATTGAATTCATTTTTGCTCTAAATCTATGTGTATCAAAAATCAGAACCCCCTCTCTCTGACTAGTGCAAGTAACCCAATAGTAAGGGATGTAATTCAAGCATTTTTTAAGCAACTCCCAAAATATCGAGCATTTCTAGGGCTTTAATAGGAAATACAGAATAAATCAACTTTCTAGGCTGCAAGAACCACGCATGAGACAAAAAACAAAGAATAGAGAAGTCAAAAGGTAACACATTCATGACACTATAAGGATGACATGGAAACTTTGTGATCACTTTTATTTTTGTGCCTGCCTGTTAGAAAGCAAAACCGATTTGTGTACTCCTGCAGCATTACTTACAACATAAAATTGAACGCATGGATGGTAAAAAATTGCGTTTGAGTTTTGCTTTACAATATCCATGTGTCATCCTACTTGTTGTGGGATTGAAAAGGGGAAAAATTTACCTAAACTTCACACCTGGGTACAATTCTAAGGTGTCCAACTTTTCCTGGAAGCAAAATTTTCGGGTTTCCTAGACCAATTTTAGTTTTTCTAGATTTGAAAATAAAAATATGTATCACATTATCAGCTCGACAGCAAAAATTGTTCTTGCTATTAGCGATAGTACTAACAATTGCAGATATGATGGCATTGGTAATTTAGCTGGTACATTACAGCAATTGACTGGCAATCACAACGATATATACTGAAGTTTTAAACTTCCACCAGAATGAGATTAAGTATATTTCATCCATTAATGAGTTATGTTGAGAATTTTATTGATTTTTCATGAGATACTGAATTGTTGTTGTTGACTATTTTGATATTCAGTTGCAAAATAGTGAGCACTTTGAATTATAATTTCTAGGATTCTTATAGAAATTTAAAAAAAATGAGAAACCCACAGATTTCTTCGAATTTTTTTTATTTGTTCAATTTCTTCAAGCAGAGCACTCGAGAAACTTCAAGTCCTTTAGCAATAACACCAATTTTATTAGATAAATGAGTTAGAAGGACTTTCTTTTGGTGTCAACAAGACTTGAAAATCTGAGAAATTCTTAATCACTGAATAATTCTTCCCAATTTGACACTGTTTGAGGAAAATTCTTGAACAAAATTTGGCTTCCAAATGGTGTGGTGAGTCAAATTGTACAGTTTTTAAAAAAATCATTCGCTTTACATTGTCGTTCCCTCCACGAAAGAACGAAACTACATTTCAATGTTGCCAAATTTCCCCTCGCAAATTGCATTTTCACTAGGAGAATCTCGAGCAGTTTTCACTGAAAATTTCAGTGTTTTTTCTTCCGAACTCATGTAAAAATCAGACATGTTGGACAAAAATTGCACAGGTAATTTTTTTTAAAAAATTGAATGGGTCAGTTTCGCTGGTCACAGAACCGTGTTTTGATGCTTGATTCTTGTAGATCAGCTGAAATAAGATCCGTCCAAACAGCAACTCCCTATGTTCGATATTAACCGAGATACAGCGCTTTGAAAAAGTTCCGTTTATGACGTCATCCACCGTGGAAGTGACACCCTTGGTTTTTTCTTGGTTTTATTAGTCAGGAAGACACACATTTGCATTGGTTCCAAGGGTGTCATTACCGCGGTACGTGACGTCAAAAATCCGACTTTTCGATGGGCGATACCTCGGTTAATATTGAACGCAGAAAGTTTCAGTTTGGACAGATCTTTGTATTTTTAGCTGATCTAGAGGAATCAAGCATCAGAACACGATTCTATGACCAGCGCAACAGACCCATTCTACCGTGCTAAGGAAAAACGCCATACGAACATTCGAGAGTTGCCAAATTTCCCAGAATAAAACATGTATTTTTGACGAAATTTATGTATAGTTTTCCTTAAAATTTTCAGATGTTTTAGATTAAAATGCGAACAAAATAGTCTGAAAAATTGTGAGCAAAATATTTACAATTTCCCCGATTGATTTGTATTTTATCAGAGGAAATTTGGCAACGCCTGAAGGTTCATACGGCGTTTTTCCTTGGTACGGCAGCATTCTTTTAGTCAATTATGCAACCCTGGAATGAAGTTATGTTCCGCCGTCGGGGAGACGACGATATATGGATTACATTTTGCAATAAGGAACCACTATCACTGACTCTTCCATAAAAGCACCTTTCTGCATAGGGAAACCAATGACATATATGTTGTTTCTAAAATGAGCCAAAGATAATGGTTCTTTATTGCAAAATGTGGTCCACATATCCTCGTCTGCTAACTAAAAATGAACTGCAATTTCCTTTGAACTTACCCACTGTACGGGGCACGAAGATTCATAATCCTGCCGAAACTGCGAACACTTTGAGCTTTCATCTTGATTTTCGTCCAAACACTGCCAATATCGATCCCGGGCGTCCCAACACTTTTGTCGCGTATCTTTCGTCGGAAAAGACATCTTGAAAATATCAATCACTCTCTTAGTCTCGATTCAAAACACAGGAAAAAATGCCCCATACCCAAGAGAACTAAAAAATGAGAAAACCACTGGGATCGCTTATTTGAAAATCACACAGACGATTCTTGCGAACCGTAGGTAAGAAAAAGGAAAAATCTCACTGCAACGATTTCTTTGAAACATTAATGTCCTTAGAGGAAAGGTACGCAATATTTTCGAGGGTAGCAAAAGTTTTTTGTTTATTTTTTTTTACAAAAATAATTTTTGCATTAATATTAAACACGCATGCTTCAATGATGGGATAAGAATATGATGGAAACAATGAAAATTTAAAGAAAAATAATATGATGATTCACAAATGTACGGATTTGACCGCGGACGAAACTATAAAACCGATCAAGTTCCAACTGATACGCGAGAGAAAAGCTTGATTTTCGTAACTTCGACAAAATAGAAAATTGCTATTTGGATCATGCTAACGAGGAGAAAAAAATTGATAAATCTCGACGAAGACCTCAATCAAAAATACAGCGAGGCTCCATTGAGCCACTTCAAAGCTGCTTTTATTTTTACACCCCGCTTCTGAAACCGCATACTTCACAGCCTGCGGATTTTTCGACGAAATTTACGACGGTCGATAAATCATTCGAAGCCATCAAACCGGGAGACCGCAACCTACTTCCAAGTCCGCGAAGAAACCGACGATTCTCCGGCACTTTCGGGTTCCAAGACCGGAAAATCCGCGGGCCTCGACCGGAAAAGCGGCGCGAAAAACGCGGGAAAACGCGACGGCGCGGCGGCGGGAACTGACCGCAAACCCGCGGGACGAGCCGAAAAACTCGGCGCTGAATTTCAGTCACCGAGAGCAATAATTCGTCGCCCTCTGGACAAAAGGACGTAACTACACTCTGCGAGAACCCCGTCGTCCATACAATTCAATGCTTTTCCGGGCTCATCTCAGAGTGTAGATACGCCTTTTTGTCGGCCGGGCGACGAATTGGGCGGGAGATGCGACAGGCGTCAGATTCCCCCGAAAATCCGGGATTAACCGCGGGTGTCGCACAGTGGATCGAGTCGATCAGAGAAGTCGCACATGAAATTTTTCACTCAATGTGCACATTTTGATGTTTATTTCGTCACATTTTAAAATTTCAAAAGGTGCTTTCAGACTAATTGCAAGCTAATTGATGTAGATTTTGACAAAGTTTGGTTCAATTCTATAGAAAATTACGAAAGTTATGAGGAAAATACATAAAACATCGTCAAAAATAGCCCAAAAAGGCGGTTTTTGGGGGTCTGAGGGGGGGCGGAGGGGGTTGGGGGGCTAAAATCCCCCAAAACCCAAGTTTCAGGACACCCTTGATGACTTAAAATGGTTAAAATGAAAATCCATTCACAAGGGCATTTTGACATGCTTATCCCGGGATACCCTTTCACGAAGAAACCAATGGGACCACTTTCAGGACCTCAAAATTGGTATAAACGGAGGTATAAGCTTTGAAAATGTCGAAATTTTGTCCGACCTCTCCTGTTGACTGGATCCACTGTGCAGCGCGCTTTTCGCCGCGCGAGCGCGCGACAGGGCCGCCCGGCCGCGGCGAGTCAAGGCGAAGCGGGAAATTTTGATAAAAATAAAATGCATGATATATTTACCTCCTCCTCTGGGGTTGAGCGGCCAACGTAAACAGGGAAGCGGTGGAATTAGGCGGATTATCGAGAAGCGGGCTACTCGCCGGGGGAGAGTGTCAACGGCGGGACGGAGTCTCCTGACAAATGAGCAACTGAAAAAAATACGACTTCGATTAATTATCCGCTTCGGGAAAAAGCCGTGCGGTTTGACGGACGGGTGCGAACGTCTGCGGGTTCGCTGACGGGTGCAGTCAAAAGTCTGTCGACTCGACTCACCGGCACCGCAACATTGTACTGCAATGGAGATGTTGCATGTGTGAGGAATTTGCGATTTAGCTGTTGATTCGTAGGTAAAAGTTCGCGAGAAACACGATGGTGCCACTGGTTTTCTCTGAAATCAACTCCCAAGCTCAAAAAAAGCTCTCAAGTCGAGGCCAAAATGGAGGGGATATCCCACGTTATCCTGAGAGTCCACCTCTACATCAAGACGAAATCTCCATGCTAGGATAGAGAGCAAATACAATGGCAGGGTTGCCGTGTTTTCAATTTTAGAGTCCCCAAATGAAGTGGCAGCCCTGTCAATGTATTTGCTCCCTATCTTTGCATAGAGAGTTTGTCTTGATGTAGATGTGGACGCTCAGGGTAGGGCGGGATATCCCCCCCCCCCCATTTTGGCCTCAACTTGAGAGTTTTTTTGAGCTTGGGAGTTGATTTCAGAGAAAACCAGTGGCACCATCGTGTTTCTCACGAACTTTTACTTAAGAGTCAACAATCAAATCGCAAATTCCTCACACATGCAATATCTCCATGCTCGGGAAAAACGCAGTATGTGCATTCGAATGTTACCGAATTTTCCTCCGTGTCCATGACCGAAGTGCAAAACCACGTATCTCCATTGCGCTGTTTCAGAATTTCCGCTTTTATTTCGTTTTTTTAAATAGAAACATTATAGATTGAAATTTACACGGAATATATTTAATATTTTTAATTCAATTGCTTTATTAATTTTATTATTTTTACCTTTTTTTAAAATATTCTGCAAACGGAGAAGAAAAATCAATGAAGATTTCAAGAAATTATGTTGACTAGTTTTCCAAGGAAGAAATAAAGTACGACGGATAGTCTGAAACGTCGCAAATGGAGATACGTGTGCAATTGCTGGCCTCAATTTGGCTCAACTGAGCTGAAAATTTCACAAGACGTTCGTGAAGATGTGAGACAAACACTTGTAGTTTTTGAAGGTATTCGGAGCATAGGTCCGAGTAAAATCCAGAACTTTTAACTCGTTTTTTTCGACATGATAAAAACTGCGCTTATGCGCCTTGTCGTCGAAGCCCCTCGATTGTTACCTCTCGTAGAATTTTCTTTTAAAAAAATATTGAAGGAGTTTTTTTCTTTTTCGCGGAAGTGGTTTGAGGATTGCTTTTTAAAATATACAAGTTTTCCGATGTTTTTTTAGCAGTCGGTGTTCTTGGAAACAAGAAACTTTTCGATAAAGTTGGGAAATCTTCGTAGGTAACTCCTCCCCTCCACCTCTCCCTTACATTTTACTGAAATGACACCTACTAAACATTTTTTACCCCCGTTTCCCCCTTTTTTCTAGCATAATTTCTCATAAAAGTTATTTCCGCACGGAATCTCAGCTTCTTGAAAATAAAAAATGCTATATTTTGGCTGGAAGAAAAATGCAAGGTTCCGCAGCGATATTTCCTGACTTTTCGAGGTTAGGCAAATTCTCTAACTTCTTCTGACGAGTCTCCAACTCCGCGACATCTTTACCCTCCGGAGTGAGAGAATTAAATGAAGCTGCTGTAATAAAACCGATACCGAACATTCGGGTCGTTTTAATTACCAAACGGCCTACACTTCCATTCCGCGGGCTCTTAAATAATTGCTCCGGACGGTTAACTTCCACTTCAGCTGCTCGCACACCTACGAACCACCCCGCCCCCTTCCCATCTGGCAGAGCCGGGATGGCTCACTTATTAGAGCAATTCATGAATGGATCGAGGAGTAAGGTCAATCAAATTATGAGCGAAATAAATGCAAATATTATTTTGGCATCAGAACGCCGGGCGCTTGCCAGGTTCGCGGAGGCATAAAGTAGAAAATGGGATTCTCGGGCGGTTGAAACATAGTAAGGAGGGGCATTACTGCATGCCGCCACTGAAATAAACAACCCGAGATCATGATCAACTCAAATGAGAGGAGATACGAGCGTGCCATTACGCGCGATCATTCTCGTCACCGCGCGAGAGTATTTCAAATTGCCGTCGTCTTCTTTCTTCTTCTTCTTCTTCTTCTTCTTCTTCTTCTTCTGCTTCTTCTGCTTCTTCTGCTTCTTCTTCTTGTTCTAATTTTTCGTCTTCATCTGTTGCTGCTGCTACTTCTTCTGCTTCTTCTTCTTGTTCTAATTTTTCGTCTTCTTCTGCTGCTGCTGCTGCTGCTACTTCTTCTGCTTCTTTTTCTTGTTCTGATTCTTCTTCTTCAACTCCTGCTTTCTCCTTCTACTTCTTCTTCTTCTATTTCTGATTTTTCCTTTTTACTTTGTTTTTCTTCCCCTTGTGCATGACCAATTTTTCAGGGGTTCAGCATTCCCTAACTTTTTAAGGATTTTGAACGTAAAATTCCCTGGTAGAAATTGGCGATAGGAGCTGCGTTTCAAAATACCGTAGGAGTTCTTGTAGCCGACTAAAGATGGCTATTGAAAATCATATAGCTGACTGTAGAAAGCGGAGCAATTCATATAGCCGGGCAATACGAGGCTATAAAAAAGTATACAGTCGGGCTATCGTTCCTATCGCCGGGCTTTACACTTTATCGCCATTGGCTATTAAAGGCTATAAGAAATTGTGTAGATAAATTCGTGTGCTTTGGAAATCATTAAGTTTGATACGGAATTACCTTAATATTTACAAAACACACATTATATTTTCCTTTAAAACATATTTTTTTTTTTCGTTAATTAAAATGAGAATAGTCCATACAGAGTGGGCAAACATTTCAAAATCATGAGTTGAAAAACGCTGACTCCGCGAGATTTAATATTAGAGCATAACACAAAGCGGAGCGGCGACGCACTGGCGCCTACAAACCTAACAGGGATACTTCACGCATTGCGCAATGCGTGAAGTATCCCTGTTAGGTTTGTAGTCGCCAATGCGCGTTTCGGGCTCTCTGCCCGCCTCGCGTCGCCGCAGCGTGCCACGGCGTATGAAGCAACTATTTCACACCAGAGGTATTACACAGTATCATAAGAAATTGAAGGCGCTCCAACATATTAAGAATGACAAACATCCTTCAAAAGTACGGAGCTTTCCTCGCAAAATAAATCAAGATACTACAGCACAAAAAGAGAGCGGTAGTCCAAAAACTAACTAAGTCGTAGTATCCGTAATTAGTAACGTTTAGCATAAACTTTATCGTCTGGCTGTTGCCCAATCGCCATCGGCTATAAAAGGCTATAAGAAATTGTACAGCCGGCTACAGAAGCTATTGGAAATCTTTCAGCCGGCTTTAGGTCTATAGTATTTTGGAACACACATTCTACTGCCAATTTTTACGAGGGTTCCGAGGGTACAGAGTAAGAGGGAGTTCCCGGTTTTTAAGGGGAAATTCCCGGTTTTTAAGAGGAAGTTCCCGGTTTTTAGCACCAATTTCTTGAAAACTTCCTCAATTTTTCCAGACATTTTTCATTCCCTAATAAAGCCTACTTGAAGCGGAGGGTGTAGCACAATGGCTGACCAGGGGATCTACTAAAATTTCATTTTGGATTTCTCGGATATTTTGCCGATACTTCAAATTAATTTCCTGTTTTTTTGCGCGAATAAATGGACACTCGTTTGATTTAACGAATCAACATATTTAATGGATTGAATCAAACGTCCGAAAAATGCTCAAGAGCACTCAAAATTTCCTGATTGCATGGCCAATTTTCCTGATGACATCGGATTTCTTGATATTTATATTAACAGTAACGCACTGCTGACCTCTAAAATCACCCATCTTACACATATGTATTTAAAGTAGTAAACATGTAAACACGTATTTTTAGTGGCATGGCCAGAAATGTTTCATATGGAAGCGAGGAGGGCTCTGCAGTAAAGAATGTCACATAAGAAGGGCGTTTGGAGGTATAATAAGTTCTTGAAAATCTCGAAAAATGACGGATTTTTCTGCTTTTCTTGGTAAATTGGAATTTTTTAGCCAAAGCGCGTTAAAAATCAGCGTAAAGCTGAAAATCTCAATACAGAGGGAAAAACCTCATTCGAGCGCAATTTCCCCTCCAAGAGATACGCTGTTTGGTGCAACACAAGTTACGACCACTCAGGATGGCAACTGCAGACGCGTGTCGGGTCTAATTGAACCCACCCTCGGTGCCTCCTGAATTTTCCACTTAAAAATTCTAAGGAAAAACGCTGGATGAACCTTCAGGTGTTGCTAAATTCCCATCTCTAAAACACGAATTTCCTGGTAAACTTACGAATATTTTTCTTCCAGTTTTTCAGATAATGTTGCTCGCAATTTCACCTTGAGTTTCTGAAAATTTCAAGGAAAAATATTTATAACTTTCCTCAAAAATAAACATTTTATGGAATGAACTTTGGCAACTCTCGAATGTTCAAACGGCGTTCTTCCTTAGCACGGCAGTACACGACTCAAGCGTCTATACCACGATCAGTTTGTGGGTTTTCCAGGTCGAAGGCCCTAACAACTCGCACAGCTCGGGCTCAAAATAAAAAGATCCAAGAAAAGTTCATGTTCAACCATACAAACTTGATACAGAGATTTACAGGGAGACGCAGCCAGCACCTTCCGTTCGAGGAGCGAGAATTTCGTTGCTCCTCTGACGGAAGGGCGTATCTCAATTTTCACATGAGCCTTCGAAAGCATAGAGTTATACGGAGCACAGGGGTCACGTGCAAATCGAGATACGCCCTATCGTCAGAGGAGAGGGCGATTTGGAGAGCGGGAAACTTTTGCCCGGCATCGTTCCCGCTGCATCCACGCGAAAAAATTATTTCACGGCTACCGGCCGCGTACGTCGCCTACGCGAATCCGCGATGAAATCGCCTTGCGCGAATGCCAACAGCTGTGTTGAATCCACACCAGCTTGACGGGGCCCTGACAACGAATTAATGTGGAGGAATTC